AAAACAAAATGCAGACAATTTTCAAAATGATGAACTCCCATCACATTAAATGGGAATAAAAAAATTGTGACAAACGAGAGAGAGCGAGAGAGAGAGAGGGAGAGAAAGGGAAAGGGTTTGCAATCAAAATCTACAATTAGCCATTTTTAGATAGAGGGCCACAGGATGTACTTTATTTTAAGGATTTTGACGCTGTTGCGCACCTTTTTAATACATTTATCAACAACAAAAAAAAAGGAATAATCTAATGCGTGCTTAAACAAAAAACACACTTCAGAGCACTTCGTTGCCACATTTTACATATATACACACATGTTTGATATGATGACAGACGAAGCGGCACTAAAAGTTTAACCACATTCATCCAAGCACGAACGAACATTTCTCATGTGTCTTCCTGATTGAAATATATCAATTGTTTGATTTTTTTTAAAACAAACAAAAATTTATTTCGGTTTTTTTTTGGCTTTGCCATTGTTGGCACAATATTTCCCAATTCACCTCAAAATATCAACGACTTTTTAATATCATAGTTAAAGTATTACAGTCGAATCAATCAATAATCTTCAGCTAGAAAACAGATAAACAAAGAAAATGAAACATAAAAAAATAAATAAACGATAGAAAACAAAAATACAAAAAAAAAAATACTCATGCAATTTGTCCTTTTCTATAAATATTTTCGTTTCACACAAAAAAACCAAAACACACTTTAAAATCAGGTTTCATGAATATTCAAGATACAAAACCAACTATTGGATTTCTGACAAAAGTAAAAATTATTATATTTTTTAAAAACCAATTCGATTTTGTGTCATTTAAATTTAACTGAATGAATAAACTCACGAGCTTTAACCAATTCGCATTATTAGAACCAAAAAGCAATTCAAAATTAGTGAAAACACAGAAATAATGAAAAGATGTTGAATGGTTGTGATTTCAGACACACACACACACACGCATGGAACACATACTAAAACACGATGAATTTGGCTATGAAAAAAGATTGAAGTTTTCTTTTTCTATTTACTGATGTCACATTCTCTTTCAATACTTCCATTTCGTCTCTAGACCTACTGCTCTCTTATGTAAAATACGATATGCTAACGAACACTTTATGTTGAATCATTGGACAATTAATAGTAGTTATTAAATAAGCATGATGAAAATGGTGTTTTAATTTAAAATTGTTTAAAAAAAAAGTAATTTGTGTAATAAAATGCAATGATTGTTGATCGGAATTCCGTGTCCAAAGCAAAACAAAAAATATACACTCAAAATTGAGAATGCCAAATATTTTTTAAACAAATGACATAAATGATAAAAAGATTTCTTATGCAGTTTTGATTTTATGAAGAAAAAAAAACTTTTTGGTATGTAGTCGATGTCGCTCGTGATGATTGCAGGCGGGTGACTGACTTCGAAATTTCTTTTACGAAAGTATGACAATTTTTAGGGAAGAGAAAATGAAAAAAAAAAAAATCGAAACGTAGATAATCATTAGAACGGCTTTATGTTTAGATGTTAGGATATTACACATTATTGTGCCACAAATTTTCAATGTTGTTCCATATAAAAATCACACATACACAAAATTGAAACGAACGCATTTTACTGAATGGTAAACGCTAAAAATTCATATTCGTCTCAAATGCAATGCAAGCATGAGTGCACTGCACATATCGTGGCGCCAATACATTTGTTATTTAATATCAAAAAATTTCGTTCAATTTTTTTTGTTGATGCCAGTCCTAACACCTAACACAACCTCTAATCTAACTTTTCACACCAAATGGAAATATGTATTTTTTTAAAACTTATTAAGTCTATCGAAAACACTAAATTTTACTGAATGAACTAAATGAAAACAACCATTATTTATTTATACTTTGTGTCTTAGGACTTCCTTGTGTCGTGACGAATTTAAAATAAAAAAAAAGAAAACAAATACTTGAAAAAAGAGACAAAAAACGATTTATTCTTACATAAACAAAAACTCAACAAATTCCAAGCAAAATGCCATCATCAACAACTGATAAATAGTTTTGCTTATGGTTTTTTTAAAATTACTTTGAAACTCTTGCAAATAAATGAATCAAAATGCTAAATTAAACTCGGTCAAAGCTATTTTGATTTTATTGATTTTCAAATCATAGACTGTAAGGCAGAATTACAATTTTGATAATAACACTTAGACTTTTGAACAATTCAATGAAACAAATTGATGCGCGTTACATTTTCATTTAACCGAAAATATCAAGAGAGAAATTCAAATGAAAAATGCTTTAAACAAAAGACAGAGAAACTAAACTAAAACATTGGTTGTTGAATCTTTATCTTTAGAAATCGAAAGCAAGAAATTTTTGCTTTTGTTGTTTCGATTCTTAATTTTCTGGTACCGATGTTAATGGAATTTGAGATAGAACAATAACTTTCATTTGAAGCAAAAAAAAGAAAAATACATTTTTATTTACATTTTGAATATTAAGCACAAAGCTCAATAGCAATCATGCGGTGAAGAATGTTATATGTGGTGCACTGTTGTAAATAACAACAATTTACAATGCTTTTCGGCGGCGTTCGTTGTTTTTTGCACGATATTTTGCTAAATGTGTAATTTATGCCGACGAAAAGTATCGAAAATTGTCAACATCAGCGCATCGCCTATAGACATCTTTTCCGTTGTTTTGTTTTATTGAACACTCCACTTGGGCAAGTAAATTGTTTCATCCTCTTGTTCCGGATCTTGTTGTTATGTATATTTAAACATAAAAAAATACCAATGAGAAGATAAACTAGTGAATAAATTTAATGTGTGTGCCTCCATTTGTAATAAAAAAAAGAACCTCTGAATACATTAAATTTATGAATTAAACAACAACAACAAAACGGCAGAGAAACAATAAAGAGCAAATTTAAAACTGATACACATTTTAAGATTGATTTCAATGTCAGATATTTTCGATGAATCGAATACGTTTTTCCTAGCTTTGAAACTCAATAAAAACCAATATTTAAACACTATAGTGTATACTAATTTTCCAACACCGATAAAAAAAACTCTTAATCCCAAAAAAAAAAGTTTAAAAAAAAGAAGAAAAAAAGATACAAAACACATAGTCACTACTCAATTTTTCTTTGAATATCGCCTATTTTTTTCCCAAATCCTTATCAAAATGTAACACCATTCATAGGTACTTGTTATAGGAATGCTACATTTGAATAGAGGATATTCATTCGTTCACAATTCTTTTTATATCGCATATATACACATTTATTATTGAATAACATTTAAAATGGTGACGAAAAGAAAAGTAACAAAAAAAAAACAATTGGGTCACTAGAGACCACTTAAATTCAAATGTTATAACCAATTGCAACTCAAATTGCCACATTTACAATATCTACAACAACATTGATTTTGAAATGAAAATGGGAATTCAATATGCAAAATTCCTCCATTTTTAAATACTTGAATACTCTGAGATAAACGTGCACATGATCAAAAATGCAAGAAAATAAAAAGACAGAAAAAAACGTGCGTTAAACTATTTTAGCGGTCGATTTATTTTCTACGTTTTTTTGGTTTTTGCATTTTGTTCAGGAAACATTTCTTTTATCGTTTGCTGACTTTATACTTATATCGAAATCTCCTGATTGAAAAAAGAAGATAATAAAAAAAAATCAGTGGCACTTTGATCTAAATAAATAAAAAAAACTAAATTCTCATTCTGAGAAGAATCACATCAGAATATCAGAGAATTTCAATGATACTTAAAATTTACAAAAAAAGAATGAATAAATTATATACATACACCATCATATATTTTACATTTTACATATTTAAAGGTTAATGGTTACATATTATACAAAAAAAAAGAAGAAAAAAAAAACACAAAAAACCAAAAAAAATAAAATTAAACAGTTTTCTCTTTTTTCAAAAACATTTCCACAAAAAGAATGCATTTTGTTAGTTTACATAATTTAGACATATTTTTTGTGTGTTTTTGCGAGCGTATATTTATCAAAAACTGATAATAAAACAAAAATTGAATGAATGTACACAGTAGAAACCCGAAGCAAATAATCAGTTCGTAATTGTAATGTATGGGAATGGTATAAAACTTATTCTTAATGATTATATTATTATTATATTAATAAACCTATAAACACAATCTTTAATTCGAGTGTTTCAATTGCATTTATTTCGTTTACTTGGACAATTTTGGGTGGCAAAAGAATTTCATGGATAGAAACATTATCATCGATATAAATAGATCACATTTCCTTATTTCGCTTTTATCTTTTGACGAATGACTTCATTTTTTTTTAATCTTATAGCGTGGTATAATTTCATAAAATTATTTCATTCCGAGCGTGAAACTGTAACGACATTGGTGTCGATGTTGGTATTGTGTGTGAAAGGTGTTTTCGGAGGATTTGCATTTATTCGTTGAACGCGGTCAGTAACGAGCCTTGCGTTTCCAATTCCATTACATCGATGAAATACCAAAAACAAGCATTATTACTCAATAGGTTAATCTTTGTAAACGATGCCGATTTGTCTGTATAGTTGTCGCCACTGGATATCGCATATGGTGCATTGAATATATCACCACCATGCATTACACACATAAACACACATTTAACTCTTATTTCCAGATGTATTTCTGCAAAAAAAAAAAAATTCATAAATGTATTTTGTCTTTATCCATATGTGTGTATGTTTTATTATTTTCGCCAATATTTCGTGGCCGTGTTCGTTTTCATTGGTTCAAAATACACAACAGACATAATAAACAAACCGCACAAATAAACTCGATATGTAATATGCGCACACGCCGTCATTTCATACCGTGTCATGTATGGTGTTTGCTGTTTCTCGTTCGTTCTACGTCCGTCGTACATATGAGCGACGCAGATATAGCGTAATACAGATGTGTATATATATGTTGAGGTTGAATTGCGACACAACGCATTGGTACAATACAAAAGCGACAGTCAAAAACTCAGCAGTAGCGATAGTACGGTCAAAATCGTAACATAATCAATATGGCGGCAGATAGTGATAAAAATAAAATGTCAAGACTATTAAATTTAGCACGGAAATTCAATTGTTTCTATTTATCAGGTAAATCATTTGTGTGAAACATTTCATTTTTTATTGAATTTTACATTCGCAAATTTCGAGCGAATTTGTATTTGCATTGATACAGAAAAAAAAATGTGTATTAAAACTAGTGTCATATTTCCATCTGAATAATTGTATCGTTGTGCATGGAAAGAGCTATTTTGTGCTCAATTTGAACAAATCATACATTCCGTCGATTTATACTGTATTGAAATCCATCGCGAGAAAACGAAAAAAGAAAAATATCAAAACTATTGCTGAACTTTTAATGTTTTACACATCAATTTCATTCAACAACAAAAACAATTATTGGCAGTGAATAATATATAGTGTGTGTATGAGAATCAGACAACCAATTGAAAATTGTCAATGCTTTACGTTCAGCGAATTTCATAAAAATTTCGAAGTGGCTGCTTTTTTTTATATAAGCAATTCCCAATTTGTTTTTGTCTCTGCACTCAGTGTTGTGTCTTTACTTATAAATCATGTTTCGGTAGTTTAGTAATTGCTTTACGTTTTGATAACGTAAACATTTCGTACAACAACAATGTGTGAAAAATGACATTTACAGCGCACAACGCTGTTTTTCATTGTGTGCCCGTGTGTTTGGTGGTGGTGTTGTTGTTGTTGTTGTTGTTTTTTTTTGGTTCTCGCCGTGTCTCTACGTAGAAAAATGTGACATTATATGTCATACATCAATTTCTATTGAAATAGGTTCGGGGCACAATTTGGCATAAATAAGCTTAACTGCGGCATGGCCTAGAATTTTAGCTCCTCTTTGGGTTTTATGTTGTATGATTCACTTTAATGACGCATTCGTTGCTGTTCTAGAAGCCAAACTAAGTACAAAAAAGGCACACAAACACACATATACAATAATCAATTGAATGGAAACTATACGCAAAAATGCCAAATCGTAATCGATCGCGCTGACAGTGTGAAACACTGATGAAAACAAATTCAACAATAATAAAATAATAAAAAACTCAAATTCCATAATACAAAATATTATTCTTTTTTTCACTTCCCTTTCTTCGATTTATTTTCAGGTCTATACAATGGCGAGTGTCGTCCATTTGTCGTGGATGGGCTTCAAGTTGGTGTTATTAGACCCGATGTTATGAAAGAATTGTTTAAATATCCAGAAGTATTTGTGATTAAAGACAATGAAAAGTCGAAAATGGTTGAATTGAATCCAGCGTTTCGTGATTACAACGAACGAACGGAGCATGTTGATCGGGTATTACGGCAATTTCGACAAGATGACGTCTTTGTAGCACTCAAAGGTTGGCGAGACGAGGTATATACGAAAAATCGACTACTTTTATCCGATTTTATTTTGACCATTTGTAACCGATTCGTTTTCGTTTGTGTTTTGACAGTTTTATGATGTAAAGGCTGGTCATAAGGCGCTATTGAAAATGGATCGATCGGCCACATGTTTGTTTGGTATTCGCAATTATGGTGTTGACATAAATGGCTATGTACGGCATCCAACATTAGGCTTGTGTATTTGGTTGCAACAACGATCGGATACCAAACAAACATGGCCAGGAAAATGGGACAATATGGTTGGCGGTGGTTTATCTGTTGGCTATGGCATTGAAGAGACGGCCGTTAAAGAAGCAGCCGAAGAGGCATCCATTCCAAGCGATTTAGTCAAAAATATTGTATCAGCCGGATGTGTTTCATTCCTATTCGAAAGCAATCGCGGCATTTTTCCAAACACTGAATTTGTATTCGATTTAGAATTACCGGTCGACTTTATACCAACGAATGCCGATGGTGAGGTGCAAGCATTCCAACTTCTGCCGGCCAACGAATGCCTAGAAAAATTATTCTCGCCCGAATTCAAAACAACAAGCTGCCCGGTTGTTATTGATTTTTTGATTAGGCACGGTGTCATCACACCCGAAAATGGTTAGCAATTCAACAAATCCATTTAAATAACCAATAAATAATGCGTTCTCTTTTTTTCATTGTTTTTGTTGCAGAGAAAAACTTTACCGAATTGGTTGAATTGCTTCACGTTCCATTGCAGACGCTTTATAACTTTGGTTCGGCCACCAATGGCCGAGACATTTACGGAAACATCGAAAATGGCCACAATAATAAAATCTAAATCATTTGACACACAGCACTTGAAATCAATTCATGTTTGCCTACATTTTCATTTGCTTGTTGTTCGTTACAATATATATAAATATATATATTACCAAATGGTATTTTACTTTTTAATCAAAAGGATCATTTCCGAAATATTTTTTCAAAATAAGAATTTAATAAAAACAAAAAGACACACATACACACACCCGGAAATCTAAGCATTCAATTGAGAGAAACACACAAACACACACACATTTTTTTTTGTGGTAGCAAACGGTTTCGCAAATATTTATTAATCTTTATTTTAAATGATAATTTTATTATTTATTTGTATTGGCTATGTATAACTAAATGAAGACAAACAAAAAAAAATACTGCCAACATCAACTTGATGAATGAAAACTATCCATTAACGAAATACTCGCGCATAATTGATTGTTTATATTTGAATCAATGTGCATGTTATACGTATATGTAGTTGAACATTTTCTTTCGAAAAACGTGGACGCTATCAATTTTTCCATTCGACAATTTTGAACGATACCTCTTTTTTTTCCAAATTGTTTATTGATGCTTATTTGTTGTGAAAATCAATGTTGAACAAAACAATATTTCTTGAAACAAAAACACAAAAATAGTTGACATTGACATTTAAAGCAAATGAACCCAAAGAAAAATAAAAAAAATGTATTTATTCAAACAAAAAAAAAAAGAATACTGTAGCAGTACGAAATCGCATATAATTTGAGCAATAAATAGATTTTGAATCGTTAGTCAAAGAAAACAAAAAGAAATTTAACCGCAGAAAAGAAAAAACTTGTATAATCGACCATTGTAGAGCATGTAGCATCAAAATGTGAGTTTTCAGGGAGAAATTGGTGGTTGTTTTGTGTGCAAATCGACAAAATAAAACTAAACATTCAGTAGTAGAGATTCACTTGTGATTGGTATACCGTATAACACACAGATTTAAAAACGAAAACATGATGGGACGTAATCGTAACGAAATTCGATAGAAACATTTAACAATATGGGCCTTTCTTCTCTATTTTCACGAGATAAACGATTTGTTTAGGTAGAAATAAAACAAAAACGAATAGATTTTCATATGGACTTTTTGTGTTCTTTGTACGGAAATCAATGTTTTTATATATTGTATTTAACGAATTGTAGATTGATTAGTGGTTCTTAGCACTTTGATATTGACTGTTTTTTTGTTCTTTCTTCCTCTTTTTTTTTGATTAAATATGAAATTAGTTGCTTGAATGATTTCCGATGCACAATTTAAACATTCAACTCACACTTTTCAATCGATTCAATTTCTCCTCAAACTTTTCAAACTAGATTTTTAGTGACAAAAATAATAATAATATTAAAACAAAACGATTTAGCAAGAGTTCTAAGACTATGGAATAGCTTAGAAATAATACTATTTATTGAATAAAGTATTAAATTACACTATACGATTTCAAATTCCCTGAACTTTCTCTGTTAAATACTTGAATTCTAAATTTTAAGAGAGCTCCCGACAAATATAATTTTAAATTGCTAAAAAAATCTTAAACAGCTGCGTATCTTATTGCGTTTCATTCCCTTTTTTTCTGGTGGAGTTGACAAGTTGTGATGCTTTTCTTATTTTCTGATTGGTTGAGATTAATGGTTTCAATTCAATCTCTGGAATGACGGGCTTTCCCATTTTTAGATTGGATGGGATTCATCGAATATTGAGCCATTTTGCATTTTTTCATATATATTTTGTTGAATTTCCAGAATAAAACCGTTGATAAATGACGCCAATATATTTTAAAATGACGATTGTTTAAGATGAGGTTTGATCTGGGACTATAATCTGCACAACTCAATGTTACAATGGTTCTACTAACATACAACGAAGAAGCACAAAGAATTCAATTGAGCACATTGTTTCAAATTCTTGTAGTCACATACACACATACCTATAGCATTACCTAAAAAACTACCAAAATTGTTCTTATTATCTATCGAGTCCAACAAACAAAAACTATATTACCGAAAGGGTTTGATTTTTTTTGAACAAAAGAATATGGCATAGAGAATACAACGTACATGTAAGTCTATCTTGTGTATTAAGACAAAGAGGGGAACTGGAAGAAAACACCAAAAATATCAAAGTCGCATTTTGTTTCGTAAACTTCATTGCACCTTTAATCGCATTGTTCAAAATTTTTCAAGAAAATAAAATTCTCTGTAGAAAGACTTCAATTGCCAGCAGATGATAGAAGTATCAAATACAGAATATACAAGACATGAGTGAAAGAGAAAGCACATAAAACGTTTCACATCTATCTCTTTTGGTTTAGCTACGAGACACAAAAAAAGGGGTCGTTATCGACGTGAGCCTTTATTATTCTCAATCAACATTTGAGAAAAACTCACAGCCCAAATAGGTACTGAGTGGATTTATTCTTTTCAGTTGTATCACAACAGAGGACAAGAGACATTGAAATCCTTGCAAATATGAAAAAATCAGTGATTTTAGTAGTGACATTGGTGGCATTGGTTTCAATAATATCGATTTTGTTACTTTTACATTTCAATGCCAGAACGGTTGTGGTGCGTAATGTACCGAAAACAGGAAATTACTATGTATCACAAATACAACCAAATGATCCACAATATGCAAAGCTACAGTTTTCGATTTCATTATTGAATCATTTACAAAATGCCGAGCCAAATAAAAGTATTTTTTATTCGCCACACAGTGTGTATCTTGCACTTTTTTTAGTTTACTTTGGTGCTGCTGGTGAAACAGAGAAAGAACTCAAAAATGCATTAGGCTTGAATTGGGTTGAACGGAAATCGGATATGGAAAATTTATACAATTTGGAGAAAAATGTAAACGCCAATCGATTTCAAGATGACACAATTGAATTTCAATCAGCTGATAAATTATTCTTCTCGAGCAGTATCCCAATAGAGTAAGGTAGTATTCAATTTATATTGAAACATAAATGATAATAAACTGTTGATTGCAGTCACCGGACGACGAAGATGTTGAACGATAGCATTGAACTACTCAATTTTGCTGATGAACCAGACCAATGTATTGCACATATTAACCGATTCGTTGAAGAAGTTACAAAGAACAACATCAAAAACTTCACAAACTCCAACGAAATAACATCACAAACACAGTTAGCTGTTGTCAATGCAGCATATTTTAAAGGAATATGGGTTTGTTTATTGTTTTTGAATTTGTAAAAATTTGAATTTATATTTTGAATCAACATTTTTGATTGCATTCATGTTTAGGAAAATATTTTCGATAAAAAAAAGACGACAAAAAAATTATTCTATAGTTACAGTGAACCCGACCCTGTGTATGTTGATATGATGATAAAAGAGGATGTTTATTACGAATTTGGTAAATTTTGTACATATGGTAATAATAATAATTAATGATTGGCTTTTACTTTTTTCGAATCAGCAAGCAATTTCTATTTGGAAGCCGACGTCCTGAAAATACCATATAAAGGTGAAAGTGGATCGATTTCAATGTTTGTCTTTTTACCACACCCTGACCAAGCTATTGAAAAATTATTAGAAAAATTAACGCCAGAAATTCTAGACAATACATCGAACAGAATGATTAGATCTAAGGTTGATCTTTCATTTCCGAAGTTTTCAATTGAAAAAACATCAAATTTAATACCGGTATGTTATACGGTGTATAATGTATATAGTCAACTTATATAGTTCCAAATATTTTGATTTGATTTCGATAGATAATGAAACGTATGGGGGTTAAAGAGTTATTCGATGAAAATGCCAATTTAAGCGGTTTCTCCAAATCTCTAAAGCAAGCAAGTGATATTAGACACAAGGCAAAAATTGAAGTTGATGAATGGGGAACAACAGCTGCAGCTGCCACAAAAGTCTATTCTCAGTGGTCTCGGTCTTCTCCTTTTAATTGTGACCATCCATTCTTGTTCTTAATCTATGACAAAAAAATGAAAGAAATTTTATTTGCTGGTACTTATCATGGTCCAGAAATAACTCACTAGGTATTGAACAATAGATTTTCATAACGTCTCAATTTCGCATATGGAGTTTGTATGTAGTGTTAAAAAAATTATGTTTTGTGCCAAATCTTATGGACTTTTTTTTAAATGTGTGCCAATTATCATATTCTTTTCATATGCACTATTTGAAAATGTTTATGTTATTTTAACACGAGTTTTCAGGTTAATATCATTGTATGTTTGTGCTTTGGAATTAATAGAAATACCTGGGCTAGAAAATCTACACGGTTTTCTTAAAATGTAATGTATAGAAGTGAATGAATGAAATGCAAGATGAAAACACATCGAAACTATCGAAAAGATTTGTTAATTTAAATGTCCAAAAGATACATTCTCAATAAAAATGATAATAAGAGTTCATTTCAATTTTTGGTATATTGATACATTTTCTGGTGGTTTTAAGATATTTCTTTGCCAAAATGTTGTAATTTAATAAAGTTTTAATTTACATGGTAGTAATGTACATTTACAAAATGTAGATTATGTATCAAAAAAATCTACATAACAACCCAGAAAAATATAAAAAAATACAAAAAAATACAATGCTTACATTTGAGAAAAATATATTTTCCTGTTTTTTATAACTTTAAATTATAAATTATAAGCAACCTACGCATACCTATGCAATTTTACCTTAATGTGTTTCACGTTGTAGCTCATTGCGCATTCCAGTTTATTGGAGTAAGAATACCGAAAAAATGGTAAATTATGTCACATTAACAAAGCTCAATGATAAACAAATAAAGTTTACTCAGATGAGAAACTAATAACAAAACTATCGTTATGCACGTACTTCGAACTCAATCGTGTATTTTCTTGTATAATAATTTTCATATTGTCATCAAATTTTATTTAATATTTTTTTATTCCCCAATATTCCGCAAACATCAATTTTCAATTTCAATGGCAAGGTAAAAATAAAAAACAATTTTAGTCAAATTGAACTCATATAAATGCGAGCCATTTAGTGATTCATATGTCATTTGTTTGTTAGCTTTCACGACATTCGATTAAAATGTGTGCACGCTGGTTATTCTTTTTTGTTGTAATTGCAGTTCATCATTCCAATTCTGGTAAGTTCTATCAAAAATTGTTTCATTGAGTGTTTATGATCCGGATATATGGCCTGAAGAAATGATGGTGCGTGAGTTGTCATCGAACAAATCAGCGAAAGTGAAAAATGATCAAAATTAAATCAAATTCAAATATTGTGCTATCAAGAAAAATCCTGGTATTTTGTTTTGTGCAGAAACGCGAATTACAAACGAAATTAGTGACCGTGAATTCGCAATTATTAACACGTCCTCAATAATGAAGCTGAGGTTAACCAAAATTCAATAATAGTAATAGAAGTTTTTGTCTGTGTAATCAACGGTATTTATTCGGTAATTAATAAATCGCCAGCACCGAACTTTAGTGCTTCGAGTGAGTTTATTGGCTCATTTTTTTGAAAAGATTGTGAACTTGAACAAATTAAATGTTATTGTGAATGGCATTTATAATAATACAAGATCACCTAAAAACTTACTAGACAAACATGGTCTTGAGCAAATCGTAAACTTTTTTACCAAACAAATAAGTCAAAACATCCGTAGTCATCAAGTAAAATTCCGTCAGTAATTCAAAAAGTCGCATAAAACACCGAAATTGAAATTTTCAAAAATAAATGCAAAAAATATATCATCGAAAATTAATAAATATTTTTTTTTAACAGAAAGACAAGGAAGGATAAAGAAAGGGGAAACTGCACCAATTATACCGTATCATGTTTCTATTGATTTTGATTCTGATTATAAAAAGCTACCTATGCCCTGTGCTGAAACTTCCGAATCTGTCTGTTCCTATTTTGGATTATTCGGGTGTACAGATGTGCCCTACGCTGCGGTTAATAATACCAAAAGTCTTTGCTCCGGCGTCATTATTGGAGAGCGAGATATTTTAACGGCCGCACACTGTGTGGATGAGTTTAAAAATCGAACAGAATATATGTCGGTATCAGTCAGTGTGACAGACTTGAGAAATGTTTCACAATATCAACGATATTGTGTCGACCGGGTTATAGTACATGATGATTATTCTCCTACGATAGAGGATATCGCGATGGTGAAGCTGAAAAGAAAAATCGATCTCAGTGATCCGAAAAAAGTAAAGAAACTCCCGTTTTCAAATCGACATGCGTTGTTTTCAAGCAAGGACCGTTTCAGGGTGGCAGGGTAAGTTTCTTCTGTATCTTGATTTAACATTTTGCAATTAGCATTTTTCTTTTTGTATTTTTTTTTTTTCAAAATTCATTAGATGGGGCATGTTAGATGAAAGCCAGACAATCGATCCGAATAACTTACAACAGACGACGGTGGAAGCTACGGACTGTCCATTTGAGGGGGTTAAAAATCTAAATAAGCTGATTTGTGCTGTATCGCCAGATCGCAGCAGCACGGCATGTGCGGTAAGTTGTTCAAATATGCAAACAATTTAAATAAACAAAATAATCATTTCTTTTTCGTTTTTTCAGGGTGATTCCGGCGCAGGATTGGTGACCCTCAATGAACCCCAAGAACTGATTGGAATCCTCAACCGTGGTGAATGTCTTACAATAGATACTGCAATAATGAGATTCGCAAGAGTCTCAACTTATTATGATTGGATAAATAAACATTTAAATGACGCTGTAAATACAAGAGCTTGACATCTCATTTTTTTCTAAATAACAATCTAACTGATCTCAATTTAGTTTTTGAACTTTCACAAAAGAAAAAGAAAATCAGTAAACATTGGTATGTAACACTGTTTCAGTTGAAATATTGAATAAAAATGCAAAAAAGTAATCTTTTATCACTCACTGTCTTTCTATTCACAAAAAAATCCTTTAAATGAGAAATGTTTCTGCTATACAATCAGTTTAAAAGTCTCACTTTCAGCGTGTTCCTTGTCTTTTTTGTAAACGAAATTTGAATGATTGAAAATATTCTTTTTTTCGACAGTGATTATAAGCTTTTCAAAGTCTTCAGTAAAATGAAAAAAAAATTATTTGTTCTACGAAAATGTTCATTGGTCATCAAATAGAGTCGTTTGCATGTCAATTTCTGGTATCTTCTCACAAAGGATAGCGTTAATTTCAATTATTCTTTGTGGTGACCAAAAACTAATTGTATTAATACTTACTAAGGAAAAACAGAATTACAAGTGCTCACCACTTCTTCATTAAACAAACAGGTGATTTTGTTGCAATAAATCAAAAAGTCGACGTTAAGTAACGAAAAATTTGAATTTTCTAGTGTTTTTCATCATGGTCATATGTCAAAATATTGTCATTTGAACGTCAATGAACTTAACCTCACAAATGGACAATACACATTAATAGTCGCTTGCAGAACCTAATAAAATACGGAAAAACATTGTGAAATTCTGAATTTATTGTTTTAATTTTTAAAAATTGATCATGAATATTTTTCGGCGATCATTTTCAACAATAAACAAATTGTAAGCACTTTAAAATTCCAAAAATTGTTCAGCAAAAAGATGATTTGAATGGCAATGTTATGGTGTGGATATACGTATCAAACATGTTGATCTAACTTTTTTACAAACATTTTTTCTAGCTCTACCTTGTCAACAAAAGGAAGATTTTTGCCAAATATAGACAACCTAAAACAAAGATGTGAATTTTCGAGTGGTCCATCAAATGATGAATCTAAAGGGGTATGTTTTGGCTGTTGTACATGTAAAAGTAATTTAATTGTTGACAATCGCACTTTTCATCTGATTTTAGCGGCTTAGATTAAACCTACGAAGACAAAATCTTCCACCATATCCACACATCGATTTGGTAAGAGATCTGAAGGTGGAAAACTATTTACCCTCATCTTTTAAAAACGTTAAATATGGAGAATTTGAATTTTCGGAGAGATTTGATGGATATGTATGCATGTATATTGGCGCATATATGAATACGCGTGATCTCGATGCCAAACCGGGATATTCAGTCTATTTTGGTTCGGATCATCCATTGTAAGCTCCTGTTATGCTTTGCAAGGAAGAAGATAAAAAAAACTTATCCAATATCAAATTTATTTCGATAGGAATTTGCAAGGAGGTGTCGAGCACCGACAAACATTAAATCATGCACATCTCTATGGTTTTCTAAAGGGAATGGAACAAATTCCAAAAGATTCGTTCAAAAAACTGTGCATTATGACGAGTCATATTTCAATGACTACGTTCATCGGTAGAGCTTTACCACAAATGAGTGAAAATTCATTTCGCAGCATTCAAAGCGGTAGATTAAATAAAGACTTACAAACAAGCATGGAGATCAATAGAGTACTGCGATCGAGAGATGATTTGATATTTCAAGTAATGTGGTGTCCGAGTGATATGGGAGTTGACGGCATGCACCATGCAAAGAAAATGGCAGAAGAAGCTGCCAAAACAGTCACACTCGATGCTAAGAAACAAGCATTCACATAACAAGCTATTGTCATATTAAATATAAAATTTTAAGTGAATAAAATGAATGTCCGAGAATGAAAGTGAGTCTTCTCCTCAGAACATAGAAATGTGTAACAAATCTTAAAGATTTTATTGAATTGTAGTACCAACGCAAATTTTATTACGTGTAAACTTAAAATTAAATGTTTCATCTCTATGTATCTGTGTAACTTGCAATACATTTTCAATTCAAAACGTTCTAAATTTTGAATTAGCCCTCTTCGTTATTGCTCCAGAAATAAAAATAAAGTTGTGAATATTGATCAGAATACCACCAGCACTGCTTATTTGAAATAACATTATCCACTATGAGGTATTGAAATATTTGTTTGGTTGTACTGTTATCGTAATCGAAGTATTCGGACATCTGTGTAAGTTCAACCCAATATTTGCCTTCAATTTCGACACACATTTGTATTGAAGATACATGAAAGAAGAAGGAAACAAAAACGAATAGACAAAAATGTGTGTTGAAAATACAAAGCAATATCCAAATAAAAGAGTATTTTCTTGAATGTAAGTGCTTTGTGTGTTTACTGGTATGACTAAGAGTTTAGTTGAAATGACTAAAACATGTTTAATAAAGATGAATGATATTTTGGTCCCTCACATTTATAAAAACGTAAACAAAATTTTCTAATTTTTTTCGCTGAATGAAATTTCGGCGAATCAAAAACTTTGAGTATTATAGATCATCGTGCAGTCTGACCCATAAAATTGCTGAAATATGTAATACAGATTGCAAAAATACGTGATTTATATAGACGTCATCTGAAAATTATTGGCTTTAATCAGTGCCACTTATTTACCCACTCAACAACGTTCGTATTAGCACTCAATTTAAAACGCAAATTACTACAAGTATATATTTTATATTAAATTTTGACTCAGTTTCGATTCGACTATCAAATGAAGTCAACCCGATATTTATTCGTCTCTATTTCATTTTCTATTTCGCAATTTGAAAAAACAACGACAACATAAGTGATATGATTTTGGAGTAAAAGTGTGTATGTGTACTGTGCGTAGCCTATCAGTCATGCTTATCGTGTCCAAATTTGTGAACTTCAAACGTGTTCAAACAATATGTGTCGTATTTGAAATATTTAGTCATGCATTTATCAAAATCGAAACGAGTTTGTGGCACAACAAACAGCTGATTCTAAGCTAACCGGATATTTTAGTTCTACGGTTTTAAGTCAGTCTGTTCAGTTCAGTTTCAGTATTTCTAAGAATAGCAAGAAATGAATTTTAAAACTCATAATAAACAAAGCGTTCAACTTTCTTTTTTATCATTCATCGAATGAGTTGAATCTAAAATGAAGTTTTTGTGCATTTTTACTATCGTTTTTTTGTGTGGCACTGTGTTTTCAAGTGATAACGAACCGCAAGTGAACGAATGGGATTGGACCGATGAAATCACTCGACAAAAATGCATATCAGTGCGATTGGCCGCTTCATTAAACATCACATATCCAACTGAAGGTCAACTATTATTCACTTTTATTAATCCAAATCAATTTTCATCAAGTGTTTTGTTTGAGTGATTTACTGACGTGACAGTGTGCATCTTTGAGTATTTTTGTTTTATCAAACAAATTTTGTTTGTATTTTAGATGGAAAAGTTTCACATACAATTTACAATATTCCATCAAATACATCGTGGAATATTATTGGAAGCTGTAGCGATGGTGTGGCCGATCAAAATATTACAGTTGAATGGACCGAGCCGAATTATTCAAAGACTGGGGATACAAGAAATTCCATAAATTTGACATTCAAATTTTATGACAACACAAATCTATACTCGTTGAATGCCATTTCATTCGAAATAAACGCAACAATTTTCGAAAATGGATCTGATCAATTGTCTAACTATCTGTATGTTGGCGATGATTTTTGGGCACCGGAAGGCTGGTCATACAACTGCAACAAAACACAAGAATATGAACTGAGCGGTGTAAATAGGCGCTACATTTTGGGATCTATCATTCTTTCGAATATGCAATTCGAAGCATCACTTACAAGCAGTGTTGATGGCCTCTTTAGACAATCGGTCCAGTGTAGAGTGGATGATTTCGAAACAAGTATGTGAAAAAATAAAACGCGAATTCATTTAAACGTGTTGAAAGATGAGAGATAATATCATTTTGAAATGTGTTCTTTTTTTAGCTTATTGAAAACACTCACTTATTTTTTTTCTTTTCGATTTACAGAGGTTGTATTTATATCCATTGCCGGTGTTGTTGTTTTATTCATCTCAATAGGAATTTACATTTACTTTCATCGTTTTCGTTTGTGAACAACACAAATGACAAGGTTGCATTTAAGTAATTTTTGGAAAATTAGTGTTTATGTGAAAATATTTTGTAAAAATGATCGCATGATATCAGGGAAAAGGTGGAGAAGAATTATTTGGTATATTGAGTATTTTTGGTGCCACATTGTATTGAATATAGTTTTAAAAAATCATTGAATTAATAAATTATACGCTTTTCTAATAAGGATTATAAAACTGAAACACTAAAGAAAAAAATGTTCATATTTGTAGCATTTACTTTTAACATTGGATAAAATACATTGTAGTTTTGTTTTACAGAGAAAATTCCCATTTTCTTAAAATAATTTTCCACTCTGGGAATTTTTCATTTTGCCCTTAGTAATGGTACGATTTAAGGAATCTATTAAAACAGACTCACTCAAGAATGTATTTTTTGGATTCTGGTTCAATTGCATCTTATAATTTACGAAGCACAAAAAATTCGAATTATCTTGAATGTAAACACCACGTTGGCAGTGAATTTATACGCAATCCACTTGTAAATGTATAAAAATGTATTTGCATCCATTGACTTGAGTTAGTTTCAAACAAACGTCTCTTAACTAAGATAAAAATGAAACCGTTTTTATTGTTGACACTTTGGTCGATTTTGCTATTCGCTCAGGTAATTAAGATGAAATAGTTACTCTTAATGAAAATTTTACATTAAATAATTTTCAAACAGATCAACTGCCAAAATGTGACATATCAAAAACTGCTACAGGAGTTTTATAAACGATCAACTGAAAAATGATTCCAATTGAATGAAAAATTAGATTTCATGACAGCAATGTCGAGAAATGTTCCTTATATTATACCCGATTTAAATCGTCGTATGCCGCACTTTATGCGTGGTGATAAAAAGGAACGTTTCATGAAGAAAATTCCTTGGAATTTGGAGTCGAAACCACCCATTTTGATGCAAATGGGTCTGAAACCAGATAAGATGAGCGATGTTCTTTTCCATAGAATCGATTCGCTAAATGATGGACAGACTAAAATACTGCCAACAGAGCTCAAGATAATTATTGAATCACTTAAAGAAACTTCACCACATAAATACATTCCGAACTTCGATGAATTGTTCAAAAAATGGCAAGATAGGAAGCTTGATACAAAACGTGTCACAGACATTCAAGGCTACCTGGATATTTTGAATCGAGCCCGTGAAGGATATAATAACCAATTCACAACAAAAATTGCTAAAATTCAGGAGTTGAAGAAATCACTTTCAATTCAAATGGAGGAATGTACCGCCGTGGCCAATCAAATTTTGGGCTTGAAGCCGCTCGTGAAGACAATAGAGAAAACTATTGTTGATTTTGAGACATTGCCATTGTCATGACAATTGAAGCATACAGGATACAAACTATAATACACGAAGAACTTCTAAATTTGAGAGAAATTGTTAATTTTTATAATGAACAACGTGCCACATGGACGAAGTATATAATCGGCGAATCGAAATCATTGGACGTCAAATTTTTATAGATCGACAATGTTCCAAAAATGACAGTTTTAAAAATGTATTGTATTTAAAGAGAAGGGTTCATATCTATCTTAAATAAAATCGATATAAAATTGAATTCTTGGAAGTCTTTTATTTTCGCTATTTAAATTCTACAATGGGTGGTACTTATTCATCTGGTTCTATTATATTCTCTATAATAATTGTTCAACTAAACCAAATCTAGTCACATATTTATTCACCAATGTCTTTAATTTTGAAAAATATTTCCAATCATCATATTTTTTTTACTTGAATAATAGATATCAAACAAAAGGTTTCTTTTTTTAAATGAAAAGTCACTGGCAACGGCACGAATTTATTGATATTTTAAACCGAAATTTTCGTGCCATGCTTTGATCTGGAGTAAACCTAGTTTCAGTATTTTTTTAATAAATACACATGAAAAGACTTTTAGCGTCAGCAAAAATGTCGTATATTCTCTGAAGTAGAACGAAAAATAAACGAATTCGTTTGCAAATATTCAAATTGGAAATATCGATTCTTCGTTGTATCAAATGATTACATTAAATTTGTTAACTTTGTTCGTTCAAATGTTTTTCTCAATGAACCCATTGGAACCCATAGATATATCTATATCAATATAGATCTGCAATTTGTACTGTGCGAATGTTTAATTGAAAAAAGAAATAAAAAAATAAACAAATTCGAGTACAAACGATTGTATTTGAGCCCACGCACAGTCGTCATTCGTTATTATTTTAGAAATGATTTTTCACATATTAAGTATATAAAACAAAATACTGTCTGCATGGTTAAAAAGAATATGATGGAATGCAATGATCGAATGCTTGACCTTTTCATAAAATTAAATGCAATTTGACATTCTTTTTGATCCGGTCATTTTTAAGTATTTTAAAACTTAAATATAAGAATATTCTCATCAAAAGTTTAATTTCAGAACGTATAATTAACGAACATGAACGTTTACCGTGAAAATACAGTTTAAAAATTACATAATTCCACGACGCTTTTGTGATGTGGGACGTATATAAAGAAGCAAAATGGCAAATAATTATGCATTATATATATATATATTTCTTTAGTTTGAAGTTCGTCGCTCATTTGACAACCTGCAATTAATTTTCTGTCTTTTCCAGCAAATTTACAAATGTGTGTTGAAAATGTTCTGGATGCCATTTCATACAATAGTGTAACTGTTCAAATAATCTCGGTACTTTTCCACATGTCAAGAATGCCAAGCATGCCATACACGGTGTTGGTGCATCAATATTTCCATGCATTTGCCGCATATTCGTCAGTTTTATGCAATTCACAAATATTGTAAGTGTTATGCAATTACGGCATGTTTTGGATGAATTGCTAGTGCTTCATTTGATTGCATTCAATTCTTTTACATTCGATTGGTCTCCGGACCGGTTTTGAAAACCATGATAATTTCATATGGCCGTTATAGAATAAAAAACCCATCGAAACGCAACCAATATAATCTGGGCTTTGGTTTAGTTTCCATTTGTTTGTTAGTTTATAGTGTTTATATACATATGTTTGAACTGCGAGAGACCGGATTTTTCGGGCATAAAACTAACTATGCGAAACAAGATTTTGCATATTAGAAGATCGATCAGTGAAGATCAACCATTTTTATTGAGCATAAAATTTAAGAAAATAATAACGTTTTTACGTTTTGTCAACTATTTGAAGATGATGCTCGCAGTCAAGTACCTCTTCCAACAACTTCAGTGGGTTTGATTAAATCACAATCAATTAAAAAAAGATCAAAAAGCAACGTGTTAAAAAAATAACATGCAAAACCATACATCGAATTCTGCCTTTCTCTTTAAATCTCTTTGGCTGCATATTTATGTCATATATGGCTGAATATTGAAATTGTGCAAATTTTCCATACCATATGCGAGTACAATCAACGAACGATGCGACGAATATTACAATTGTTGGTTGAACAAGTTTTCAGTCGCTGTCTTATAAATTTAAGCACTTTTATTGCTGCTTTGATTAACAGTATTCGCTGAACACTCAACCCATTCACATCTGCACATCGTACGCAGAGTTCTAGTGGAATCGTTAACATAGAATTTATAGATTTCGGTAGTGGTAAAATACATTTAATTGTATTGATTTGCGTTATTAGTTTGAATCTGAGCCTCGAAACATGTCGTTCTTTGAAATTTTAATAAAATTTGTGGTGATTTGGACACTAAGTGTTTTATTTAGCATCATAGCAAGTGTTCGGCTAATTCTATTTTATATAACACATTGTGCATCGATGCCCTGGAACACAAAAGATAGAATTCTTATGCTACCACCGGCTTGCCTTACATATCCCGAATATGGTTCACACAAATATGTCACAATTGATGTGAGAGTGAATTATGTAGACTCATTGTTAAGCTTTTTGAATCAAAAAACAAATATGAAATTATTTACAGAAAATTCGTCTGCATTATGTTGAGTCTGGTGATAAAAGTAAGCCATTGATGGTATTTGTTCATGGGCAATTTGATTTTTGGTATTCGTTTCGATCCCAAATCACTGAATTCAACAAGGATTATTGGTTAGTTACACTTTGATGCTAGCTTTGATGTGAAACTTAAAAATTACAAATATTTTACAAACTCCTACGTTCAGGGTGATTGCAATGGATCTTCGTGGTTTTAACCTTTCGGATAAACCGAGTGCAACGAGTAGCTATAAAATCGAACATTTAATCGACGATTTGAAAGTTTTTATACAACGATTGAGTATGTAATGATTTGGGTCAACATTTAAGTTATTTTCATTCAGTTTGCTTTCATTTTTGTAGATCGCAAGAACTGCATACTCGTTTGTCATGATTGGGGTATGTGTTAAAGTCCGTTTCTCGAAAATAAATGTTAAAAATATGATAATTACATACAGGTGCATTCATTGGATGGGATTTTGTGGCCCAAAATAATGATATGGTATTAAAATACGTCATGTTGAGTATGCCAGCGCGAAGAATTTATTATAATTTGTCGCTCACGATTTGGGATCAACTCAAGCGATCTTGGTATTTTTTCGTCTCTAAAATGCCATATTTACCAGAAAAACTATTATCTACTGCCGATTACGACGTCTTTTTCGAAATGCGGAATAGAAAATTTTCGGAAAACTTCAATGAAGACGATTTGGAGTTATATAAATACGTGTTTTCGAAAAAATGTGCGAATTTTTCTATCAAAATGAAATAAATCTAAACAATTTTTTTTGTTTTTTTTAGATGCTTCAACTGCAGCAATCAATCACTATCGCGCAAACTCATCTTTTGTTTCTAAAAAAGAAGAACGCCATGACGATGGTTCAAAGGGAATGTTCATTTTAGGACAACGAGATCCGTACATATCACATGCAGCTATCATTATGATGGCAAACAAATATCAAAAGTTACGAGTTGAAGTTATTCCGGATGCCAATCATTTCGTTCACCAAGATGCATCCAATGCAACGAATAAATTGATACGAGATTTTCTGGGACCTGCTTCGAACTATGAAGTGGAAACAGTTCTTGTTTAACATTTTACTATTTAATCGTGTGGGCTACGACTGAAATTGGTGAACTATTGGAATAATTTTTTGATTTTTTTTTCATATGGAACGGTGAAATTACTATCAATACATTAACATTTTAACATATTTTCATTTATAAAAGCTCTTAATACGATGCATGTTTTCAGGTTTTTTTTTAATAAAATTAAGCCGTGCAGTTGCATCATTTTTTTTTATTTTACGACTCTTATAGGGAAATATAACAATTCGGAACACATCAACACTAAGTACTGAAGCTGCATTTGGTGAGTGTTTGAAGCGCTGCCACATTCACTATATTTTGTACTGTCCATAAACAATTTTTTTTCTCTCAAATACTAAGCAGGCCAATTGATTTTGTCTTTAAAGTATAGCTATGTACAACCAGTTGAAAATATATGATTGTTGCTTTTTAACTTTAAAAATCTTTAAATAATTCTTAATGAACCTGAATGAATCTCTTTGTAATAACTAATATTAATTGTAAATTTATTCAATTTACTGTTCGGATTGTTTCATTGTTTTTCTTGTTACGACAAGATCCGCCTATTCTATAAAGGCCATAAATATACTTTCATTTCTAAATGTCTTTTAATAATAACCGCCGCCATAGCCACCTCCAAAACCGCCTCCATAACCGCCGCCATAACCGCCTCCATAGGGTCCACCGCCATAAAGTCCTGGACCACCGCCGCCATAAAGTCCCGGTCCTCCGAAACCACCTCCATAGTTGCCATATCCACTAAAATAAACAAGACAATCAAAAAAATATGATAATACTTTGCTTTGGTAAAAAAAAATGCCAAGTCATTAACTTGCATAGATGAACAACCAAAATCAGTAAAGGTGTTATGAATATTGGCAGTCTCGCGATTTATTTGTTAGCACAATATTTGACAAGTTTTGGTTCGTCCATTAACACCGATAATCAATCGTATTCAAACGAAAGCGAAAAGAATGAAGCAAAATGATGTTCCAGTTGGCACTCGTTCGGGGAAAACCCGATCACAATCAATTGATTGTATTCTATTTGCTTTGCAATCAATGGACAAGGAGGTTTGTGAAAGTCAATAATCCACTTTTGTGAAACGTGAATTCGTTCACCATTCAAACAAGTTTTAACACCGAATTTTGACAAGAGCGTCTCAAGTGGTTTAAGTATCATTAAATATTTAACTTACCCGCCGTAATTGTAGCTGCTCTGTTGATATCCATAACCTCCTTCGTAGCCTATACGTAAAAAAGAGAATTTAAATTATCTCATTTCTAAGTAACTTTTGGAAAATATTACCTCCTCCATAAATTCCAGGTCCACCATATCCACCGCCGTAGCCACCGCCATATCCACCGCCGTAGCCACCACCATAGCCTAGCAAATAGAAAAATAACATTATTTTCAAATATTAAGAATGCAAAATAATATAAAAACCTCCATAACCGCCATAGTTACTGTAAGCACCTGGACCATAAAATCCTTTACGAAAAAAATAAAAATAAAATTGAATCAACGATTGGCAAAAAAATATTTGAAAAGAAAGAGAATCCCGAAAGAAATCAATTTTAGTTGTTCGCAGTCTTTTTCACTTGTCACTTCTAGTCACTGATCAGTGATCACTTGTTCTTACACTTTTCAACTTTAGAAATTCAATCTAAAAAACATAATAATTTTCGCACCTGGGCCACCGAGGCCACCAAGGCCACCTTTGACTCCACCTCCGACGATGCCAACGCCGCCAACTATTCCGACACCACCAATTCCGCCCAAACCACCAATCAATCGAGCCCTTCGCGTTAAAGGCTGCAATGAATTAACTTTGTTTTGTACAGCTTCGCTACTTTCAACATTTTCAAGAGTGGTACGTGCTTCTTCTGCATAAGTGAGTGCTAAGCAGCACATCAACACAATGAATTCCACTTTCATATTCGATAAAACTGTTCAAATCTATTTCTTTGGAATCTTCTGACGCAAATATCGTTTTAGATATAATTCACTTTTTAGAATTGGCACTATTTACACGTGTGCCTTTGTTGGCTGATTGATGTGGTATAATGAGCGTTCGTTTTAAAACTACTGCAGATGATGACGACGCTGATTATTTATATACGAAAAGAGATGACGACCTAGAGTATATGTCGTGCTTTTTTCGTAAAACAAAATTGATGTGTTCATTCACCACGGCAGACCAAACACGCTTCTTCACCTTAACAAGAGCACATACACCGTCCAAAATGGTATAAATATCTTTAAGTGGGGCACTGACGTAATGTTGCTTCGCATGATTCTTAAGTTTCCGTTGAGTTTTTTCTTGTAAACCAATTCGCTAATTTGGTATACAAACAAACCTTCGTTGTTTAAAATGTTCGGTTTAATCCGACGTAGTCGGCGAGCTGGTCGTTGAACCATGCACTTTAAATGACCAAATCTGTACCATAATCCAACCAGATTCAACGTATAACTACTACCCCAATTAATGTCTTAATAATATTCACATGCGATCGCTATCGATGAACGAGATCAATTGTGAAACCAGATTTCAATGTTAAATTTTCGGTAATTACATTTGAACTGGCGAAAGATCAAGTCATTTTTTTGCATGGTTATTAAGTATATTATTTCCTACTGCGAGCAATAACAATAACAATTGATCACATTAACAATGGATTCATTTAAAGAATGTTTTTAATTCCTGCGGAAAACCCCCCGATAATTCAATTAGTTCGCACAAATTAAATTTATTCGTTCTGCAAAAAATCAAAATATTCTACTCCGAATTGAAAAAAAAAACAACAACAACGCAATGAGATTCACTTTTGAACTTGACTAGCTATACACATATAAAAAAAGATTTATTCAGCTCAGAAACTTAATCTTTAAACTCTGGCAGTGTTTTTATTTTTTGATTCATGAAAACCTTGCACAATACCGCTTCGTGTAAAAAGGCCCTTTTGTGAAATGTCGTTTGGAAATTGTGATATAATGATCATGAAAAGAAGTTGAAAATAATTGTGTCTTTATATTTCATTTTACGTTTAAATGTAAAAGTAAAAATGATCGAAAACTTGAATTATGTCATCGAACGTTACAAAAGAATCTATATAAATATGTAAAAATAATATGTTAACCAAAGTGTTAACCAGTTATGCCCAAGTGGTAAGAGTGATTGGCGACCATTTGGTTTCGCATATCGTATCACATAAATATTCTTGTATCCAATTCAAATAGAATGAAACGTGCCAATAGAATTTACTCTCAACAAGGGAATTCCCAAAGAAAGAAGTCAAGCGTGAACACTTCCTTTGGCAATAACCAAGGTCAACGTGCTTCTGTACATACGACGATGCTTAATTATTTACCAAAAAATTGACAAACAGCATTCGTCAATAGTTCAGATTCCCATGAATAACAAGCTTAAATCAACAACGAATTCCGAATGAATGGATCATCAAAAATGAATCTATTCTTCCGCGAGAATATGACCATATCTTTATTTAAAACGCGAATTTAAGGCCACATATATGGAGTACAACCGTTTTAATATTTATCTTTCAGGCGATAACTTAATTGATATTCGAAAAAAATCACATCGAAATAAAGCTGAATTACGCATTTATATCTTTAGATTCTGTGAATTCTGGATATGCGAACTGCGAATTATCAGCGATTTTGAATATTCAGACGCTTTTGTAAGAAACACTTATGTTTTTGGAAGAAATGATGATAATAAAAATTATGGTTAGTGCAAGGGGCAATAAAAACAGTGATAATAACTTTTAAAAAAATTCTGTTTGCAATTCATTGTTTTCTCTTCAGTATTATCTCGTTGTTGGTAGCATTTGGGTAAATCGTTTCAATTTTCATTTCCACACATTTCAATTACACAAATCAACGATGGATGTCAAAATTTCAATGCTGATATTATCACTGTTCGTGTTGAATCTGTGTCGTAAGTTCTTATGAAAAAGTCATTGTAGCTATAATTCATAGCGATCTTTGGTTACGTGACCCAAAACCAATCAAATCAAAATCACTTCAAAATATATAAATAATCAACATTGAAAATGTTCAATTTTCAGAAGTTTTTTTTGTTTTCTAAATGAATATAAATTTTTTTAATATGTGAAGTTCAATTGTTTTTGCTTAACATTGTATACATGTATGCTTGTATATTATTTTCGAATCAAAGTTAAACTTCATCCATTCAAATAATGTCAGTTTTACGGATACTCTGTTCATTAATCATCGGACGGCCCGGAAGGTCAATGAAGAATGTTGATATTTGCATAATTTGTATATAATATATTTGTTCAAAATGACAATTGAATGAGCAGATCTCTATTTAAGAAATGAGGAAATAGCAACCGTTTTTGTAAGATAGCTTGGAAAAAATGGTAGAGTTGTAAAAAATTAACGCCAAGATAAAAATGCATATACATATAAAATCAAACTTATTTAATTTATTTAACCTATTTATAGCGATTTTTTCTTGCATTTATTCCGAAAATCATTCATAAAGCATAAAGACCGAGTCAGCCATACTACATGAATCAAGCTACAAATTCATCAAAAAGTCAAAAAAAATGTCTTATCAAATTGATATGATTTAAATTATTTATCTTATTTCGAAAGAATTGTGTACGTCAGCAAAATGGGATAAAGCAGTTGAGTCGCCCAATGAAAAATGTATTATGATTAAATTTGGTGCTAGTCTTAACATCAGTTATCCAACAGAAAGTAATTTTTTCTTTTGAAATTATCCATTCGAAAATTGATTGTCAATGCTTTTAGATGGAGAATCTCGAACGCTGTATAATTTACCAACGAAATATGACGAACAATACTTTTTTTGTCAGAATGATATTCAAGTCATCTCAATCGAATGGCTGGTAAAAAATCTGTTCAGTACAATGAATATAACCTTCAACATAAACCATAAAACGAACAAATATTCATTGAGATCAATTGCGTTTGAACTTTGCGCCGAAATTTTTCCGAATGGCTCGTTTGAATGGTTTGAGCTACATTATTTTGGAAGTAATATCTCATCAATGCGCGGAAGATCATATTTCTGCAATGAATTGTCATTGCCACTGAAAATGCGAAGTAAAATTATGGGAACACTTCAATTGATAAACATTCAATTTGAAGCATTCCGATCAGAACAAAATGAAGAGTTTTCCAAAGCGATTGTTTGCGGTGACGAGACTTCTCGGAGGGATTCATACTCAGGTATCGAGTGAAAAATGATTCTGAAAGTATTTTATGTAATATTTTTTTTACTTTTCTTACAGTTACAACAGTAATTTGCGTTTCGGTTACGGTTTTAATTATGACGATTTGGGGTTTGAAATTTATATTTGATTCGAAAAAAATGGAATTGTTTAAGAAAGATTTATCTAAATCGCATTTGCAAAAATATTCAAAGCCATCACCGTTGCCACGTTGCTTATCAATCCACAATAGTTTTTCAAGTGAATAATTTACTCTGTAAATTGTTACTATCGTAACATTGCACATTTCGTTCTTAATTCATAGAATCGCACCACTGATATGGTATTCTACTTTAGAAAACACGCTGGAAGCTCAGAAATAAGATAGGATCGTTGAGGTGTGTTAAATAATATGCTTTGAATAAAAAAAATAATCAGTTATCAAATAAGTGATTAAAATTCAATAAAAAGCCATTACGCCCACAGAAAGTTTACGCAGTGGACAAAATGATCTGATTTTTTGATGAACAAGTAGTGTTAAAGCCTTTTTTGAAAAGAAAGTTAAATGAAAGTTAAAGCCTTTTTTAAAAAAGAATTCAATTTTTTGTGCATTTCTAAAAAAGTATAAAAATCAACATATTTGCAAATGCATTAAATGTGCTTGGAAATGTCTTGACGAATGGACGTCGTAACTTTCAAGAGCATACTTTAATTATTGTCACACCATTAATTTTCGTAATATCATTTTAATTTGGCGGTAAGCAGCCATTAAAGCAAGTCTGCAAATATTACTATAATCAAAAGACCGGAACGAGTTGCCATTTTTAGAAACGTTTTTTGGACTAAAAACACAATATTAAATAACAAACTCAACTCTTTCCATCTGTCACATAATTTCGTCCAAATCAGAGCAAATTACAATATACTCAGAACTGTGCACTTTTAAATACAAATATAAACAAAATAAATTGAATGATTAATTTAACGGATTTTGAATGCAAAGCGTTCCGCTTGGGACACATTTAAATTTCGGATCAGTTCAGTTCAGTGCATGAATGTAGTGAGCGCCCCCTACGTTGGTCAATGTATAAGTTGACAGTTGATAAATGCATAAAATTGCGTTGTTGAAATATACTCAGTTGCTTTTTCCATTATATCAGTGATCACACGCCAAACCGACTCACAACCAGTTAGTCAGCAATAAAAAGGAGGAAAAAAGTCACACGTAAATACTGTCTATCAAAGACATTCTGATTTCTTTGTCATCGAACAGTTGAAAAAAAAAAGTTTAATAAATATTTCTGGCAAATAAAGTGAAAAATAAATTTTCAATCCAAAATGAAGTCCGAGGCATTGTTGGTTATTTTTTCATTGTTTATTATGGGCATTTATGGTGAGTGTTAAATTTACTGTTATCTATTAACCTTTTTCGTCATCGAAATCACTTTTCATACAGGATTCTATTTATGTCTCGCATATTATGATTTTTCCATGACGTTCTACACTGAATATGGTTTTTTTTTTTGTTTTTTTTTCATCTCAATTGTACATTTATTTCATCTCATCCATCGAAATGAAGTTTATTTCGTGTTACGTTAAATTGATCATTGTAAGTCATTCAAGGATTTTATGACGTTCACGTCATTAGCATTTGCTTTGCACTTTATTCTGCTAATCAATTGCTTTTATGTAGTACCCACAGACCCAGTCAAATAAATCGAAAACAGATTCATTTTTCCAAAATGACCCGCATAGTGGATATGTTCTCATGTATGAGCATTGTTCAGATAAAACTAACGATATTGTATTGCTTCAGAGGGGAGTTTCTCTGAAATATTGACTGTAATAATTCGAAGAAGAAAAAACTGTGCAAAACATTATATTAAATATTATTTGCGTGCGTTTTCACTCTGATATCTGAGCCACTTCTCTTTCTTTACCATTTCCGTTTTGATAACTTATCCCATCACTTTGTGCTACGCAGCATCGTCAAGTCGACAAGTGTTGAAGTAATTAAATATAATATTTTGCTTACTTTAATTCATAATGTGAGTGACAATATTATTTGCACACAGCGATAAAATCCAAAGCCGATATAACAGCATTGAAAACGTGCTTGTGTTTCGCAATATTTCTTCGTTTCTACATTAACTACTTGAAATATATGTAATAGTTCATCCATTCGCTTCATTGGTCAATATCAATGCAATTTAATCTAATAAACGCCGTGAATCATTGCAGTCGTTCATATGATACAGATAGTCACGCGCTCGAAATGCATTTAGTAAGCTGAAAAAATCATTGCGACATTCATCTGAGATTACGTCTATTATAATCTTCGTTTTTTCTGAATCGAAAAAATTTCAATAGTCTCATAGGTTGAAGTACATTGAAAACATTGCTTTATGATTTTTATTCGAGGCGATAAAAAATGTGTTCTCCATTTTATTTCGATTTTATCAAAGAATTTTTCACCAAATATTTATATTGTATGACAACGATGCCTAATTCTACCGGCATTGTATGTTTATCGCTGCATATATTTTTTTATCTTATCTTACACATTTTTATGCTCTCTATTCAATGCCCCAACTAACAATTTATCCCCACACGTGAACATCTATTTTTATAATCTCAACTTTGACATAGTGCTTTTCGAGTGGATTATTTTGATTACGATTAAGATAAAGAAATTGGCTATTTTTAGGCTTGTTACAAATTCAATTGATGATTAAATATCATGTGAATAATTCTCATTCTTGTTCATTTGCTTCAAAGAGTGTAGCAATAGCTCTATGTTGCCATATATTTTGAATTTGAGTTCAATTTAATAAAAAGGATTCTCTATTCCACATTTAGCTGCTACTACTGGCGCTGAATTACCAATAGCTAGCGAAACAACGGATATTCCAGTGGTAGTTGATAATAACCCGGCTACACCGGCTGAAACTACGGAAGCGGCAAAGCCTAAGCCTACAAAAAGCACGGTATGTGATAACTTTTGATTTTCATTTTTTTTTTTTTCAAACAATATCAATACGTTGTATGTTTATATATGTTTATATATATTTATTATCAATTTTTAATCTTTAAATAAACATTGGTGTTATTGTTATTGTTATTGTTATTATTGAGTAGACTACACTTTATAATAACAATAATCGTGTAAAACCTTCCATTTGATAATTCAGAATATCAGTAAACAATTTGTTTATTTTTTTACAGCCCACCCAGGATCCTACTACCACAGAAGCACCACCAACAACAACAACAACAGCAGTTCCAACATCAAGTTCTACAACATCATCGACAACTGCGGTATGTGCATTTCAATCACGTACTTTGCAAAATATGTGCTCTTTGTTAATTTATGTTCTATAAACTGGATCAATAATTAGATATTTCAAGAAGACTTTTTTTCGCAGTCATTAACATGTAAAAACCGCGAAATAGTGATAAATCTCTGTTTATCAAATGATTCATTTTCTCTGATGACTTTTAAAAACTCACATTAGCTTATCAGTATAAGTCCAAAAAAGATTGCATTTTTTTTAAAACTTGATATTCCATAATAACCATTTCTACTCGTTATTTCGCGATATTTTTACAAGACAAAACAAGTTCCAATGTTCAAAACCGGTGAAATATTTGTATTTTTGTACGATACGGCAAAAGTGTTTATTTGACGACCGTAATCATGCTTTGTTGCAAATAATTGTTTTGTTATCGCGGTGACAGTGCTAATTGAATTTGCTTAAAGTCGAATATTCTGCATGTATGTTGTGTATAAGTAATCCAAATGTACTATATTATTTACAGGCACCCACTAGCACTAGCACGACTGCTGCTTCAACTACCACCAGCACGACTGCTGCTCCAACTACCACCAGCACGACTGCTGCTCCAAAAACAACAACTGTGGCCCCAAAACCCGTAGAACCAAAATCTGCCAAGTATTACGTAGAGGAAAACAATGTAACATGCATTTTGGTTGAGTTTGCCGCTCAGTTGAACATTTCATATGGCAAAGGTAACTAGAATGAATTTGATGAAATATTCGAATTTTAATTGACCTATTTTTCATTAATAAATTCAAAATATTCAATACATTCATAGATCAATACGTACTATACAACTTGCCAAGTAACGATAAATTTGTGCAGACAGATGGCAAATGCGGAAATGAGACAACCGAACAAAATTTGGTCGTCATTTGGACTGTTAATCACGAAATGAATACATTGAATTTGACCTTTAACTTAAATACAACGTCAAAACCAAAAGAATACTCATTGACTAAAGCCGTCTTCAATTTGTCATCGAGCATTATTCCAGACAATACTGAGCGCTTGGTATTGTATCATGTTGGTGACTTCTTTGAAACCCGCCAAACTCGCTCTTATCACTGTGGCAGAGCTCAAAAATTGAATTTAACCAAGAATGCTGATCCAAAATCGGAAGTAGTTGGAAATGTCACTCTTTCACATGTATTCATGGAAGCTTATCGTTCGGCAAACGACCAAAAGTTCTCAGAATCCCTCGATTGTGATGCCATCAATACACCAGGTAAACAATGCGTACAATTAATACAGTGATGAAACTCATTTATAAATTATATTTAACCATTTTGTTTTCATTTGAATATAGATATTGTGCCAATTGCCGTCGGAATTGCATTGATTGCATTGGTTGTGGTTGTTTTGATTGCATATTTGGTTGGCCGTCGTCGGGCCCAATCACGTGGTTACGTTAGTATGTAAATGCCCTCCATCGAACATTGAAGAGCAGGAGTGTGTAAAAAAAACACCAGAATAACAATTACTTTTGGCCTTCATTCATGTGCTAAGACACCAAACAAAACAAGAAAACAATTTAAGTGAACCGATCTTTTTTTTCTTTGGAATACCAACTCAAATCTTTTTTTTTTTCTATTTCAAATGCAGTTTATTGTGCTGTGAATTTAAAATCTAATGTTTTTTATACAAATGAATAAGAATGAACTGATGTTAAAATAAATGAAAATGAATAACACTGTAAAAGACATACAATCGCGAATTGGCGTCAATTTGTACCGTTTTAATGAAGTTCTTTTTAAGTAGTCAAACGTTTTTGAAGCTTTTCCTCATGAATTTTTGCGGATTAGAAAATACCAATTGAATACATTTCCCCCGAAGAAATAAAAGACATGCGAAAAATAAAGAAAAATATTAAAAACAAATTTAAATGTTTCATTTTAAATCGACATTGAAATTGCGCTTGAATGAAATTGGCATAAAATTCAGACTGAATTATTCAGTTATCAGTACAATGGTTTGCGATAAAATAATATCCACTAAAATATATCTCTTTTAATTCATTTAAAATAAAATGAATAGCCATTATACAGATAAAGAAAATTGAAGATAAAACGATTCATTGCACGTTAGGCATTTCGTATGTACGTTCCATTCCGTTCCGTGTGTACGTAAAATGTGACGTTTTGCGTTTTCGATTGCTTTGTGTGCGTTTGTATGTTTGTTATGAAAGTTGTTGTTGTTGTGACCAAATGTCATTCTGTTCTGTATTTTATTCAATTGTAAAACGTCATCCAAACGAAGAAGAAAAAGATTTCATTTCTCCTTGATGAAAATAGTGAACATTTGGTGGTCATTTCATTTTCTGTGTGATTGTTAAATTTTTAATTTGTTTCGAATAAAAATGGCAACGAGAACGCTATCACGCAATTTGCCCTATATAAATCAACAGATATCAGCATTGTTGGTCAACACGTCACCGTCGGTTAAGTTTATCTGTATCGTCACAATTTTCGGTTACCTGCTATCATTTTCAGAAACGGCTATAAAAGCATTGAGTGTGACTCCAGGGTACATACTACCACCACAATTCTGCATATGGACAGCGTTCACATTTTGCTTTCTCGAGCTATATTTGTGGGAAGTGTTTTTGGATATAATTATTGTTGGACTGTGTGGCAAGCTTATCGAACCATTATGGGGTCAAATGGAAATGATGACTTTTTTTGCAATCACCAATCTTGGAGTGGCCATTCTCTCATCGATGTACTATTTATTTGTGTATTTTTGCACAAAAGATGATGATCTATTGTTTAATGTTCATATCCATGGTTTGTCTGGCTATGTGGCTGCCGTTTGTGTTGCCGTTCGACAAATCATGCCCGATTTATTGATAGCTAAAACACGCATCGGAAAACTTACAAATCGGTGAGGAAATTTATTACTTTTTTGCATTTAAGATAAAATGGTGACTTTGTTTTAACGAAATAAGATTCAAAAGGGCAAAGAAAATAATTCAATGATTGTTTATATCTTTTACAGCAATATGCCATTGATTGTGGTATTTTTCTCGATAATATTTTGGCTGTGTGGTATTTTAGATGGCACCACTCCTACCATGTTTATATCAGGATTGATTGTGTCATGGATTTATTTAAGATTTTATCAATTGCATGCAAATGGAAATCGTGGCGATGGATCTGAAAGCTTTACATTCGCTAGGTAAATATTTTCATCGAAAACCCGGTGCCATAATGGCAATTCAAATATTTTATTTTATGTGAACGAAAATTTATCCCTTTTCTCCCATTAGCTTCTTCCCAACAATTTTGCAACCAGCAATCAGTGCTCTAGTCAACCCATTACATAATTTATTCTTGCGCATCGGCATAGTGAAACCGCATGCGGTACTGAGAAATTCGGCCCACTCACTGACATCAGTGGTGTCTGTTCAAAATGTCGATATGCATGATATGGAGCGACGAAGACAAATCGCCCTAAAAGCGCTAAGCGAACGGTTATCACGAACAACAGACTCAAGTAGACAGAAAATTTTACCCAAATCATTTCCACATCATCATAATCATCAAGGTCATGCTCATGGCCATGGACATCACCACAACTTCTCGGACAGCAGTCAACCTCCATTCATTGCTTCACAAAAAGTACCAGTGGAATTTACTATACCAGCAATCCCATTACCACCACCACCATCGATGGTAGCACCCGCACAACAATATTCGCAACCAACTGAACCGGCGGCTGCACAAAGTACCACAAACACTCTCATTGACTTGGGCACGCCAACCGAACCACCAAATAATTCATGAAGCTCAGATATAGATTTGATAGCAACTGTTTGAAAATTTAGTAAATTAATTATAATCAATTTTTAGATTTAGTTAAGGATGGATTTTAGTCAGTGTAATAATTCTGTTGAATATGCGATCAAAATTTCCTTTTCCTCTGAATTCATTACACACTACTCGCATATATTTCTTATCCTCTCATTCACGGGTTGATCGAGTTAATCCACGTTAGTTTTTTTTTTTTTTTAATTTTCAATTTCCATTCAATACCTGCGCCTAATTTTCATCGGAACGTCTTTTCGTTTCAGTTATATCCCTTTCAAGAAGTGAACAAAACAGACGATCAACGAATCGTTTTGAACATTTATGCACTTTGTAAATATTAAAACACTGATATACAATTTGATTTAAATTATTTGTCTTTTTTATATGATTTTTCGTGTCGTATCTTGGCTTTCATTCACATGCAAATTTAAAAAAAAGATATGAATAAAGTGACATGATTGTATAATGTATAATGTATAATCTAAGATGTAGATTAAGGAAATAAAACATATTAAAAACAAGAATTAAAGGATTTTTATGATATTTTTTTATACCTTTATATTTGTACAACAATTCAATGTGGTTTATTGACACTACTTACTTCAATGTCAAATGCACGGTTGGAATTTTATCGATCAAACATTTCAATATTAGGTTTTGAGAAATTTGGACTTTTCTTTGGTCGATTTACACAGTTAAAAAGTAGTAAAAAAATAACAAAAAATAAAAAAAATCAATTGGCCCTTTCGTGCAGTTTAATCGAAAAAAAAATAAGAAAAATGCCATCCAAAGACGTTTACACGCGTTTATTCGAACGAGACACAGTGAATTCGTTAGTTCGACGTAATTGTAGCAAGAGAATGTGTCAAGATTCATTGGACTTGGTACTATCTTCTGTTTATAATCATGAAAAAGATTTATTTGTTAGCAAATTTGACACATTATTGCAACTCGAAAATGCCAAATACAATCCAATCAAAGAAAAATTGTATATGGAAAAACTTGCGGCTCAAAGAAACGATATTCATCATCCTCTTGTTATGGGTAATTTTTAAATTTGGTCGATATTTTGAAAAAAATAATAATCCAATTTTAGGTGGAATAACGGAAAGAAAATCTCCGCATAGTATAAAATTGATCTGTTGCGGTCAACATACGCCAACCACAAATCCAGGATACTCCAGACAACCACTCGATGGAAACATTTTCAAATATTGATACTATTTATTTATTTAATTGAATATCGAAAAGGAGAGGCGTCTTCATGTATAACAGCCTCTGGCTACAAAAATTATGTACTGGGTATGTCTTGATAGTCATATCCCACCATTGACTGCATTTAATATGCGGCCAACGATGCACTATGAATAAAAGTAAAGTGAGTACCCTTTTTCAACGGCATTGCATCTCTCTCGTTTACTTCAATACTTATGTAATACATTGCAGCAGCGAATTATAAGCCTTGTGATTGTAAACAAAATTTAGTTGAGTATTTCTTTTGGAAAAGTGTTTTTTCCTGAAATAATTTCTGAATAAAATAAAATTCAATAAAAAACAAATTTGTTTCTGATTTGGTGTATGCATTATTTACGTTTATTTCTCCAAATAATAATAATGTTTCAGTTTCCTTAATGTGTAGTTAAATTTTGAATTGAAACGAATATCAATACACTTAGAACCTAAAGAAATCTATGTTGTTTCAGTTTACATCCAGTTACAATGTATAATTTTGAAGTAAAATTTAGTGAAAATTAATAAATCAAAATTTGGATAAATCAATTTTTTTCCTTTGAATTTAACAAATTGGTCATTTGTTTGAATAAAAAAAAGTTAAAACAATGAAATATTACCACTATTCATATGGACATTTGATTTGTGTTCCTATTGAACACGCGTATAAATCGGAGAAAAAAAAATGGTTTCGTTTTAGTTAGTAAAATAAGTGATGATTCTTTTGATACTCGGTTCGAACTTCGAATGAATCGCCTATAAATCCCTAACAAAATTCATTCAATTTCGGTTTTTATTCTAGTTCTGTACGGTACAAATACTTACCGACATTTAATTGTTATATTGAAAAGAGAAAAAATATATTTTGAATGAAAAATTGTATGTGTGTATGTAATATATATTTTTTTATATAGCCAAGATGATTTTTTGGGAGGGTTAAAATTGCATCTGAAAATAGAAAAATTTCAAAAAAATAGTTCGTTGTAAATTTAACTTGTGGCTTGGATAGAGGTAAACATATGTACAAAATAAGATTAAATTAGTTTGTTGTGAAAAAAAATGTATGTTTAAAAAGTGAGTTTTTCAGTCTTGTCATCATGTATACATTCATCGAAATGCGAAAATGTGTTCAGTCATTGAGAATGAAGTGTGCCGTTGGGCATGACACAGACTCGGTCTGTATCGGTTCATCCTTTTTATTGGGTTTTGACATCATTTACGGTATAAAAATATGAATTTCGAGCGGAGTTGGGATATATAATTGTTTGGTATAAAAAATGGCAGTGAAATTGGGATTGGGATTTTATGTGTGTGGTGTAAAAGATCGCAATTACTTTGTTTGCTTTGAGATGCGGTGAACGATTTGTAACTGACGATCTTTTTCTATGAAAATCACGCTCAAAATTGGTATAAAATTCAATAATTAAAAAAGGAAACCAAAAAAATAAATGATGAAATAAATTCGGAAAATTAAAATCGTGGGTGGTTTCATTTTCTTTGTTTGTTTGTGACAACAAATAAACTTAACCGCTTCGTCGACAACTTGGATGTTGTTGCGCACCACACAGCATTTATATATATATAATTCTGCCAGCAGTTTGAATATATTGTGTATGGTACTTGAAAATATGAGCCCGGAACATGATCTGGATCAATATGTGTGCAGCAAATCAGGTCGTTTGTTCACCAGCTCACAAAACGCCAAAAGAAACACCCACCCACAAACAAACACACACACACACACCGCGAACGCTGATTTTTTTGACCGAATTTTATATACAGATTGTTTGGCATTGGCATTTTTTAAGTTTCAAATGCCGGCACACGAATCACATGCCAAAAACAACCGTATAAACCGAAAGATATAGTATGTGTGTGTGTATGTGTGTGTCTGCTATCAGTGATAGTGCCAATATGTATTGTGTATTTGTAATCGTGGCAAATCGCGAGGCACGCATGCTATGAGCTCTTTGAAAACTGCTTTTTGAACGCAATGCACCCCGCACACACCAACATCGAATCAATGCAGCCTCGATTTTGCGATATCACCTAAACATTTTACGACTCTCTGCCCCATATTCTTAAAACCCTCTTCAACTCTACTCTGAAACAGCGCGATGTGCATACGAAGCTCTGAATCGTGTTCTATTTGACATATCACATAAATCGCCTTTCATTTCTCTGACTCTCTTTCTCTTTCTCTCTTTCTCTCTCTCATCTGTCACTCTGACACTGATTGATTCTGCTCAGACTGCAATTAACTGCTAAGCCGGAACAAGTGGCCTGCATATTAAAATTGTAGATGATTTTTTAGTATGTTTTATCAACATTTTTTGGTTTGTTTTCAAAAAATTTAACGTGTCTATTTTTTGTAAACGATTTTTTTTTTAATTACAAAAAATTTGTTTTTATTCTTTTTGGTGGATTGTGTGTATGTGTTTTGTGTTTGTTGGATTTGTTTTTTTTTCTTTATCGGGTAAAATAAATTTGCAAAGGGAACCAATGAAATTTAAAAAAAAAAAGAAAACTATTTGCAAAAATCTTAAACAACAAAAAAACCCATTATAAATATGCTACTTGAATTAAGAAAACCAAGAAAAAAAGACTGTATGTCGGTATGTATTGTGTGTGTGTGCGTGTGGGAAAAATAAATAGAGCAACAGCTTGAAATGTTGTACCAAAAAAGAGAATCGAAAAAAAAGCAACCAAAAAATTGATGTGATGTTTCATTCTAGAATGTAAAAAAAGGCTACAACGAATGATGATCGATAGCAGTTGATTTGCTTTTTTTTTTGCTTTCGGTCAATAAAATAATTGCTTTCGGTTTTGTTTCCGCAAAATGCGAGATCTTACACCAATTGAATATGTGAATGGCGAACGCATTGGCAGAATTTTGGTTTTGATTTGTCCTCAGAACTAAATTTGTTTCTATTTTTTATTTATTTTTTGTTCTCAAAGTTAACTGAAATGCATTCAATTTTTGTGTTTGTTCATATTGTAGTTTGTAATAGAAAGAGTGGCATAAAAGTTTTGTTAATGACTGTATTTTGATGCTTAATTTACCTTGACTATTTTGAATTCCATTGCGGACAATTCCAAAGTGTCTTATATTGGTGCCAGCTAAAAGAGAAAGACACACCTCAAGTTAGATGGACGTGAATTACGGCTTGGGTTTTTTTGGGATAGTTTACCTGTCATGATGAATTTAGTCGCGACTGCGACTACGTGAAATGCTTCGGCTGCGGCTAACCGAACGGTTACGGCTATGGCTTCGGCTGAGCGAATGTCGCTTAATTGGCGATTCTGAACGCCCGCGGGAACGTGAGCGTACCGATCTGAAATTAATAGAACAAATTGTTTTATTTAATGAAATACTGCCAAGTCATAAAATAATAAAGGCAAGTACAATAGGCAATACGTTTACCAAATTTGAATAACAATGAAAACATTTATGAATGTGGTAAAGTAATGGAAACAAACAAACCTGGAGCGAGATCTAGAAGCTGAACGGCGACCACGTGAATAGCTTCTATCACGACGTCCCCTTTCGCGAGAACGGCTACGTTGTCTATCACTATAGAATAGAAGAGAAAACATCATTAAAATTCAATTATGTCCATATACGTTTGAAGTGTGCGGGGGTGTTGAGAGAGTGTTGTAATTTTGTTGCTCATTCATTTTTTGAGATGTTCAAACTACAACAAAAAATTGAAATGAGTCAGTACTTTTATTTTCTCGTGTTTTACTTGTTTGCCAAAATGAAAACCACAGATTTCTTGCCCACACACCAATTCAAAACAACTTAGCCCATGATGGAAGAAAATGGCATCGCAACGAAAGTTTATCGCTTTTAAAATACCGATTTTACCATAAATGGTCATAATGCAAAAAAAAGAACGTTAAAAATAAAATGGAAAGGATTAATGAACGCTTACCGTCGACCGCCTCGGTCTCTGTCGCGACGATCACGATCTCGTCCGCCCCGGCGAGTTTGCGGTGATGTTGGACGACCATAGCGTGCCATTTGAACTCTCAATTCTCTGCCATCAAGCATGCGCCCATCCATGGCTTCAAGCGCGTCTTCGGCATCACGTTTGTCATAAAACCTACGCAAAACCAAAACAATACGGAACAAATTTAAATTCACACATATGTCATCCTGGTTATTAGCATAATGCTAATTTATGGATGTAATTGAACTCATCCAAATATATTGAAACAAGCAAACATTAAAAGTTGAAAAAAAATGCCGCATTTAATTGTGTAAAAAAATCGATTTTTCTGCTTACCGTACAAATGCAAAACCACGACTTTCCCGAGTATATCTGTCTCGCGGGATGTAAATATCACCGACTTCACCGCATCTCTCAAAAACACGACGCAAATCATCTGGAGTTGTTCGATAAGTAAGGTTATCGACCTAAAAACCATTAAATTCACACAAATTACCAAAAAATGCATCAAATATTATTAAAGTAATTAGAAAAGTATGCTATGTCTCGAAATTTATCAACAATTTTACCACCAATCAAGTATCACAAATAAAAAAAAAACGTAAAAAAAATCGGCGAAAAAATGCTTTTAATGTAATTTCGACGCCATTGTTAAAATTTCAACACTTTGCAATATGGGTTATATTTGTGGAGAAAATGCCTCACCTTTAGCGATACCATTCCATCGATTCTTGGCGGTGGTCTTCCGTAACTGCTGCTCATCGCGATCTGGTTTTGTCTATGAACACGGATGAAAATCACTTAAAATTCGTGTTTTGTCGGTTTGACTAATCTAAGCGTCTGAACAGTTTCAAAGTAGTTCTAAGTCTGTTTGATCGATTAGTTCGCGCTTGATGACGACGTGCTTTGACTGAGTCTCTATCTCTTCGAATATGCCGACTGAAGCACACAACACTAATCATTTTTCGAAATTCGAAAGCGCGTCCCTATCGGAAGACAGATGCCACACGTATTTGACACTATTTGTCAGTTGTTGTCTAACCTGCAGCAAAATTGATGAAACACATTTTTTTGTTATATATTTTTTTAAATAAAATAAATTTTATTTCATAATCATATTGGTGAATTTATTGCATTTTTCCATGATATATTGAACAAAATTAACTAATTTCGTCAGTTGGTGAAACGAAAAATTCGAACTGTCATTTGGCGCTTTGAATCGAATCGCACATGAATGTGTAATGGAATTTTACCGAAACAGTTGGTATCATTGTGTGTCTGCCACATAAAAAAGCCATTTTAATTGAAGTGCCGAATGTAAAAACGTGTGTGTGAAAATCTTAACAATTTTCACAATAAACCATTGCCCGAGGCAGTAGTGTTTCGTTTTATTATTGTAGACACTTTTCCTCATCTTCTTTGTTTTTGTACCATTTTTTTTTACAAATCGTAATTTTTTTTTGTAAATTTTTAAAATTCGGAAGTGAGAAAGAATTGAATATTCTTATAAAATTTAACTCATAACGATGGCACAAGAAGGAAACTCGGATTTCGCCTCAAAATTTTCCACATTGAATGTTAACGCCATGGAATTTGTGCCGAGTTTTGCATCAAATGTTCCAGCGCCCGCTGCACCAACATCAGCCGCACCCCCAACTCCAAACGTAGAACCGGCGGAAACAGAGCCAAAATCGCAAGATGCATCACCCACAAAAACAACAGACGATGAACCGCCTGTCGCTGTTGCAGCACCGTCGGAAACAATTGAAGATAAATCGCCTGATAATCCTGGTTCGTAACAACAAATTCGATTATTGTTTTCATATAATTGTCATACATGTAACTGAGTTCATGCACCGTGTCATCTATTTGTGACTCAGCATGCTGTTTATGTATTCATATCTCGATCCGGTTTAAAGCGGATTGATCCAGTTGTCACATTTTTTTTGCTGCCAACATTTCTATTCGATTTTTCATTATTATGCGTGTGGTGTTTGTTCACCTTATACACCTTGTGTATTAGTCATAATAGTTAATTGGTTACCATTCACTTTTAGAGAGCGAAGCACTTGACAGTTGGGAAGATGAAGTGGCAACAACACCAGAAGATGAGGTTTGTATCTTTTTTTTGTCACATTAATCGTCGAAATTATTCAGATTTGGCGTAAATTTTCAAAATTTATTGTTAGTTAAATTTCAATTTTTTTTTTGGAATTGTAAATAACAATGGTATTTTTTTTCTTTGAAAATAGGAAGGTGATGAATTGGGTGATGGAATTGAAAACAAACCAAAAGTTATCAAGAAAAAGCCTTCACTTGTAGAAGAAAACAAAAGCAAAAAAGAGCATGTGAACGTTGTTTTCATTGGTCACGTTGGTAAGTAACCGAAAATATCTTCGTCTGAATCAAAGCGATTAAAAAAGAATTGAATTTTTAAAATTAGATGCTGGAAAATCAACAATTGGTGGACAAATTATGGCTCTAACTGGAATGGTTGACAAACGTACATTAGAAAAATATGAGCGTGAAGCTCGTGAAAAATCACGTGAAAGTTGGTACTTGTCATGGGCATTGGATACAAATCAAGAGGAACGTGATAAGGGAAAAACAGTCGAAGTTGGTCGTGCATTTTTTGAAACGGAGAAGAAACATTTTACCATTTTGGACGCACCAGGTCACAAAAGTTTCGTACCAAATATGATTGGTGGTGCGGCTCAAGCCGATTTGGCTGTTCTCGTATTGTCCGCACGTAAAGGTGAATTCGAAACTGGTTTCGATCGAGGCGGTCAAACGCGTGAACATGCTATGTTAGCAAAAACCGCTGGTGTCAAGCATTTGGTTGTTCTTGTCAATAAAATGGATGATCCAACGGTAAATTGGGACGAAGGACGTTACAACGAATGCAAAAATAATATTCTGCCATATTTGAAAAAACTCGGTTTCAACATTGCAAAAGATTTGACATTTATGCCGGTGTCCGGTCAACAAGGTCTTGGCCTGAAAGATGTTGTACCATCTGAAATTTGTAGCTGGTATTCAGGACCGTCATTCATTGATTTTATCGATGCTTTGCCATCGATGAACCGTAAATCAGATGGACCATTCATTATGCCTATTGTTGATAAATATAAGGATATGGGAACGGTGGTCATGGGCAAAGTTGAATCGGGAACGGCGAAAAAAGGACAAAATTTATTGGTCATGCCAAACCGAACGCAAGTCTCAATCGATCAACTGTGGTCCGATGATTTTGAAGTCACCTCGGTTTGTCCCGGCGAAAATGTTAAAATTAAAGTTAAGGTAAATCAAATCGATCGAAGCACATAGAAACCGGTCACTTAGACGTGAATATTTTAAACCAATTTTTCTGTTTGTCTTTATTCAATAGGGTATCGAAGAAGAAGACGTTTCGCCTGGTTTTGTGCTATGCGATTCGTTGACTCCAATCAAGGTTGGCCGCAAATTTGATGCTCAATTGGTGATCTTAGAACATAAATCAATTATTTGTGCGGGCTACTCAGCTGTTATGCATATCCATTGTGCCGCTGAAGAAATTACAGTCGCTGTAAGTGTCACAAACGATATTTCATTTACTTCATTTGAAAATTTTGAAACTAAATCAATTGTTTTTGTGTTCGTGTGTTATTTTCAGGCATTGCTTTGCTTAGTTGACAAGAAAACTGGTGAAAAATCAAAAACCCGGCCACGATTTGTAAAACAAGATCAAGTAGCAATTATGAGAATCGAGTGCTCTGGTCTAATTTGCCTTGAAGAATTTAAAACATTCCCACAAATGGGACGATTCACCCTAAGAGATGAAAGTAAGTACCCAGGATTTTATCTAAAAAAAATCAAGTGGTTTTTTTAATTTATTAACCTGCTTGTTCATATTCTTTCAGATAAAACAATCGCTATTGGCAAAGTTCTCAAAGTAATTGAGTAAACTGATTAAAATTGAAAAGGAAAAAATGTTGGATTGGAATAGACCATAACACACAGAGAATATCTCAAATAAAAAGATGAACACATTTAAATGGATACACTAAAATTGTAAACTACATACCATTGTACTGCAGATCACGAATATCACAATCGACGCTTTTTTGACAAATAATTTCCAATTCCTACAAACAAAAATACCAGTTCCGAATAAAAAAGAAAACTTACTCTGTTATTGCATATTCATTATTTGTATTAACGCTTATGAGAGAAACCGGAAATGTAATAATCTAAATCGAATCAAATGAAAATCTCCCAAAATTCCTATATTCAATTCGTTTTCTCTTCCTCACACCCACACTCACTCTACTCTCGAATATACAGTAATTACTGTGCTGAAGAAGCGACACATATAGTTTAATGCATTATGTTAAATGAGAATAGATTTAAGACTGTTTTTAATTCTGATGCGTCACTTAATTGTACTTTTTTTTTCCTTGGCACGCACTTTGTATAAAAACCAGCACAATATCTATCGATGATATTACATCGAGAATGTGTCTTTTTTGAAATATTCTTTTCATGCGCATTTTTTAATTATCACATATTCTGTTTGTTTTCAAATTGAGACATTTCTATTATTATGTTTTTAAACGGTAAATTTATGCAGCTATTGAGAACAGGGGATTGGAAGATATAAACAGAAAAAAAATCAACTTGAAAGAAAGCATTTTTTTATAATGACACATATTTATTTTACATGTATTATTATTATTATTATTATGCATTTCTGTAGAAAAGCAAAATATAATTTTCATATCGAAAATTGTCTATGTTCTTTTTTCCTACATAATTCACACATTTCTGGCAACATTCCCGGTAAGTGTCATGTTTTTGAGTAGTTGCTGAAAAAAAACTCCTCGTCGAGACACCAAATTGGCATAACAAAAATTAATAATCTTTGTCTGTTCTTGAAGTTGATCTATAGCTTCTGACTATGAGCCGAGAGTCATAATTTGGTCAATAATTTTTGAAGACCAAATAACCAATACAAAAAATCTATTATCAAATAGGTGTGATATTTTTCCTGTTACCTGATATTTCTTTGTTTCTTTTCTCACTTTTTCCATCTTTTTTCTACCTGTTAAAACTGAGTTCTCAAAAACAATTCTAGTTCAAAGTTCAAAATGCTTGTTTGCTTTGAAACATAAAAAAATGTTGGTCAGTTGTCTTTCATGTTTTGATTGTTACACCACGACGTGTCTGTTTTTTTTGCTGAATTTTAACGAAGTCAGTTCTTGCATTAGAGAAATTCTGATTTTAGAGTGTGCGGTATGTAAAAAATTCAAATGAAGTGTACGATCATTTTGAATATATATGCAAGAGTAATGGGGCGAGCTAAATTTTTGAGGGAGGATGATTTTTCAAAAAGAAAAAAATTTCCAAAATCCCTGGCAAATCGAAAGATTTTTCTTCACTTTCCAAAATTGACGACCAAAAAAAGGTCCTTTATTTTCTCTAAAAAATTTTTGATTTTGAGAAAAACTTTGTAGTGAAAAAAATTTCAACACAAAGTTTTGTTGAAATTAGTTTAGGAATCCTCGAATATGTTTTTTCAGAGTAGCTTCTGTTGGTGGTTTTGTGTTTTGGCGTACACTTTTTCAAACCCTAGCGAGAATTACGAGAAATACTTAGATTATTGTTCATTGGGATACTCAACTCGAAATTTTGAGTACATCCAAATTTCACCAGAATTTAAAAAAAAATTGTACATTTCGAAAAATATGTTGTACAGAAAAGTAAACATCTTTAATTCCGCACCCAAAAAGTGAAAAATCGACTTTTCATCATTTTACCCTAATGGGAGAGCTCTGAATTGTTGGGAGACATGGGGTGAATGGGCGCGAGACGAATATTATTTCTAGTGTAATTTGGGATGCTGATTCCGAATTTCGAGGTTTGGAGTAAAAAAATCATGGGTTAAGGGGTTATGACTCCGACCCCCTGGGGTGCCATACACAGTCAAAAAAAGTTCGCACAAAAGAGAATGAAACATTTACATATGGCTACTTGATGTTTTTTTACCATGAGTGACCTTGAGTGAATTCTACTGCTGATATTCGCCTAAGCAGCGAAGATGAGCCGAGTGTACACGAAGCGTGAATTCTTCTATTACGGGTAGTAAAAGTCGTATTGGCCTTAAACGAGGATTTTGTCACATTTAACATCACTTAGCAGTTTTTATTTTGGGGCATATTTTCTCATTTTTTTTGTAGTACTTTTTTTGTTTATAGAGATCATCTTATCAAGTCAATTGTATTCAAATTTTATAAAACATTAGTTGCTTGAAAAAATATTTTTTTTATAATAAGTTTGGCAAAAGATTTTGCACTTATGTATTTGTTGGGAAAAAATTGAAATAGACTGAGCAGTCATGATTCAACGCATATTTCATGGTAACATGGGACAAGTATAGTTGTCAGACAGCGCCAGCTGTATCTATCCTATAAACATCGAAGGGGGATTCTTCTAAAGTTCAGAGAATGACGTTTGCATATAAATACATGTAAAAGACACTTTTAGGATCGTCCTATGTATGCATGGTAAATCAATTTTGCATTGAAAAATAAAATTTGATTGTGCTTCTTTTTCATATATAAAAGACCTGTGTTTTATTTCGTTTTATACAGGTGATTTGAATTTATTTTACATGTTTTATTATTATACATTTCTGTATAAACGCAAAATACAATTTTCATATCGAAAATGGTTAATTCGTCATACTTTCGTTTTGCCTATATTGTTTTTGCTTGTTTACTTTGGCTCTCACCCGTTGTTTCAGCATTTTGGCGCTTTTGTTTGTTTTTATTTTGGTTCTGGATTTTTTTGGGCAATTTTTCGTCACCAATCCTGCGCAAAAAAAAATAGAGAATATATTATGAGTTTCTTTTCATCAATCAATTAAATAATGTTAACTAACATAAGTGTTGATCTTGTACCCGGTCCCCAATTTGGCATTGGGTTGGCCGGAAAACGAGACAACGCCTTGGCTCGACTGCTTGGATTTGCCTCGGGATGAATGTCATTCAAATTGTATGTATTTTCGGGTTCTTTGCTGAACATAGCCTTAACGATGGGATTCTTTTCTAAATGTTTTGCATTCACTGGATTCAATTTGGCCCAATTCCGTAAAATGTCCCACAATACATTCGACGGTGCATTTGTTTTAATTGAGGTTTTGTTGGCATGTGAAAAAGATACTTTGTATCCAGCATGAAGCAAAGCCGAACGTAATTTAACTATTGGTATACATTGTAATTTCAAAACACAACACACATGCTCTAGCGTATAGTATAACGGTACATCTAACAATTCTTCTCGAATCACTGACAACATGCCGTAAATACGTTGATTTGTTTCAAGATTTTTATACGGTTCTGTCTGAATTAAATTATAAAGCATGTCCACAAATGCCTGGTCGTGAATTGGTGCCGTCCAAATCGGTCCGCCCATGTGATAACGACTTTTGCACTGTTCACAGTTCTCTTTGACACTTGGAACCACAGGCAGAGCATATTTAAATTGATTTGGATTTTTTTCGGTTCCATTTGGTTTGAGAATACCGAGCGGTTGAAATGTGTGCGTCGAACACCCGGTGCATTCATAAAACATCGACTGTTTACTGCTACTCTTTTTACATTCCAACGGACTTGTAAATACGCGCACAAAAACACGAATATAAAAATCTGCCGAAATACTTAGCAGTGGTTTAATGTATCTTCCATATCGTGTCGCATGCGATTCAATGCAACGCAATAGAATTCGCAGAGCTTGTTCATGACATGCCTTTGTTTTTAATGGCACCGAACCGTATTTCGCATAACAAGATTCTGCATTGTTTCCAGCTAAAATCGCCATATCGGTAGCAGTTATCAGTAAAATACCGCCTTCGGATATACTCTGCACGGCACCGTCCAAAAACATTGTTGGGTTTCCATATGGATCTATGAATGGAATGAATGAATTAATAATGACACATTTAAAATGTGATTGACGCTCCGTTTTTTACCCAAATCAATTGCATCGAATCGACTTTTGGCGTCAACAGAGTTGTACATCAGTGTCGTTGCATTCGCCTCACTTGCCGTAACTAAATGCTCAACATTGTTTAGTTTAATATTCTCTTTAATCGATTTCACAGCCGCTGAAGATAAATCGTTGGCGATAATTTCTTTGATGCCAGGGACCTCTTTGGCATATCGAATGCTTCGCAGTCCAGTCGCCGAGAGTGCTTCCAAAACACGGAGACCATCCTATTGACAAGAGAATTACGCTTAGTTTCAAATGAACATAGTTGCTTTAATAAAGAAACCAATACCGAAAAGTCATTGCCAGCCACTTTTTTCCCACTTTTTCGTTGTTCACTTTCATTTTGGCAAATTTTCCAAAATGTTGATAGCACGGATAGACTCAAATCCCGATTAAATTGCTGCACCGGATTGTAGAAAACACGATTTTCGGAAATAATTTTTGCACTCCCTTCGCATATTTCAACAGTTACCGCTTGTTCCATTTTCTTAATCAGCTGTAAAGAAAATCGAAGCTTATTCAATATAGGCATTCATCATAGAATTCACTTATTTACGTTTTCATTCGTTTGTATTTCCATATTCATCGGTTGTATTTATATTTCGGAACTATTGTAATGCAATCTGAAGCACGTGTATGCATTTGAATAAAATATAAATTGAATGTTGACAAGGAATGTCAAACTACACACACTGCTATTTTGACAGAATGAGTTTTTTTTCCACTCACTTCGAAAAAATAACTTCGAAATCTAACCTCAATCGAATGTCATAAATAATTGAGTTTCATATCGTCGTTCTGGCAAACATAAATAATTTTTCGGTAAAAATGTTCAAAGTTTTGCGATTAATTTGCCAACAACGGCAATTTTCAGCAGTAAATGCTGCACGCCAATTTTCCTTTAAAAGCGACCTTTCACCGGAAACGATGTATCCAAATAGTAAACAAAAACTATTCACACCATCGCCACCACCGCCTGTAAGTCAGGTTGGAGCATTTCTTATAATTTGAATTGAGATCAACTGTAATTTGATTTGGTTTCTTTTAGCGAGCTGATAATAAATTTAATGGATATATTCCGATGAACGCTGTCACCGTCACATACTCACGTAGTAGTGGACCAGGCGGACAAAATGTTAATAAACTTGATACAAAAGTCGACCTTCGGTTTCATGTTAAAACATCTGAATGGATACCTGAGGCTGTACGAGAGAAGCTTCTTATTACCGTAAGTTCCAAAGGTTTTCATTTCAACACATACCTACATTTTAATCGTTGCGGTGAATAGATTGCTTACTTTGTTCTAATGAATGTTAAAACAAGCAAAAAAGTCTATACGACAACAAGGTCTTGTCAAAAACTTGATTGCATGATTTGGCAAAAAGAGCTATTTTTCTTCATTGCACCGATTCATCTCAAGGATGTCGTTGAATTCCCGACAATAAATGAATAATCTAATTATCATTTTCAGCACAAGAATCAAATCAACAAAGAAGGTTATTTCGTTGTTAAAAGTGATTTAACCCGTTATCAACATATGAATTTGGCCGATGCTTTGGAACGTGTTCGAAATATAATTCGACAATTGGAAGAAGAACTGACGCCAAAAGAGTTGTCACCGGAAAAACTGGCAAAAATCCAGCGACAACATGAAAAATCAGCAAGGGAACGATTATTTATCAAACGTCAAAAATCCCAAGTAAAAGTTGATCGACAATATGGATAGTATGTAAAATTGTAATAGCTATTGTGGTATTGTAAATTAAAAAAAACATCAAACGAAATAAAAAGCAGTTGATACTAAAAATGCAAATGGTTTTTCATCTAAATTCTTGTGTGGTTTATTAGAGGGTCGTCAACCATTCTTGCGAATTATATGTAAAAAAATATGAATCTAGGCATGAAAAATACCGCTAAATTGGTATTTGATATAGAATAAAGTGGCTCTTAATTCTCAATTTCTATACAATATAATATAGTTAATAATTAATAACTTGAATGTACTTAATCTTATTATTATAAAAATAATTTCCAAACGATATCATAAATAGCTTTGTAAATAATCGGAAATATTCAAATCATAACCATGATATCTCAGTAGCTCCGTGCCGGTCTTTATAAACTGAAATGATTGAGAAAGACAATAAAAATATTAGCAACGATGCGATATGCTAATTAAACTTATATACACGTATACCTTTTCTATGGTTTGCACATAATTATGACTGTTTCGATCAATCACATTGAACACATCAGCAATGTCATTGCGCAGAGAGCTGCAATCCTTAATAATATCCACTTCGAATCCATATGGAATTATGTCAATGGTGTCTTTATGTATATCTTTGGGCAGAATGTACATGCAGCTATGAACAAAGGAAAATTGTTATAGTTAGCATTCCGAAGAAGAAGAAGAAAATGATGAAGAAACGGAAGCAAAAATCGAAACTTACTTAAAACCCATGTCGATGCAATTCAAAATGAATCCAATAAACGGTCGATCACTTTCAATGGAGAATTGAAGTTGCATATCGGCTTGTGTACCAACATCGGTACGTGATGGATTTGCCTCGAACGTTGGATGCGAATGGAACCAGCCAACCAACTCATATCCTTCATTCGTCATATTGGCCGCTTGTTCAACTTGTGAAACTAAAAACACAAAATGCAAACATACATTAAATTAAGGGTTCCAGTTTGAGAAATATGATAAATTTCGAAATTTACCTGGGCACATTTCGCAGGTGGTTGTTGTTTGATGTGCGGTTTTGCATGGTTTGTACCGTGTCAGACTCAGTTTATTTCGACCAGCCGATTTTGTACAAAATCCGCCCAAAAATCCCATCACTGAAAGATAAAAGATTGAGGAAGTATTAGCAACGATACAATATACCAATTAAGCATAATACACTTACCTTCAAATTTCGAAGACAATGCATGCAGGTACAAACACAATAACGTCGATAGATTCATTGAAACCCTGAATGGTGGTACTTTTTCTTTGGGAAAGCGTAAACATTCGATAAGCTCAAATTCCATTTTAATTGGTTTAGATGCTTCGCGCCGTAAACTTTCACGATCTTTGGGTACAGCTGCGTATACAAGTGTCGGCACACCATTCACATGGCTGACCGTATAATTTGCGTCAATCTCCTTTTCCGTTGAATGTACAGTAATACTTTTGTTTCGTTGGCGTCTGCCCAATATTAGCGATGAGCTCATATCGTGATTACCACTTGAATGTAAACTTTTTTTATTTTGTACACTTTGCATAAAATGTTCCTTTAATTTAATCAATGGTCGAATATATTCAAAATGTTCTCTTGCATAGCCAAAATTGATTGCGCCAATTTGTTCGAGCATACAATGAATGCGACTGATACAATTCACATCACCGCAATGTTTTAAACCATTTCGAACGGTTGTTTTACTCACATAGCCTGGTTTTGTTTCGGCCCATGCATTCAATATGAAATCACGAATCTTTGTATAACGTTCCGGCGTTTTAGTTGGACGTCCTTCGAAAAATTCCGAATGAAAGTACTTTTCTAATTCGCTGACTTGATGCAATGGTAATACCAGCTCTTCCGTTGGCCCATCAGGATTATTTAAAACACGCAACAGCTCTGGATCGATGTCATTCAAATTGAGTTTTGGTTCTTCTGGTTCTTTCTTTTTAATTGCTTTGATTTTAAGTGGCGGCACTTTTTCGGAAGTTATTGGTTCCGTTGGTTCAGACTTTACTATGGAAAACATTGCACTAGAATCATGAGATTCAATGAGATCGTTTGGAGTGTCCGATTCAATGTCAATTTCAACATCTGATTCTGATTCGTGCCTGATTTTTGCCTGTAAAAAATTATCAAAAAGAAAAGAAAAGAAACGAATTAGAGGAATATTAAAAAAAGGGATCATTTTCATCGTACCTTATTCGAGCTAATGTTCGGTTTAGAATTTAATTGAAGTATTTCATCGTCAATATTCGATGTGTATTCGGTGTCGGCCTCATGATTAATGGTGATATTTTCACCATGTATATCAACAAATTTTTTCGATTTACCGCTAAATGACTCTTTGCCACCATTTTTCGCCTTTGTACTGCTACCTGTGTGATGTGTTCGATGCTTATGTTTTTTCGGACTTTTCGATTTTTTATTGCTTTTTACATGTCGCGAATCGATTTTAACCGCCACACTAAATTTCGATTCCGATCGTTTAATTTTCAACGGTGCCACTTGTTCATTGTCATTTGATTTATCTCTTTGAATTTTGAGTAGTGATGTGCCTGCCTTTGGATCAACGGTAAAATTTTTCCGATTCAAAATCAATAGATTTTTGCTAACCATTAATGTTTGTTTGAATTTCACAGCCGGTTTCGTCGGTTTGTCCAAATTCGATGCACCATCCAATGACATACTTTTTGCATTACTTGATTCAGGCACATAAGTATCAGGTAATTGATTTGAGTACTTTGTTGAATCTCTATCGTGACCACTCTCTTGTGACGATTGACTGCAACAGTCTGAGTGGTCATTGTCTTCATATGCTGTTTCTTCGGTACCAATCACCACCTCCTCTTCAATCGATGCGGGTATGTCTTGTTCAAATATGATATCGCCACAATTTGAGGCTTCTTCGGTTTCACGTTCTTCCACCCAATCGAAATCAATTGGTGCTGGCTCCTCAATAACAACCTCATCTTGCACCAATTCCATTTCGTCTTGTGAACTTTGTTTTGGTAAGTTTTCCGGCCATAAATTCTCCGCACCATCGTTGTTATCCGTTAACCAACGCGGATGAACTGTATATTCACATGATAATATTTGACCAGAACTAAGATTTGATCTGAAACAAAGAAAATTTCAATAAATTATGTGGACGATTTTGAATGCAAAACGCATTTTCAGAACGAAAATTACATTTCTCTTTCGTTTTTCGACATAAAATTATCCAAACCACCAACTATGTCCACCTCTTCGTCCTCGTCCATATTTGTTTTGGATTTTGGTTCTTTTATTCTTACCACCTGAGCCAATTTAATTGATGTAACATTAATGTCTCTTTTGTTAGTAATAACACATTTGGTTTTTTCTCATAAAACACAATTCTTCACAACAATTCAATTTTATTTCGTCGAATAAATACATTAATTAACGTTGAATGCAAACCAAATGAATTTTTATCAAACTATTTGGGCAGAAACAATGAAAGAAAAATTCTGGAAAAGAATTTGTGAATGTTTATTGTTTTGATGAATTGGAAGCGAATGCAAGCGCAGTTGTCATTAATTACGTATATTTTATAATACTTCTGTCAGTGTCATATCATGCGACGACGCCATCTTGTGTCCCAACGACAAATTTTTACGACGCAGTTTTTTTTTACGTTTTGGAAACGATGTTTAATAATGCACATCGACAACAGAAGAAAAAGAAACAATTTAATATAATTAATTAATCATGTATTAATTGTTTTCATTATTATTATTGTTATTAAGATTTGTGAAATATCTTTGAATCACGTTATGAAAATTGAATTTTAAAATGAATACCAATTTCTACAAATAACTTCTTAAAAAAAATTATTTTTCTTTTTATAATAATTTTTTCATTTTAAATTTCATTATAAAAAGGAAATAAAAATGATAAAATTTCATGTGAGTCATAAATTACGAATGTGAAATCACAATATTTGATCAATTCGTTCTTATATTCCAAGAAACATATAATTCTTCTACTAATAATAAGTGATTCACACAAATGAATGTGAAAAATTTCGCAATATTTCTAAAAATTTCAATTTTTCGCATTTGTATTCAATAACGGGCATCTATCGCAACGTATCGAGATAATATTTTGGATATCACAATTCAAATGTGACAGCTTGTCGATGGTTTGACAACCAGAATTATTGGTGTGACACACACGTGTAATCAGATGTTGTTATTTTCTGTTTCGATGTTTTTTTTTTACTCCAATCTCAATCGGTAGAATTTGTATTAATGTGATATACATAAAAAATGTCTAAAGTGAAGCTGCAACAGCACATTGCCACAACGCAGAAGCAATTATTAAAAATAAAAGAAAAAAATCAAAAATATGTGCCAGGTACGGTGAATCTACAAATTGTTGGAAATGGAGCTCCGGGAGCACCGGCTTCGGTCTATCTGTTTACAGATCAATCAAGGTGAATCAATACTGAAAATCATCATTATTTACCCATTGAATAATAAAAGAACATTTTTTTGGTACTATAGATATCTCTTCAATTGTGGCGAAGGATTTCAAAGACTTGCCAATGAGCATAAAGTTAAATTAACGCGATTGGAGCATATTTTCATCACACGTCGAAAATGGCATTGCATTGGTGGTATGCCTGGTCTCAGTTTGACTATACAAGATGCCGGAGTGCCTCATATTACACTTCACGGTCCAACTAAATTATACGATGTTTTTCGAGGAATGCGAAGATTTGTGATTTTGAAAAATCTCAAAGTCGATGCGCCGCAATGTAATCAGAATGGATTCTACGACGATGCCGTATTAAAAATTCATTACTTACCACTTAGGTATGTTTGGCAAAGTTTTAAGTTGAAGAGATTGGAGTTCAATTACCTTTTTAATTTGATACTTGCAGACGAGATGAGAGTAGCGACGATTATCCTGTGATGTCATTCATTTGTGAATGTAAGCCAAGACCGGGGGCATTAAGTTTGGAGAAATGTTTAAAGTTGGGCGTCCCAAAAGGTCCATTGTTAGGAAAATTGAAAAATGGCGAAACGCTTATTTTGGATAATGGCGTGACCGTTCGACCAGAAGACGTTCGTGAACCAGACGATCCTGGGCCAGTTTTTCTAGGTACGAATGACGCAGCAACTATAAAGTTAAATGTATAATAATAATGGTTCGATTTTAGTCATTGATATTCCATCGATTGATTTCCTGATAAGTTTACAAAATAATGAAAAATTCACTGAATACTTGCGCAGCAGCCATGCCGAACCCGACCGAACCGATTTAATTTTACATTTTTCACCAGCATCTGTCGTTGGCACGGATGAGTACAAGGAATTTGTAGAGTCATTTCCAACTAGCACACAGCATTTACTTATAAATGAACAAAATACGTGAGGAAAAAGTTTAAACTCTATTTCGAGAGAGAGAGAGAGAAAAACAACCGAATTTTATACATTTTGTTATATTTTTAGATTCTCCGGTTATGTGGCTGCACATCGCATGCAATGGCAATTAAATCAATTGAATGAATCTTTATTCCCCATCCTAAAGTAAGCTCACTCAATTTTATTTTACATTTTCACAATATACCATAAACCTACATAATTAAAAATGTAATTGGTGCAATATTATTTTTATGGTTGTTGGGGTCGTTTTTTTAAAATACATTTTAATTAATTTCAATACTTTATCTCTAGAGAACCGCTTCCGGTAAAACAGGATGAATTCGAGAATTGCACAAAAAAGATGAAATTGAGTGAAACACCACCGCAAGCAGATACGGATCAACAAGTATCGAGGTTACAACATGCAATGCCAATGACATGTGTTCATTTGCGTCCTCGAAAATGGATTGATCGAAGTATTGAAGCGAGACCAAGCTCGGCTGAATTTATTAAAGAAATTACCGACATTGACGGAGTGACTGAAACGTTAGATGCTTTGAAACGGGATCGCTTACATTTATCACCTGTTGATCGAAATTCTCAGTATCCGAAAATTGTATTTTTTGGCACCGGCTCATGTATTCCGAATAAAACAAGAAATGTTAGTTCGATTCTGGTGCACACAACGTATGTATTCGGATAACAAACGACTTTTGGCAAATTAAATTGATGTATTTGATTACAGAAAAGACGATTGCATATTGCTCGATGTAGGTGAGGGTACACTGGGTCAAATATATCGTTTCTATGGTGATGAATCGGATGATGTCATTCGAAAACTTAAAGCTGTTTATATTTCACATTTACATGCTGATCACCATATTGGTAAGTATTTTGACCATTTTTTTTGTTACGATTCCAATTACGTAATAATTGGAATTGATTTATTGCAGGTCTTTTTGGCATAATTCAAAAGCGGCATCAGTTACTCTGCGATGAAAGTACACCAATTTTATTGTTTGCTCCCAACGAAATGAGTTCATGGTTGACATTCTACGATAGTGAAATCGAGCCAATTAGTTCCGAGTTTGAATTGATCGATAACGGTTCATTGGTAAACTTTTCTTCTTTTCAAGCTGAATAAAATTGAATAAAAACCAAATAAAAAAAATACTTATACAGATAGACGAAGGTTTGTCAGCAGAAAAAGCGGCCCTCGTGGGACTATGTTCACTTCGTACCTGTGGCGTTGTCCATTGCCCAAATGCATTCGGCGTCACAATGACAATAAATCAAGATCAACCATTTAAATTGACGTACAGCGGTGATACGAAGCCATGCAATGCACTAATCGAACTCGGTTTAAATTCAACATTATTAATTCACGAAGCCACCATGGAGGACGAACTACTCGATGATGCATTGCTAAAAATGCACAGCACAACATCGCAGGCCATTGAACAAGGACACAGAATGAACGCAAAATACACATTACTAACACACTTTAGTCAAAGATATGCAAAGATTCCACGCATCGAACAGCATTTAGTTGAGAATGTCGGAATCGCTTTCGATAACATGGAGGTTGTCTTGAGCGATTTAAATTATTTAAATACGTTGTATCCGGCAATGAAAACAATATTCACTGAACATTGGGAGCTCATGGAGCAGAAATCAATAAAACGAGCCAATAAAAAAGCGGCAGAACAGTCAGCAAATGTGATTACCAATTAATTCCAGGCTGGAAAAATGCATTTTAAAAATGTGAATTGCTTTTATAATAAATTTGAATTAAAAAGAAAAAAATAAAGTTAGTCAAATTATTGTTGCGGATGTTTATTTTTGTCTTTCGAAATTAGTGTTACTTATCGTCAAGATAAGGACGCATATCAGTTTGTTGTATTTCCTTTTTGCTTTGCTGTATTAGTTCCCACAGTTGATATACTTTCGGTTGAAGTTGATGTATCATTTGATTTTATTACATTAGCTTCTATTGTCGTGAGAGAAATGTTTGCCCAAAAATAGCTGTCTATGTATTTTTCGAGTTTTTGAACAAATGAACGTACAAGCTCATTGTCGGAAATGTTTCCGCTATTTGATTTATGTAAAAACTATTCACGAGAAACATATACGATTAGAATCAGTGTGATTATGTACAAATCAAACCTGCGCAAGTGTTCTACTCTTGGTTGCCTCATATGCGGAAAAAGTGTTATCCGAAATATTGTTATGTAGGATTTATAAAAATTCAGCGCATTATTATAGTGCACCAACGTTTTGTGGTATGTGCTGTTTAAGCGATTCAAAGCTTTGTTGACCTCTTCACGTATGTCGTTGTCAACTAATGACCATTCGCCCCTTTTTTTGCTCGTCATACTGTAATACAGTAAATGTATCAACGATGAAAAGTCAAAAGATCAAAAACATAAAATCATTATTTTTTGTATAAGAAAAACCCTACCGTTGTTAATGCCTCATCTTTGACCTTTTTTAATACAACAGGAATGTCAGCAAACGAAGTCGTTTCATCAATAGCTTTGTTCACTTTGGCGATTACTTTAAGCATCAATTCTTCACTCAAATCCTTATTTTGTTCAGATATCAAAATCAAATTTAAATTTCAAATTCGGCGCTGAAAACTTGATGGCATAAAATGCCAATTAATAATATGGCAATGAAAACACGCTTCATTTGGACTGAACATCTATTTTTGAACTGATCTCACAATACGGTTGCTCAGTACTATTCACGCCGATTTATTGTTTTGTTATTGTCACGTAATAACATATTTGTAGCGCTGATAATCAAAATGACTCAAGAGATTGAACATCGGTTGGTACTTTCCAGGTCGTGATTGCCACCAAAATTCTCTCCCGGCTCCGAGATAAAGGTGCACACTAGATTGAGATCCTTTCCGGAATTTGCCTTTTCGCTTCTTTGGCATGTCCACCCAAAATTCCTTAAGTCATATTCACTCTCGACTACACATCGACAGATCGTTACTCCTTATCATTTTAACTTTCGACTTTTACTCTATAGAAAGTGATAATTACATCGCATTGTATTCAGAAATGTTACGAAAGAAGGGCCCATACAATTTCAAATATTGTAAAAAAATTGATTTGAGGTTTGTTCACATGAACCGAATACACTCGCTTTTGTGAGCAAATCAAAAAAAGAAAGTAGGCAATTCAAAATCGGATTATAATAATAGTTTTCGTGTATCAAATACATGTTTTTCCACTTCCGATACACGAAAAGGCTGGCATTTTGATTCATTCATCGGTGTCGGCTTTGCGTGAAAACTATTTGAAATATCGCCTGATTATGGTAATTCTTGTTGTTGTTTTAAAGTATGGCGTTTCATTCTGCGATTTCTGCTTGTAGAAATAAACTTTATTAAGGTCATATTTCATCGATGTAAAGAGCAAGTAATATTAATTTTGGATGTCACAAATAAAATATTACTAATTGAACCAAATTAATGCTCAATTTTCAGCAGTTTTCATTTTCATTAGCCAAGCAGATTTACCAACTGATGTTGTATGATAATTATTGAGCGACAAACGCGACGCGTAAAGTTTTTTCTTTCATTTTTTCCCAAAGTTTGATTCCAAGTTTCGTTCAACCAAACCGCAGTCTTTGCGTTTGTTTAACATTTCGTAGTAACCTAAAGCTATAATTAATTACGGGTAAGTTTTTGAATTGTTTATGACAGGTTTGGAAGGAGTTATTATAGTTTGATAAGGGAACAACCAACTTTATTTTGACTATGTAAACGCCGCGCCATTTCTGAGCTGTAAAGAGAAATCAGATTAAGTTATTACAATCAGAACATTGTGGCAATATAGTGGTTAAAAACGACCAAAAATGGAATGTCAAAGGATCCTTCACATATAATTAATTCTTTGTGCGAAAAGTTGAACTCTTTATCGAGCTGTTGAAAGCAAAATTTTACTCCTTTGAAGTATGTCTTATGAGATTTCTTTATCAAAATTTCTTCATACCAAACATAGTGGTAATTCACTCACTTGGCGCTGTGATGACTGCCGAATGTGTCAACAAGGTATTTTTCATGGAATGCCAAATGGTACGAATTCATGAAATGCCACATAAATTCTCACTCCAAAATAATTTTCATCATTCTGTTGACACACATTCGTTATGTAGCCGTAATGTTCATCACACACACTCTCTAGAGAGATAGCGAGATAGAGAGAAAGAAAGAAAGTGAGAGAAAAACTTGAAATGTGTAAGAAAATTATTCAATTCTTTTCGTTTGAACGGTCACAAGTGCTCACTCAACTTTTAACAACGATGTGATATAAGCAAGGCAACATTGTCTCTTACTTTGTGTATTTTCAAATGTTGAGTATTTCAACTTATTCACATCATATCGTATCAAATTGAAGTACTTTCCATTTCGTTATTTATTCAAATTCTAATATGTATTCAAATTGAAATAATCAACATGAATTGCAAATACCGAAAAAAAAAAACAATATGAAATGCAGAAGAACGATTTTTCCCCACTGACAACTGAGCTAGATTGATTAAGAGCAGGAATTGAATGAATCCAAAAAAGAATCATCCACATTCACTTCAGATTTATTCAACTCGTCAAAAAATGATATGATACCTGCTCGTGAACCTAACATTTGTTTTGTTGTATTTACATACCTTTCGGTTGTTGTTTTTTTTGCACGCACTAAAAACAGAAAAAAAATGTTCAAAACGCACTTGATTTGTTTTGTAATTTATTGATTGGTTTTATTTATTTATTTGATTTAAATTTCAAAATATAGAAAAATCACAAATTTACAGTCAAAAAGTATGTAGTAATTTCATTTTAGTTGTATTTTTTTTGTTTATATAGATATACGCATTGTATAAGTAAAAAATATATAAATAGCATGAAGATTTCACTAGATTTGTTGTTGTTTTTTATTTTTATTTCATTTTGGTTCAGTTATCAAAACGAATCAGTGAAATGTGGTGAGCATTCACTCTGGCGCTTTGCTGCCAGATGAAATCAAAGCGCAAGAGAGTTGAATGAGTGAGGAAAAAAGTGTGTAGCTGTGTGTTCATTCGAATGTTTTCAAGGTAGCTCACAACACATTTACACTGGTTAGTTTCTACAGCATTCCAGTTTTGGTACAACGCATTTGGTGCGAATTGAATTTTTGTTCAAATCTATGAACGTTCTTCACATTCTTTTGCATTAGGGCAGTTATCCGACAATATCCGTGACATTTAAATTCAAATGCGCGTTTTACAAAGGTAAAAGGTGTCAACGGAATTATTCAGAGTTGAATGCATTATTCTGCACCAAATTTATTGCGTTATTCGATGATTTCGTGTTCGCATTAAACGAAAATTTCATGTGCACATCCTCATGTTGACATTTATTTCACATTTTTAATTGCGCAAGTGAATGCAAGCGCGAAATCATTCTCTTTAACTTTTGAAATGCATTTTCATTAATAAATTGCATTTTGCACCTTATATTCTCTTAACATCGTGTGTTTAAATCGTTAAAATCAATGTTTCAGAGCACTAACTACAAATGAAATAAAAAAAAGAAAATAGTCGTCAACACGCTGTAGTGCAGCGATTAAATAGATATAGAGAAAGAGAGAGAAAGAAAAAAAGGCGGAAACATAGTATAGTCCCGTGAAAATATACATAAAAAACAAAAATTATGTTTAATCACTAGTCGTTTCAATTTAGCACAATATTTTGGATTTTGTGTTTACAATATATATAAAACAAATTCCTAATTAGAATATTTTTAGTTATTTAAATCTAATGTACAATGAAATGCGTTTGGCTAACCGAAAAGTTAAGAGGATGTGCATTTAAAATGTCATAAGTCGCTTAAGTAAAAAATAGATTCTAATGTATTCTTATGAAATAGATTTGTTATGTTGTTGTTTTCATCAATTTCATCCTAAATATGTTAAAATTTGATTTGAAAACATTTCAAATTGTGTATCTGTGTATGTATATTCGCAGAACTGGTCAAAAAACTTTCCTTACTTATATTGATATTGATGTGTATGATTGTATGTTGTGTTGGTGTGTGTGGTTGAATGATATTTTCAGTTAGAATAAATAAAATCTATGCTCTATTTATTTTCCTTGGCATTAAGAAGATGGATTAAAATCGTTATCATTATGTTAATTTACATAAAAAAGAATGCAGGATTGATTGCAAATCACAAATTTTTGCTATAAAATCTGGTGAACACAAATTATCATGAAATATGAATTCAATACACATTTTCCAACCATATGCGAATCCGTTTATGCTCATAAAATAAACTTTATAATTTCATTACGAGTTTTAATACCATTGGAAAATTGCATTGTAACTTTGCAATTCAACCAAAAAAAAAAATTCAGTGATGCATATGGGTTTTTCGATTCATTTTTGAATTCAATTTGGATATTCCCATGCGCTACAATTCGAATGCAATATTATGTTATAACATAACGAAACATCTAAATTGAGATTTAATCTCGTTTTCAATTTCCAATTTATTTAAGGTTGTTTTATCGTCAATTTTTGGACGAAAATTACTACTTATTTTCCTGAAGCAGCTTTATCGATTGCACTGAAGAGTTGAGCGATTTAAAAGATTTTTTTTCATGTGTTTCGCCAACAAAATGGATTCGGAAATTGATGGCAAATAACCATCACTTCAACTGTGTCGCCAAAAGAAAAATATATGTGACACGTTCAAGGAAAATATGCCAAACTTGTTCACCCTTATGTTACAAATCGTGTTTTTTCTTGTGTCCACGTATAAATAGAGTCTAGCAACGGTGTTTTAATGCGTCTGTCATAAGTCACAAAATATGTCCTTACAGATCATTCCACTTGATTTGATTACGAAAGCTGTTGCTTCTTTACAGGATTCCTTGACGGCTGATATTGTAAGTGCGTTATAGGACGAACAAGATAGAGAAATAGTAGAGAAATTGGCCCTTGGCAAAAGACCAATGAATATAATATATATTTTTTTGTGTATTTAGTTTGTACGGAGCAAAGGTAACGTGCAATTATTGATTTTGAAAAATTCATAATATGTTGCAAACAACGTTCATTCATATCATAATCATAGTTATTTGTTAGTTACTGGCACAAAGTATATCTGGAACCATGTAATTTAGTTAGATATATATTTATATGTTTTAAATCCTTACTCATTAATTTGAAAAGAAAAACCGAAATAATTTAAGGCTCAAAGAATTTTACAATACATACAGGCTTATTACGAATATATGATTTTCCATTTAAATATTATGTTGATTTATGTAGTAAGTAGGCATTTAGTTATAAATTTGTTAAATAAGCACGTTCACATACAGGCTTTTATCGTGTTATATGAAACGTATGTATGTTAATTTTTTAGCACTTATTATTAGAGCAGAACAGCGCGTAAAAGTGTACGATACATAAGGAATGAGCGGTTCTTTTTTTTTGTTATGGATCCACCGATTTACTGGAAAGACACTACAGAGTTCACATCGTACAGGTTTCAATTGAAAAAAATACGGTTCATATTTTCTCTCCCGAATCGAACGTAATTACATTTATAATGCGCACAATTTTCGTCTAAGTACTTTTTAGTCGAAAAGTTTCTAAAATTCTTTTAATAAAATTCCAAATCAAATCAATAATTTATATACTTTGACTAAAGTTTTTGCCAATCAAGTTAGCTAAAATGCAAATTCGCCGGAGCAGATATATACGAAACATGAGCGAGGGTCGTGGTTTTGTGCTATCAATATTAGCTCGATACGTTTACACCTTGATTTTCAGTAAATTGGTTCGAGTTCAATCTAATTGGGTATGAATTCGACTAGTCCTTGCGATGAAGCTCAAGGAAATGATATAATAGAATTTTCTATATTTAAAAATTAATTTAGAGTTTTCCAGCAATATAAATTGCCATGATGATATTAACATACTTAAAATAAGTTGAGTAAATGTTTTTTTTTTCTTGCCAAATTTGTGCTGTAACCATATACAAAACTAGAAATCGAATGAAAGAGGCTAGCGACGCCAGGGATGAAATTTTCTATTTTGTCTATGGTGATTTATTACCTATTCAAAATGACATACATCATTTCCACACTGTATGTGTGCTTGATGTTTTTTGCATCCATTTATTTTTCACTATGTTATATGTTTTTTTTTTCATCAGATAGATAGACTCTATATCTATCTCACACAAAAGTGTGAACCAAATTGGAGCTGACGATCGATTACATTGCGGTCAAAATGTGGGTGGAGCTTCGAAAAAAAATGATAGCATCCAAATTACCTATCATTATGTTTCGATTGTGTGTTACATTTAATATCTAATGACATCCATTTCACAACATACAAAATTGAATTCATTGAGTTAAGTATCATGTCGATGCTTATGATTTTGCAAATTAATATTGACACAAAGCAAAAGCGATGCCGGAAATTTTTACCTAACCGCATCATTGCCTAATCAATGAGCTTTTAAATGTAATGAAACTTTTCTCGCCGTTGTATGTTATTATGATAAATGCTATAAGCTCAAACTAACCTTAACTAATACACTTTCAGCGGTAGAAACCGAAAATGCGGATAATAATAATAGTAATAATAATATGTGTGTGCGAGAGAGAGTTGGAAACCATGGATATTATTTTAACTTACTTTCCTCCACTTTCATTTTCATCCATTTTTCGTCGGCTATATTATGTGTATGAATGTTGTGTACGATTTTCTTGAAAATTCATGAATTCGTAATTTTGTTTGCTTAGATACGTGTTACATGCACAGTAACCGTATGTCCATTGCCCAGCAAATGTTTTTTATCGTGTTCATGTTCATGTGTCAGATATTCACGTTGTTGTCGATCATCAAAGTTGCTATCTTCTTCGAGGATTTTTTCAAGCAGCATCTCGCCAGTCGTCCCGTTTTCTATACACAATATTTTCCGTCAATCAATTTGTTGTTGTTACATCGACGATTCGATCGAATTATGTAATGTCGGTATTTGTTTTTTTGGTTTGTTTTGTAATTGTGTTTTGATGGGTTTTCGTGATTTGGATCAATGGGAGATTTTGTCGAAAAAAAATTTGAAGGGGAGGGCCAGTTCAATGATAATGTAGGAAAAATATTAGTGTTTTTGTATAAAGATTTTTTTTTTTTCATAGATTAGACATTATAATCATTAAGTGCTCTCTTAGGTATATAAATAATTTTGTGCTTTTTTAGACTATATTTAACGGGTAGCATATTTTTGAATGTGCATCAGATTGTATAGAAGTCAATCGATAAGCGAAAGATAATCCCGTGAGAACATCTAATTTAATATTGAGATACTGAATGTATTGAATCATTACCGTTTGGTGTAGTCGGGGTAGCTACTTCACTAGTAATGGGTGTTATATTTGATTTGGAATGTGATAGTTCGTCGGCCGTTGTGAGTGTTTGTTTCATGCGTCGATTGTGTCGTGTTGTTAAACCGCCCGTTTCAAGATCACGTTCCAATCTATGGCCGCTTCTTGATCGGGTCAATTGTCGTTGTACATATTCCTCTAAGTCATCTTCTTCGCGTTTGCTTATCAAACAATTTAGCACTATCAAAAAGATTCCTAAAATCACCGCGAATAATCCAGTCGCCACTAATTCGTTCCACCATATCATTGGTTTGCCTATTTTTTTGATATCATTTAATTTCAGTGGCGAATATTTCAAAGGCAAAAAAAATTGATTGGATGTCAAAACAATTGGTCAGTGTTGAATCAACGTTGTGAATGAGATTGAAATGGAAATGAAAAAAAAAGAACTCACCAGGAGCCCCCACACCGCTCACATCATTTGGTAACAGTCCAGCGCCCAGCAAAAATATACCAAATACTAAGAATACAACACCAATGTGTAGCATTCCAATGCTTGTTACGACTTTTGTATCAAGCATTGTGCTGCCATGTGTTCCGCTGGCATTGGGACGATGTTTTCGACGCGTTGAACCATGAAATGAATGATGGGTATCACCACTTTCGGAACTATGTGTACTCAAGCGTCGTTCACGTTCTCGTGCCGCCATTTCTCGTCGATGTCGTTGCCGTTTGATGGCCATAGCCGAATGAATTCCTGCCACTGCATGCATTTTGCTGTCACAAAAAAATAATAAACACACCAAACGAAACGAAACCACATTACAAACCGTGATATAAGTGATGAAATTTTCTTCATGTTATAGCTTAATTTAAGGAAAATGTGTGTTCGCCTTCAGTTGAATGCAATCGATGTGATTAAATATTTTGTTAAGACACACTTTTATAAAAACCATTACAAACAAGTGGTACAAGGTTCATTTGACATCGTGAACACATGTGTTTTTGCAGCATTTTCAACCTGCGGTTCTCCACCCAATCACATCTGTTTATATGATGGAGTAAAGCTTAACAGTTTATCATATCGCTATTAATCATATTAAATGATATTCGTTCAATTAACGAAATTGCTGATAAAAGTGTTTAACATTCAAACCAATGTGATGATAATGCAATACATCTAAAAAAAGATCCATTAATCACTGCCTCAACTGAGTGATCTATTACTAAAAAAAACACGGTGAAAGCTTGCCATTCAATAATAAAAAAAATCCAAGGCCTCATTTGAAAATCACAGTTTTTCTGGGTTTCACTTGCGGCAGCTGCACATTTTATTTTTCAAATTATTTTAATATTTGGCAAACATTTTATGATCAATCTTGTTTTTATTTGCGTTAATAAACATAATGAGCGTGAATAAGAATGATGAAGATCCGACCATATTAATGCAGCTGCTATTATTATCCTCCAAAGCTCGAGCAAAAAAATGGATTGACATTTTTCTTTTTTTGCATTCATAAATTTCCGGATAAATAAAAAAATTACAACAACACATGTGAAAAAAGCTTGTAAACAGAACATAAAAACATCAAATATTTTGATTTTTTCAGAGAGAGATAAAATGAGCTTATTATCATTGCAATAATGATATGAACTTTTTTATGGACATTGTCTCTGCTCAATGAAACAGTCTGTAAATCCGTGCAATGCACTACTTTGACATTAATTTTTTGTATAAATTGGGATTTGCCGAATTAATATTAATAAATACAACGTAGATATCGTAAAGTATCATCAGGTAATTTTCGTATAATCAAACATAATCGGAACAAATTTACATAGCGAAGGGTTGGTCAGAGAGTAAGAAATTGAGAAACAACTTGACCTCTCATTATAAGGTTAATCTTTGTGCCCTTCTTTAAGTTATTTTTTAATCTCTTTTAATGGTCTGTTAAATGTCTGCTTAGAAAAAATCGCCGACCTGGGAGAAATGCCATTTCAATATTGGTCGAACATTGGGGAATTTTAAAGAAGTTTTCTATTTTTCTTGAATTTGTTCAATGCATTGTTTGTGTTTCTTGGAATAGTTTTTTCTTCAGATTTAGTTCTCCGATGGTTACCCTCCATCTAAGAGCCTTACACGTGCCACATTCGGAGAACTGTGAATGTAATTATTTTCCTCTCTCATCAAACTGGACTTAGTTATAAATAATTTATCGATCATTCAATTTTGGATGTCACAGACCTGCTGGTGCTGTTCAATTTCATAGATAACAAGCAAGCGAAATAACCCGCATAGAATCGACTCAGTGGAATAATTTTGATAAACATTTCATGTGACTCGTTTGCTACTTGTTAAAGGTAAGTACGGTATCACAGAATGTTATTAAGACGGATTAAGTTGATGAAAAGGAAAAGTATTGAATATATGATGTACACTTATGGGAATTGCTATAAAGTTTACAACGAGCAAAACTGTTGATCTTGCGTAATTCTTCTAACGAAAGTATGCATAAGTTCCATAATAACTTCGCTACTTTAAAATTGAACAAGAAGATAAAGAGAAAATATATTCTTCTTCTTAATTGTATATATGTTTGCAAATGATATTCTTCAAACTAAAACTTTTGCTTTACGTGGTTATTCTTTCCTACATTAATTTTCGGAAAATGAATAAAACGGGTTTCCATTTTTCTGTAGATTTTACTACACGCTCTCTTTGCATCAGCTGCGCAAAAAAGTCCCAAAAAAATGTGGCACACCGTACCTATTTGCTGGTATTGCAAACGTTGACGTGATTTGTAATTGAGCGTCATGCTCTGGCCATATCGCAAATTAAATGAATTTATTGTGTGTCAAGACACAGCAGTATTTTATCAGATGAGCTCGCACACTACTGAATACGTTATGATACGTGTGTATATCGTTCAAGTCCAAGTGTATTATTTTGGCAGAGTTTCGTGTTGTCATGACAAAAGTCCCAATGTCTATAAATCACGAATATTTGCTGTAAAAGCCGTAAATCAACATTTAATTATCAACAACGTAAACAATCCGCATTTACGACTCATCAATATTTCTTCGTCTCTTTCGTTGACATTGAATGAAATCGGGGAAAAAATGGCATTTTTCGCATTTCCATCGCCGATGACAAAAACAAACAAATTCTTCAACGAAGAAGATTCTTCATGGTGCGAGCGAAAATGTCTACTAAGCTTTTGTATCGAATGACAGTAAGACAATAACAAGACAATTCAGGCCAAAATCGCAATCTTCGTGAAAGTAAATTGCTCTTAGCAAATGGAAAAGAAAAACATTGAACAATGGAAACGGATTCGAAATGGAGAAACAAAGAAAACAACCAAAAGAAATCATTTTCGCAAAACTAAAAAAAAAAAAAATAGATAAGTATGCTCGCTTGCAATTTGAAATGGGGATGTGTTCTACACAAAAATCACCGACAATATCAAAAACATAAGAACATAACACATTATGGTTAGAAAAATCAATACGAAAAATAATGATGATGGCAAAATGTGAAGTGGCATGTATTCCAAGTATTTGCATGCTATCTTAGATTTGCACTTAAGCAAATATCTTCTTCTTCCTCTCACATAGAATGAAGAATGGCATTTTACTAAGTATTTTGAGTTTTAAGCCGATACTATGCAGAATATTATGGAATATTTCAGTGTTTATAGTATACAAATGCGGAATCGAGTGGAATGCTACACAACTACATCATGAAAGTACATGTTTCATGAAAGTTAAAAGCATCGCGCATTAAATCGAGTGTATTTCGTCCTTTCCACTCTGTTGAATTTTCAATTGCAATGTAATTGAGATGGGTTTTCACATGTGTCCTCATTTGTTCAGTTTGCGGGAATGAAATGTTCATCGGTATTTTTTTGCATTGCAGAAAGAATGTTATGCCATCTAAGAAAAATTATCTGTGTGAATGAAAATTTGCCCCAAAGTAAACTAAATGGTTATGATGTTTCGTCCGTATTTCATGTTTCATAGGCGTTCAATGGTTTTTCCGAGAAAAAGATCAAAAGTAGAACAGTTGTTCATTTAAATTTTATGAAAGAAAAGATGTTGTATAAAAGATTCTGGTCTGCTTACATTTGAAAGCTCGTTTTCTTTTCTATTTTACATTTATTTTGAAATGGTAATGTTATTCTTGACTTGAAAACGAGAGAGCATGTTTGTTATTTTCTGTACAAAAGAAGGAAAAAAAATCACGCGCGACTCAATAACCAATTCCCTTCTGTGCTCTCTGCAAATGTACCCCATTCGAATTTCTGGGAATCAATACGCCAATTCAACGATAATATAAATGACTTTTGCTACATAAATAAATCGATGTTCAATAAAAGAGCGCACGCTTAAACGTTGTAAGCACTTTGAAAAATATTCTCCCATGAATAAGCTGTCATCATACAATGTGAAGCCATGCTCAAAGTAAATCTACAACAATCAAATTTTGGAATTTATTCGATGCCATCTAATGCGGAAAGAAGGCGAACGGAAAAATAAAAATTGATTGACGGTAAGACCGTCAAAGCATTTATATGTCATTCGATCTAATAGAACACAAAGCTCAACACACATTAAATGAATGTAAATTGCTCAATCATATTTCGCCGGTGGCACTGTAAAATCACAATTGGATCACCGGAAAAGAAAATCGATACGCTTTCAATTTTGGAAAACCAAACAAAATACGACACACGCAACGCATATATGACACACAACGGTGTCTGTAATAAACGATCCAAATGTTATTGTTGTCACATTAGTTGTCTCGTGCTGTTCAAAAGAAAACAAGCAAGGCGGAGTTCGTGCTCGCCAATAACAAACATCGTACGCATGAAATGGCATTGAAAAAAATGCCTTCCTGACGAATTAATATTCGCTGACTTTGCAAATATACCTGAAAACTCCTTCTAAAAACTGACATTCTCACCAATTTCATTCCGATTCAGACGAAAAATACGAATTTATTGAGTTCGGTTGCCGATGAACGTGCATGAACAATTGAGATTTATGTGGCGAATCGAAATGCATAGCATCTGCACACACACGAGAAACGACTATAAAATGAATTACAATAAAATAAATCAAATAAAACCCTTGGACGTTTTTTTTTCTCTCTCTTTTCGAATACTTGATGTCAATGTAAAAATGGGGTTCTCTTGTGGCAAATACTTTCGATTAAACGTCTGCCGAGTTTATACATATATGTGAAAGTATTGTATGAGTTTCCACTTGAGTCGGCAACCATTTAACCGCAAATTGCACACACTTCGCACACACATGTAATTTACGCTGAATTTTCTTTTAGTTAGATGTTTACATCACTCTCAGAGCGAAAATAAGAAAACACTAAAAACGTCTTAAATAAAGCGATGAAATCCATTATTCCAAATAAAGAAGATACAATGACTATGCATTTGGCAATATGTTTTGCAGTATTTAATGTGTCTGATACAGCAACTTTACTCTGATTGCATACACAACAACACAATTGTGCCGTGTTCGGGCTCATTTCGTCAAATATTTTCATAAATCATTAATTTTCTGTTGTATGCAAATGGACAGCGTCACAGTCATGTTAATATTGAATCAAGACTTAAGAAAGAACAACATCATGGTATAACCGATTTATTGTCTAAAATTGCTTAAACATATAAACTTCGTGCTGTTTTCCTTCGTTTGATTCCATTCTTTTTTGATGAGGTGTAGAAGCAGATGCAATGAAGTTGCCTTTTACCAACTGTGACACAAATTACACTCCCCCAACATAATTTGATTTTTTCTCTATACTATCAATGTAATTCATCCCAAAATGGTAAACATATTGAAATTGCCTTTATGAAACGCCAGTGTTGGATACTAACAAGAGATGTGCTTCTTATTTACATTTAATACATAGACAACAACGACGACAACGACAACAACAACCATAAGAGCCAGCTTAACGCAATTATCAAAGCGAAACACCAATTCAGTGAGCATTGTAATAAGTCCGATTGTCATATATTCTCAATTACGACTTATGAATTCTTTGCTTGTTTCACATTCTTGGCTCTGGATCATATTCGCCCATGGCCCATAGTAAGTGCGTATCATTTTTAATTCTCTAGTGTATGCTCGGAATGTATGGCACGTTTGCGATGTAATACAGCTTTTGGTACATTAAATTCAAATGCTATGCTATCTGGTTATACGGCAATTCGCAGTCATTAGACCAAAAGGACGAATTTAATGTTGGAATTTCCGCTATCGACAATTTCGGTAAACGGGGACGAGGAAAGTATTCGCAATGGAAATAGATCCGACAAATGAAATTTTTAATTTATCATCCAAAAAAATGTATACATCCCGCTTGTATCGATGTATGTCAAATATTGTGGTTGTTCGACGTAGGAAAAAACCATTATAAAAGGGAAAAAAAACAATTTCATTTTTTTCTTCCATTTTTTTGCATGAACGCACATTTTTTGCGCGAAATTTCTCTGCAATTACTCGTTTCTTCTGGCACAAGCGCCGTCGGTCTAAACTGGCGTCATACTCTCGGAAGGCCATCGGTTTTGTTCATTTTTTTTCTTGTATCTAAAGCAAATTGCGAGCATGGTAGCCAAATAAAGCTCATGTTACTTACTAGAAATTTATGAACTCTCCGCGGAACCTTCATTTAGTGTTTTTTTTTTCCTTCTTCTAATAAGACCAACTAAATATTTCTGTTAAATTTCAACGCCAAAAGTACAGACAGCGTCGCTTAATCCATATCAATGAGAAAACATCACCAAATCATTTTGTTATAGAAGATTTTACAACGGCGTTGTTTTTCATAATATTAGTTTTTTCTCTTGATTTCTTTGCGCCCTAATGCATATTAATTTATTATGAACGGCATGGCAAAAATGAATATTTAAACAGTGGAAACTGGAAACGATGCAATTTGACGCGAAGTTCTGTGGAGTTCACAGTAGCTATTGCTTATGCCATAACATAATGTCAAGTGAAAAATTATACAGAATATTTCAATGGGACGACGTCCACGAGTTGCGCTACCTCTCTCTCACTCTCTCTCTCTCTCTCTCTCGGTCTCTCTCTCTCTTCTCGTGTTTACAAACAAAAACACTTTTATGTAATGCTTTTATCGGTAATTTGCTACGATGTAATTCAAGTAACTCCTTCGGATGTTTCAAAGACCATCTATTTGTCTCGAACTTAAATTGAAACAGAGTGAAAATAGAAAGGGAAGAAATGTGAACGGAAATAAAAAAATATGAAAAACAACGAAATGTGTTTTTCTCCCCTTTCTCTTGTTGAATGCATGATAACGTGACAAGTACAAACACTATAAGCTGAGAGAGATGAAGTTTATGCAGTGAGTGTTTTGCTTGCTCACAGGAGCCGCAAACGGAATTGGAAAAGCACTTTTCGAAAGTATGTTGCCAACAGAAAAACGCAAGTAATGAAATCTAACATTAAAAAAACGCAAGCGGACTGTATTCAGAATCACAATTTACGTCCTTCAATTCGTCGACTATATTTTTTTCAGCGGTATTTACCCCATCGCGTACACAAACATCAACAATTAATGGTAATTATGGTGGAGTCATAAAATTACCTGTTGGTAATTCAGTTGAAAAAAAAAATATATGTATTCGTATATTTTGTTATATTTATTGTAAGCTCCAGTCAGAAGTCTGCCGCTCTTTCCACGAAGACATGGACGTGAACAGATTTTAGTCGAATTTGCAACTGTTGTTTGATTTCGTTCATTTTAATATTCACAAAACGTCTGACATGAACACTAGACTATTCAAATCGGAAGCAAACTTGCTGCTGAAAATTCTATTTCCAATTCAATCACGTTTGCTCACACCTTTGGTTGGTGGGCACACGGGAATGTGCACTGCACAAAAACTAATTTAATGAAAATGTTGTCACGTTATTTGGCCGGAGTCAAGCTTTGTGCCAATTATTCAGACATCAATCTTTTTGATGTGTGGAGGGCGGATTTTTTTGCGCGTTTTGATGGATTTATCGACTTAAATCGTTTGCTCTTTGATTTTTTTTTTTTACTGAATGAAAGTCGTTATTGTTCACATTCATGGGATTTTCGAAACAAAAGCTATTATTATACAAATAGCTCTTGATATCGTTTGACTTTGTCATTTAAGTCGCCTATTTTATGCTGTTATTAAGATTATGGCTCATTGATAAAAAGGGAAAAGAAAATCGGCAATGTATTTGGTTATTCGGTGCCTCTCGGTGCTTCAAGCATTTGCAATTGTTGTCATTTTTTTATTGTTTAGGCATTGTTTGCATTTCAAAAAAGCCGAAAATTTGGTTGTGCGGTCGTCTGTTGAAATTGAATTCAGAAACGAGCCCGAGCAACAATACCATCTTTATTTTAGCATGAATAACATTTGATAAGAACACTTAATATATTGCATATTTGAATTGCGTCTTTTGAAATTGTTTATCTCTATATTCACCTCACACGAATAATGCGATTATGGTCAAATTTGAAGAACACGTTGATTGAAAGCTCGTACTGGAAATTCACTGTTCACAATGGTTTCGTTCATGAATTAAATGCGATTTATGTCTGCACACATAACAATATGGTTTTCACATCGAATTTTTTTTTCGCACAAAATAATAACCAAAAGCATTCAAAATAATTCCAATTCAATTGGTTTCTTTTGTTGTTGAGTTAAATTCGGTTCTTTTTTTTTATAAGACACAAAAAATCAATTTTTCTTTTCTCATCGATGCCCTTCCATGATGAAGTGACACCCGTTGGCTTAACAAGATCACTGTTTATTATTGCACGGTTTGTTTGCAAAAAAAGGGTATGTTATTTGGTATTTAGCTTTTTGGCTACATTGATTATCTGCCTGCGAATCGTGGTAGAGAAAAACAAAACTTCGTTTAATTTTCTCCGAAGCTCGACACTGTGTGCGCAAACATAGAAAAATGGAAAACTGTTTTTTTTTCTCACACTCTTTGTTTCAATACTTTTGTATAATTTATTTTTGGTAATTTTCTCGTTATTTTGACAAAATACGTATTTGAACTAAACAAAACAAAAATGCTGATAAAATTGGAATACTTGGAACTTGGTTGGTTTTATTTAAAATATTTAATATCCTACTTGCTACAAGAGAGATGTGCGCGTGATTGTGTATTTCCATGTAAGCGATATGAAGGAAATGAACATACTGAACAACTGCTGCCGCATGGATGAGACTCAAAACCCTCCAAAACAGAAAATGGTATTCGATTCATCGATGGATGAATATCACGCATCATTCGTACAACAAGTTTGCGCTCTGCATCTACTTAATGGCGGTGTTCATCGGTATGCGTCGCATACACGGGTGGTGATGGTGGTGGTTGTTGTTGTTTCTTTTTTGTTGCAGCTCATTCTAAAAGACAGGTTTTCCATTGCGTTGCGTGACGTTGAAAGCATATACCATGGTTTTGAGCGAAAATGGGAGAACAAGAGAGTGAGTTAGAAAGCGCTCACACTGTGTTGGTTTAGTTTTGTCGCATAAAAATACAATACCGAGTTTTTGATTCTCCGTATACCGCTTTGAGTGTATCCCTTTCAGGCTTTTTGTTAAACATTCACTGCTGGATTGTAAAAGCGTTGAACGCAAAAAAAGTCGCCCCGCTTCAACTACATATAGTAAATATTGTTGATAATATAATTGCACATTTTGTATGATGGCAACGGAATATCCTTCCGCTAAGGCTAATGTGTGTAAGGGTATTTTTCTGGAACGAAACATGGTTATGGTATGAGTTCAACAACCTAGGCATACAACAATCATTGCGAAGCGGTATATATATATATATGTGTTGCGCATAAAATAGTGGATATTATGATCTTATAAAACGTACATAGACAGTGGTCGGCAACCGTACATGTAGTCCTTCATTGCATATTTATGTCAGTCGGTTGCATATTCATCTGGATTATGACCCAAGCAAATGAGTTATAGGGAGACACATAGACGCAACGAACACACGAATCGAACAAAATGTGTGTCACATCAGTCTCATCAAATAGTTTCTTTTTCTCTATCTCTTTCTCTATTTAAGTTGGACGCATTGTTTTCTAATATCATGCCATTCGTCGATTGAGCCGCATTCTCATACTTTTTGTCACCACTTGAATGATCTACGAACAAAATGCAGTGAATTGAAATGGCGAAAAAAAAAATCTAAAGCGACAGAAGTAAACAAAAATATCATGGATGTGATATCAGTCACAAACAAAAGACGCGAAAGCCCTCGGAACTCGAAACCATAATAAATATGTAATATGCCGTGTCATTCGAACAAAGCACGTACTCGACGACCGAATCTATAGACGTAAAACGGTTCCCAGTATTTACTTCAAATGCATAAAGGAATTTTCCTACATTTTTATGACGACACTATCGACAATCGGTTTTACGATGCCATGCACACACTGAATTTCCGTAGGTATTTGCAAAATACGGGCTCATTTCATCAATTTCCATTTAGACCTTTTTTTCCCTCATCTTGAATCGCGTAACTATTTCATAAAATAGCAAGGTACCTTTTGGCCTGGCCCATGTATGTGCTACCGTATCATTTTAACATGATGATCTAGATCACAAAATTCTATTGTTATTTGCATATGTGACGAGATACCGAATGCTCTTTTGTCTTTTCAGTTCCAATAAAGCATCATTAATGAAGAAAAGCATCAACTTTACAACACTAAGGTGAATAGGTCTCTCTTTTTCGCTTCAATACAATTCCTTTGAAGTTGATTTCTATTTGTTTCTTTATTTATTTGCCCGAGCAAGGGTCGTATGCAACATGCTGTGATTCGTGTAAGTGAAAAATTAGAATAGAATCGTTCCGTTGAGCTCCCTTGTCTCAAGTCAAATGTAAAAAACCAAAAGAGACAAAAGCCAAGCACTTTTCAATTCTCATAAGAAAAAGCGTGAATAATTTACTTTGAAATATTTTACATTAGCTTCAGTCTATTTTTTTCCCTGGGTGCTCTCAAAAACACTGTGCTCACATGGAAAATGTCATTGTAAAGAGTCGTTCATGTTTAAAAATTATATCCTTTCTCAAAACACTCGAATATACCATACGGTTTCGTTGAATTGTGAGCAATTCATTCACTCTCGCGGAATTAAATCAGGTCAATTGAATATCGTCGTCATATTTTTACCAATTTTCCCATTCTCCATTTATACGAGTTTACAAATTGCCATTAGCTATCTATCCGAATCGATTGAAAGCGGTAACTCAACTTGTATGCAAAGAATGCGCAGAGAGAGAGAAAACGTACGGGTTTGTCGTCGATGTGGGTTTGAGGTGTATAAATTTTAATGAGTTGGTAAACTTCCGTTGGCATTCTAACGAAGAATCACAACAATATTTTACATCAACAATGTGTTGGTGAAATGCGCTGCGTAGGAAGCTGAAGTGGACAGTATTGCAAATGTTCGTTTTGATTGTTGTACAACTTTGTTAAGCTGTGGGAGCCAAACACATTTCAATTTGTTTTGTAAAAAACATTGATGCGAAATCATGGTGAACAAGTTGTATAAATACTTACATCAATATAGCAACAGGTTTGTTGAACTTATGAATCGAAAGAGAGAAAGATGCTTAAAATATTTTAATCTGTCACAGTTCAAATTAATCAAAAACTTTTGGGTTCGAATCCAAGGCTCACTCACTTACAGTGAATAACGATGAAACCAATTTTACAGTTTAATATTATTTCTTTTTATTACAACGTTTTGAATCATTATTTTTTTTTAAAATTAAGTAGAAAATAAATTTAAAAAGAAAAAAAATGTCGAAAATTTGCTCATTATTCGAATTTGCAATAAATGTTAAGTAAAGTTTGTTCCACTTATGGTATCACCAGTTAGCTCAAATGAGGAAGATGAAATACTTAAGATTCCATATTGAAAACAGGTGACTTTTGAATTATTATTGTGCGATTGAAAATCTAGTTGCATTGTAAAGAATAAATAAACTAATGCTCAATCGATGCATCAATCTTTTTGAGATCGATCACTACAGTTACTATGACAAAGAAAAAATTAAGTAAAATTTCAGCGAAAAAAAACCAATATCGAAGAGCAGCCGTCTTATAAAAGATATATAGTGAGATTTTCACAATAAAACTCTAGATTATCAAAATCAAAATATAAATGTCTTGAGAGACTGAACAAAGACGCCATTGCGACATTAAATGAAAATGCTAAAAAGACATTTTGGTTCGGTGTACTTGGAAATTGAATTTTTAGCTTCGTTTTCACAGCACTTTTGTTTCAGATAAATCATGGTCGCTTGGAGATGATGAACGCAATTTCTATGATATACTATAATTAAGTAACATTCATTAATCGAACGACTGAACCTAGACTATAGAGGAGAAGAAGAAAAAATGAATCACTTAAAATCTTATTCTTATTGTCATTGCGAACGGAATTCTATGCTCAAATTTTAATTTGTCAAAACGGTTTAGTTCAAATAACCCTATCTAATAATCAAATTAAAAAGAAAAAAACGCGAATTCAAAATAATTAAGCACTGATTGTGTCTGTGCGTGCATGTGTGTGTGTGATGGACATTTTATAAAAAGCATCGATGGGTGTTCAGACATTTTCAGCACCGTTCATCATTTTTTCCGATTCATTAACGGTTTGAAGTGTTTGTTTGGGTTTACGATTGTGTATTGGCTTCTTCGGTTTTGTTGTTGTTTTTGGTTTACTCTTGCCTCTGAAATGGTCTTCAATTTCGGACAACTTCTTTCCAAATGTCTCGGGTAGGAATAGAAGTGCAAAGAAAACGGCAATAATCGATACACCGGCAAAGAAATATTGAATTGCATGAGAACCACCCAAAAATTTGGTTAAATCCCTAGAAATGGTAAAATGAGTTTTATCGATCAAAAAACAGAAAAGGGCAAAGAAAAACAACACTTACCGATAAACATTAATGGCGACAAACATCAAAATATTTGCCATCGAGTAAGAAATAGAATGAGCGACTCCTCTAATTTCGTTTGGAAACAGCTCTGCTGTCATTGTCCATGGAATTGTTAACAATCCGACCATTGAAAAGCAAACGTACAGTAACATACAAACAACTGGTACCCATGCTTGTTGTGAAGTGCCTTTTTTTAAAAATAAAAAAGAAACGAACAGAAAATATACAATCATAACAATGGACATATCAAATATTTTTTTCAAATTCACGTACCATCTTTGATCCACTTGGTAAAAGTGCCTGAGATGAACATAACGATGGCCATGCCGATTCCCGAAACCATTACTAACGGTCGACGTTTGAATTTCTTTAAAAACCATGCATTGCATAGTGACATCACGAATCGCGTTATACCGATACAAATCGATACATGATAAGCATTCACTTTACTTCCAATATCCTAAAAAAATGATGCGAAATAAGTGGAAAAAATAAAATTTATGATTGTTTCAAAACAAAATTAATGGCCGTGTGAATGAATTATGTGCCATTGCGCACCATTTTCACAAAAAATAATGCCGAACACTCTCACACACATATCAAAGGTGTGGAAAGGCAACAATTTATGATCGAAGTTTATGTCTGAACTTACATTAAAAAATGTGACGGCATAAAATAATGTAATATAAATTCCACTGAATTGTTGAATCAAGAACAAAAAGAATAAAATTATCATTGGCTTATAACCCGTTGGACGAAAAAAGCCGGCCCATTTTGAGCTGCGAAAACCTTCACTTTGCATCGGTGTGAATGATGTAACGGAGAAATTCTTTGGCATATTCTTGCCACGGAAATTCTTTTCCTTTTCACGTTGCAAACTAGTCAAGTGCATATCGGAAAGCGATTGAGCCTGAATATATAAAATGGTAGATGTAACAAAATTTTTTATTAGTCATTTCCTTTTAAGTTTTATTGCCTCATTTTTATGATTGTGTGCATGCGTGTATTGTATATATACCGTGTGTTCTGGTTGTGGATAGTTTTTGTAGAGGAACTTTAGCGAACGTGCTGCTTCTTCAATGGATCCTTTGCTGACAAGCCAAACCGGCGACTCAGGCACAAAGATGTGAATGAAAATGACCGGAACAATTGTGTAGATGATTGACAGCCAAGCAAGCATGCGCCATCCCATAAATGCTGAAATGTTTTTTTTTTTTTTTTTGGAAGATTTCATTAACAAAATGCACATTTCATGATGTTCAGGTTGTGATTTATTTTACCTCCTTTTGCGTATGATATAACCATGCCTGCAATCATAAATAAACCATAAATTTTATTTGCCATTTTATTGGGATGATACTAAACAATAAAATAAAATGAACAATTTATTGATGCTGACCGAGCGAGGCTAAAGTTGGTGCCGCTGATATTAATGAACCTTTTTTTTAAGTCAAATGGAAGAAAAGTCAATTTTAATTAATTGTAAACATAATCAAACCTAAGATAAAAAATAAATGGGTAAGGAATATTTGAAACCTCGTAAATCTGGCCGTGCTACTTCTGTAATATAAACAATCGCCGGACTTGTGCCTATCGCCGAACCCAAACCAGTTAAAATGCGACCAAACAATATCACCCAAAATGTGGAAAGTACATCTAAGTCCATAGAGGTTGCATTGGCTATCAAAAGCCATCCCATGACACAAGGAATTGCTGCCAATTTAATTGTTTTTAAACGTCCCAACCATTCCATCAGAATTGCTGCAATCAAACAGCCAACAGGCACCGAAAGCACAATTATGGAAGATATCCATGATGTTTGTGTTACTGTTAGTCTTAAATCACTGTCTTCGTCTTCTACCTGAGGCACGAAAACCGCGGAGAAAGCTAACGATATACCAATTACAATGTGAAACGATGCAGCCGTTGTAGCAGCAAAAATCTAATTTATAAAAGAAACATACCACAAAATTACATCACCGCTATCAACGTACATTGGACATTTATCACGTATTTTACCTGTGGCAGTGCACTATTTAAGTTGTTTGGTTCATAGGTACTGAGGGAACGACAACTTGTAATTACTTCACGAAATGCATCTTCTGATTTCTGTTCTTCCGTCTCTTCGAACCTTTTTTTCGGGGGGTCAAATGGAATAGAAGTCAATTTAAGTCTTATTTATGTGGGTGCATAAATTCCAAAAATTAATCGAAAAAAATTATTTGCAATTTATGACATTGCATGCTGATCTATAGTCAAATGAATTCGTTTTTTTGTGTTTCTCATTAATGTCGTCAAAAATATGCGTAGCACATTATTCAATTTTGTCAAGTACTTCATTCATCACGTTTTCACAATCAGCGAAGCACTATATTAACTCCATTTTATCAATATGCGATTGACATGAACAATTTATGTCACTAATTGAAAATTAAATTAACTCAACGCTTGTTCAAAGTTGTCTTTATTTTGAAAACACAAGTACACACTTGAGAATCTTCAAAACGAACATAGATTACTGTCATTCTGTAGTATCCGAAGGAATGTTATGTGGCTGGATTTTTTTTTTCACACCACGATGTTCTGACCAGCTATCTAATTTTAATTACCTATTGTGTCGATTTTGATTGAATAAAAAATGTAGACGTATCTTGAAGTCATTATGACACGTCTACGTAAAACTTTGAGTACACCAAAAGCAATTTATATATAATCGATTGATTTTTCGTCATCATAATGAATAGAAATAGGAAAATCATCACATTTCCGCATAATCGATGTTCGTCAGTTCAATGTGTAAATGGTTTTTTAATCGTCAAATGGAGTCCATAATACTTCAGTTCAACTCTCAAAATCGATAATGATATACTTGTCGTGTTGAATCATTAAAATGATAAAATATCGCAAAAATATCCCCACTTCGCTGTCGTCGACGATGATGATTCATTTGATTTGTATATTATTGGAATGGCAGTAAGTACTTTACAAAAACGATAATATCGACTACAAATCGAAGAAACATGCGTGCAATCAACATAAAAAAATAAATAAACAGAAAGAAAAATAATAAAGACAGAACTTTCTATGCAAAGTTGATTCATAATGAGTTCAGCATATTTTTTTTCCTGTCAAATGAGTGGAATGAAAGAAGATGAAAATAAAAGCAGTTTTTATCTTCAATTATCAAGCAAAATACAGAATTATCGAATACATATAACGAATAAACTATTTTCAATGATCAATTAAGAAATAATAAATAAACAGAATTGTTTGGGTTTTGATACTTACCGCTGATTTAAGCTAAGTGCACTTGATCCAATACTGTAATGAAAAATGAAAGAAATGATTGTTGTTTTGGTTAGTGTCGTTTTTGATGACGAATGGTTTCTAAATTCTATTTATTACTGTAAACAGAGCGGAAATCACTTAAAAAAGCCATCTATTGAATCAAATAAAAAATTTTTTTTTTAAATTGTGGAAAATTAAATATGCGGTCAATACTGATAGTGAACAATGGAACGTTTGATATATTCAACGATGAATTACGTGTTTTGCAATGCTCAAATGATTCTTCATTTAATTGTAAGAGAGTAAAAAAAGAGTCAGAAAACAATGCATCGCCGATAAACGTGGTCAAAACATCATTGTCAAAGTCATAAATCACGTAATTTGTAAGCAACCGATTGACGTAATCTACAAATAAAACCAACATGTTTTCAATCATGTTTTTTGTTTCACAAATAGCATATCGGATGTGATGAATAATGCAATTTTTATAATCATAGCATACCGTTATGTGCTCTATCTCAACTAAATCGATACACTATTCAAACATTTTTCACCGTTCGCTTGATTGTCATTATGCACAATCGACTAGTCGTTCACTTTGTGTCACTCCAAATATTAATGTTTGCGAGAATTTTATATACCCACATATTCGATGCGATGATTTTTATTGCCACGGCAAAAAAAAAAAAACATTTTCCATTTCGCTGCATTTTGTCCTCGCCCATGGAATTTTTATCGATCGTCATTTAATTGGCTTATTAATTCAACCTTTGAACATGCAATGCTTCGATGTTTATAAAAGCGTCATAAGTAAAAGCATTGACGAATCCAATATAAACAGCGCAAGGCCACTTTTTCGCCATTGTTTATTCCGTAGAAAAGTAAGTTCAAAGTGGAAAAATATTCTTTAAATCACGCAACAAGTATATTTTTTTGTCATCTTTAAATTGTCAAATCGATATGCGCGTCGTTGTTTGATACGGGACATTTTGCTCAAATAAATCACGTGCCAGCTATTTTTGAATGGATGATATTCGTGTGTGGTACAGTGTAAATCAAGTACATTGTTATCGATGCGTGTCGCATGTCGAATACAAATATTTTGTGAAGCGACTTTGTTTATTACTCTCGACTGCTCCCGCCATGAAGTCATCATATTAATAGAACAGATTCGTTTGTTATCTAATATGATGAGAATGTTTGAAAAACCGGCATGTGTCCAAATGCCCGTTAAGCGATGATGTGATAGAAATACGGCAGTCGTGTAAGTGAGAGTTTTGACTATTTTGGTAACAAACACAAACATTGAAAGTGCTCAAAGCAAAAATCATATGTAAATGACGTGTTATTATTGCAGAAGATCAAGAGCACTCAATTCGTTAATGAATTCCCAAACAAATATCGATTTTCGCTTTTATCTATGAATACCAGTTGGTCTTTGAACCAAACAGGTTTTTTTATCAAATGCTATTTCATGTGGCGTTATGCATATTTTTATTTTTTTTGCAACAATTTGGTTTGTTTTGACTTTATTTTCATTTGGGAGAGAAGATCACAAATTCGGAGCCTCGATGTGTGTGTTTTTTAAATTCTAAATCAATATCTCGTTTTCGCACGTGTCAATGTATTTCTGGTTAATCTTTGTACTTTGTAAATTAAAACGGGGCAAACAAATTTATTTATTTCGTTTCATGAATAAATGGTTGCATTCACCTCGTGCCGAGCTTCTACAGCGATATGATACGCAAAAAAAATGTTGTTCATAAATTGCATTCAATTGCGGCTGATTGACAAAGCTATAGATACCACACCACGTAATTTTTTATTATGTTTTTGTTCACAGCTGATTGCATTGCATTCATGTGTTTTTTTTTTGTGTAAAATTACTTTGAATGCTGCCGAGAGACAAAGAGAGAGAGAGAGAGAGAGAGAGAGAGAGAAGTAACAAAGAAAAAAGGGGCAAGCAGGTTCGGTTTCATCCAAAGGCATTCATTAATTGAGGAGACAAATTCAATTGAAATCAATTTTTCCCACCATATTGCGTGTGCATGGAATTAAAATATGATTTACTGACTTATAAATTTTTCGAATCGTTTTGATGATGGCTGATAAGAATGTGAAACTAATTTTATTTATGCGATTTTAGATGACGATCTTGAAATTGTTTCCTATGGGTTGTGATGCAGACGAACAAAAAAAAAACACTGCTAATAATGGCAATTGGAAATAATTTCTCGATTTATGAGGTTAAATTGTCGTTGCCAACAACATTCCCCATATCAATATCAATAGAATTCGATTCATATTATGGAATTCTACTGAATGTTAGGTAGTTTTTGTTCATTCGTTTGTCTATTCGACAAGTTCACTTTGAAATGTTCACATGTTAAATTCATTTGTTGCTGCTAAATTCCAAGTGCCATGAATTGATCGAATTAAGTGAATGGGAAGAGAAAGAGAAAAACAATGTATGCAAAGTGTTCTTGTAGTAGTGCAAATGAAGAACGAGCACAACTCGTGTAATGGTGATTACATAATAAATCGGCACATATTTGCTTTTTGCATGTGAATGGAAAGGAGAACAAAACAAATAGAACAAATACTCGAAGTAAATTAATGAACACTTGAATTGGCATCCATTAAAATGTATATACTATCCCGAACTTTGTCAAAAGACTAATTAAACGAAGTCTATCATGGAGTCACCTTCACAATGCATGTGTCTCAATAAAAAGGAAAATAAATTTGAATAAATACAAGCAAACTTCTAGAAATCATCTTTTCGAGATGATGTAACGAATTTATTAGCTTTTTGGCAATAAAAATCGATAACCTAGAACAAATTTTCATTTAAAAATTGCTCGAGTACCGATCGAGACAAAGTGGCGCCAATTTTAAAGTGTTCTGACATTTAATGTAGCATGAGCTACAATATTGAGGTTGATGCTAGAGATAGAGTAAAAAAATCGAATTTAGATTGAAGTAGAGTCGTTTCGGAATCATCGGAAAATATCCACTTTCTCGCTTAATTTAGTAATGATGTGTTGGCATGATATATCATGGCCATTTTCGGTAAACAATTTAAGAATTTGCAAACACAAGCCGTATCACAATCTTGTCGCACGTTTACGTCTCTCACATCAATGGCGCACAACCGAAAATAATTATAATGTTGTTTACGCATTTTACTGCCGAAAGACAAATTCGAAGATTATTATTATTGTCGTGTATAAAAACAGAAGCAGCGCTGCTTTTTTGCCCTCTAAGAAAATTGCTATCGCAATTACTATAATTGGCTTTGAGCAAATAACATAAAAGCCATTATTATTCAATGGAGAGAGTCTCTTTTTGTCATGTGGTTTACGAGTGTGTATTTAATGTCAACGATGACAAAAACACTAAACTGATTTAACTGAATCATTTATTTACGTCGTCATTTTGAATTGAATAACATTTTAATAGCTAAATTGTTCAAGCGATTTGATTTGACGCCAAGCATTTTGGCAGAAATCCTGAATGTTGGAAATGTCCACAAATCAAATACAATGATTAGATTAAACATTAATAGTTTCGTTGCAATCAGGTGATAACCGATTTATGCGTGAAAATATATATTGATTTTGGTAAGTGGGGTTTAAAGCAACAATGGCAACGTGATTTTCTAATAAAACATACGATGTGCGGTGACACCGAACAGGGACTGTGATAACATAAAATTATCACTGCTAGAGAAAGTTTTTGCAATTTACACACGATCTAGTTGTTATAGCTGCTGTTCGCAATCGATTCGGTTCAATTAGCAAATTGAGAAAACAGTGAACTAATTATTATTTTCGAACCGGTTTGGAAAGCATTGGCATAATACGTGATGATTGAACTGAATTATGTCGACACATTGAACCAATCAATAAAAACCAATATGACACTCATCGAAAGTGTCATTTTACGATTGGCAAATTAAATGGAAAATGCATTCCAGTTGATATGATTGGTTTGGTTCGTTTGCTTCTTTTACACCGAAATCACTTGAAAATTCGCTGCAAACTCTTTTAGTAAATAAAATTTGAATAATACACACACTCGAGAGAATTGACATACGACCGTCAAATGAATGCTCAACATTTTATAAATATTCGAGTTTAAAAAATATTATCATATTCAAATGAAAAAAAAAAATTGACACACTCTACTCACTCCGAATAATAAATATTTCTCTTAATACGTAATTACAATGGAATATAACCGAACTGATAACAACATTTTCAATTGCGAATTCCGATATGCGGCCGACACAAGCGGAAAGAATTCTTTTTGCACACTTTCTTCGCATTTCTTTCATCAGATTCCGAAGCAGAAAAAAATTAAAAATAGAGAGAAATGATTGAGAAAGGTGATTTACAATTTAAAATGAGAACGGTTCAAAAATCACATCAAAAAATGCCAGGCTTTCGGTGTCAAGAGGCTATCGCATCTGATTGAAAGCGACTCACTTTTTTTCGCCTTTAAATAAGATCCAATATACATTGAAGCAAGTAAACATGGCTTTGATGCGACAATTAAAATAAATGAGTCACGGTGACTAAATGATATTATGACGCCAATCATATTAATTTCGTACATGGCAAAAATATCGTCAAAAAATGATCAGTTATCATATGAATCGGTTAGAATATTCGTGAGCTCAAGAAATTTGTTAAAGTAAAAGAGCAACATGTTCATATAAAAAATGTATGGGCAAGTTGCAGTTTTATTTTGATAAATTTCTTGAGGTCACGAATATTCTGGCCAGTTCATATGATCATAAAAATCAAATTACAATCATGACGGCATTTGACGAAATTATATCAATTTTACTGAAACTTAGATCATTCTAATGACGCCCATTTGGTTGTTATAATAATGTTAAAAAAACAAGACGAAACAAGCAGCTATTTTGTTTAACGGCATATTATTTAACATGCAGGTTTTAACGCGCTGCAGATGATGATTTTGTTTGTTATACGTTTTGTTTCAAAAGAAACGGGTTTTGGAATTGCGGTCACAGACATTCAGTGTTATCATTATCATGACATTGGGATGCATTTTGTTTTCGTCAGAAATGAAGAAAAAAAGACATTCAAGCTCGTTCGTTCACTATATTATTTATTTTCTACATTTGAACCGCATATCTCATAACACAAATTCAATTACCATTTAACAACCTACCTTAACGGATCCATTGTGTTTTAGTTTCTTACAGCAAAGTGATCACAAATTTTATGATCCTGAATCTATTTTGTTCGAGAGCGTTAAGCAGAGGCGATATTGATCACACACGCTCAGAACAACTAGATTTCAACAAAATATTCAAATGAGACAGACGATGTCTATCGCATTAAATTCTCCTTCAAATCACAAGTACTTTTCAAAAGATCCAGATCTCGAGACAAATTTTGTGTGTTTTTGTTCGTTGTTTTGCGTTTTGAAATTCACTTTAGTTTTTGGCAACCGATCAAGTATTCACATACACAGCAAAACAGTAATAACTAATAGCAGGCCATAATAATATACACCACAGTGCAGAATATGCAGGTATTCTTTGTTGTGAATTGTATTCAATATAAACCCAAACCGTTGTCTATGTAACACGTTTCAACAATAAAGAGAGAAAGAACAAAAGAGACACTAACCGATTTCAATATTCGGCATTAACTCATATTTATGACTGTTTTTTTTTATCGTTAAATCTCGTTTCGAATTTGAATACATATATGTGTAATTCACTCGACGATGTGGCAAACTGTGTGTTGGGTAATTTAGCTTGCCTTCGTATTTGAATGTGAACAAAAACAGTTTGTGTAAACTTCACATATGTTTTTTTCTCTATTATTTATAGTTTTAATAGTTCCTCAATAGATCTCAGCTGGTCGTGTTCTATATAACGATGCGGATTTAACTTTGATTGATTCTTTGTGTGTGTGTGTGTGTGTGTGTGTTTTTTTGTTTTAGAAATTCACTCATCCGTACAAAAGATTCTTCCAATTCAAATTAGTTTGTAAGTGAATTGAATTTTGGGAGCGCCTGTTGCACGCTACAAAGCATCCATACGTATATAAGAATTTTTATTATGCCGAATGAAAGACAAACTGAAATTCGCAGTAACAAGACGCACAATTCATTTCATTCTTGCACCGCACAAACGACACTATTGAATCGGATTTCAATGGTGAATGACGATGTTGTATCGATTTTAGTTGAACAAACACTTTCCTGTCTTTATTTTGCTCGTCTTTCTCCCTTTCTAATGCTTTGCATTCGGCGCTATTCAAAATTCTCTCGTACTATTTGATTTCGTCGGGCATGTATTCACTAATTCAGCACTATATTTCAATCGTCAAGCAGGAAAAAAAACACACACAGCACAACTGTTTGCAACAGTGAAAACAATTTACACTCAAAATTCACCATCAACTGTGCTTACTCAATCGACGTATGTTTATGAACAGTGAAATAAAAGAGACACAAAGGAACGACGAGCCAAAATATGGTGCTGAACCGAATAATAAAAATAAAATGCGAATCGTCTGAGAAATGAATAAACCAATATTGAATATATGTGTATATTACACGGTCGCCTGTGCTTAACACAGTCTGTGTTGCGAACCAAACAACAACTGATGCCCCGAAACTAAAATCTAATTCTCATATAGTCTGTCATATACAGCCGACCAACCAAATACCCAATTCACTGCTGTTTTCATTGTTTATACTATGTAAATCGCATTGATATATACACGGCAATCACATACCTACCAATTTCAATACACATTTCAAACGAAAATCTAGTACGCCTATATGCTCATCGCCGCTCTATGCTCGTACACTCATTTGCTCTCTCACAAGCACACACATACACTCATGCGCTCGTACCGGTGTGTGACTGTACTTCACACACAACAGCCGCGCTCTGACATTTGACAATTCAGTTGTTGTTTGGCAGTAACCTTACAAAAAAACAAGCGCGTTCGCGTCAATTTAACCAGAGTCGTATTTGATTTTCACACTTTTTCCCACTGTGCGTAAATAGAATTTCGCTTTTGAACACAGTTGAACATAAAAAAGTTTTTGTGGAGAAAAATATAATTTTTTTTACTCTTAAAACCATAAAAAGGTGCGTATTTTTTAATTTGTGCTTGAAATTTCTGTAAGTGGTGTACTTCTTCTACGAAAACAACAGCTTGACGCAATTTATAGTTATTTATATTTATGCCCATTTTTTCAACAAAATATGTGTTAAATCCTTCATTTTCTTCGGATATAATCATTCTTAGGGACATTATCTCAATAAAAAATAAATTTCAATTGAATTTTACAATTGAGTCGTAGTTTGTTGTAGAAACATAACCTAAAAAAATCGAAATTGTTGACCGGTTGATCCGGGCAACGTTCGATAAACAACCGTTGTGATGGAGTTTCGCTTTCGATTGTTTTCTGGAAACCACGAAACAAGTCACATTTATAACGCCCTTTTTTTCTAAATGATTCAATTTTAATTTCAGAAGAAAATGACAGAAAGTGACAAAATTGAAATACGCGATGTTACCCGCATCGAACGAATTGGTGCCCATTCACACATTCGTGGCTTGGGTTTGGATGATGTTCTTGAAGCCAGAGTTGTGTCACAAGGTATGGTCGGACAGAAGGATGCTCGTCGTGCGGCTGGAATTGTTGTGAATATGGTGCGCGAAGGTAAAATTGCTGGGCGATGCATTTTAATTGCGGGTGAACCTTCGACGGGTAAAACTGCCATTGCTGTTGGCATGGCAAAGGTATGCATTTTTTGTATTGTTATTAATTTCGATTGGAATGAATAAAACGAAAACTATTTCTTCATTAGGCACTTGGTAATGAAACTCCATTCACCAGTATGTCCGGTTCCGAAGTGTATTCATTGGAAATGAGTAAAACAGAAGCATTATCACAGGCACTTCGTAAAAGTATTGGCGTTCGTATAAAAGAAGAAACTGAAATTATCGAAGGTGAAGTGGTTGAAATACAAATTGATCGTCCGGCAACGGGAACGGGTCAAAAAATTGGCAAAGTCACATTGAAAACAACCGAAATGGAAACAAATTACGATTTGGGAAATAAAATCATCGAATGCTTTTTGAAAGAGAAAATTCAGGCCGGCGATGTGATTACAATTGACAAAGCATCCGGTAAAGTAACAAAACTTGGTCGAAGTTTTGCACGTGCACGTGATTACGATGCAACTGGTGCCCAAACACGATTCGTTCAATGTCCCGAAGGAGAATTACAAAAGCGAAAAGAAGTCGTTCATACGGTGACATTGCACGAAATCGATGTCATAAACAGTCGCACACATGGTTTCTTGGCATTATTTTCGGGTGACACCGGGGAAATAAAGCAAGAAGTACGTGACCAAATCAATAACAAAGTCATGGAATGGCGCGAAGAAGGCAAAGCTGAAATTAATCCCGGCGTTTTGTTCATCGATGAAGCGCACATGCTGGACATTGAATGTTTCTCGTATTTAAATCGAGCGCTGGAAAGTGACATGGCACCAGTTGTTATAATGGCCACAAATCGTGGAATCACACGTATTCGTGGTACAAATTATCGCGGTCCACATGGTATGCCAATTGATTTACTCGATCGAATGATTATCATTCGTACGGTGCCGTATACAAAAAATGAAGTTAAAGAAATTCTTAAAATTCGTTGTGAAGAAGAAGACTGTGCATTACATAGTGATGCACTTGCCATTTTATCACGTATTGCAACCACAAACAGTTTACGATATGCCATTCAATTGATTACAACGGCCCATTTGGTGGCCAAACGCCGTAAATCGACCGAAGTTCAGGTGGAAGATGTTCAAAAAGTGTTTAGCATGTTTTTGGACGAATCAAGATCGAGTAAAATTATGGAAGATTATCAAGATGAATACTTGTTCAGTGAAATAACAACAACGAAAGAAGAAGAGCCAGAAATTGAACAACAAGAAACAGATGTGGAAAAAGTAGAGGAAGAACCAGAAAAAGACACTCCAATGGAAATTGGCGATAAATAAACCAATGAAATTTCATCATCAAGCGACTAATTCCGATTCTATTCAATACTTTCCAATCATCTATTGCTTTAGATATTTGCGATTTACTCTCTTATGGATACATTTTGAATTCAACAAATAAACATTTAAAAAAAAGTAAGACGATTGTGTAATTTTGAAAATGTCTTTTCTTTTCCATGCATTTTTTTTATCGATTTTTCATTTATTTAAAATTCTTAGCTAAAAAAATTCTTACATAAATATCGCAGTTGTCTGTATCTTTTTGGTATGCAATGGTCAGTTCGTCAATACAAAAAAAAAACAAGAAGAAATAATGTCAAAGTAAGTATATATAAACACAATTTGTCGTTAAGTTATTTTAAGCAACACACTTTTATCGGGTCACAATACATGTTCATCATCGGCTCACTGAAAATAGCATATTTTAATCTTCTCATCCATAGAATTCAGAGAGAAAAGGTAAACAAACAATATTTCACTTGATACTGAAGACGTGACGCATGCATGACATGTGTTGAATATTATAAACGAAAATAATGAGTAACATTTAGTTGCACTGCGTTAAGTTATTTATACAAATTGTCGCTAAAATTTAGTAAGAAAAGGTAGTCGTTGTAATCGGAAGAGAGATGGATTAGAGACAAGGTGCTGGTAGTGGTCCATGGCCAGCCACAATTTTGCACACTTCGGCGAGTAAATCTTTTAATATCGATGCTTGTCTGCCTTGTGATCCGTCTAGTGTAATCGTTGGAATGAATGAAACGCGGGGTCGGAGGGCGGCTGTTGCTTCACCATGCAATTTTAACAGTTCAGCTCCATGCGGACTATCAAAACATTTTGTGATTGCTTCGTAATCGACGCGATTTTCTTTGGCGCACGAAATCATAGCATCTTTTGGCCGAAAATTATTTTTTATCATACAGGCAATCATATCTAGTAACACCTTTTGGTCTTGTACTGCTTCAATTGTGCAAGCATGATAAGTATTTGCTTCACATTCTACGGGTCCGTGTTGGCAATCGAATGAAAGCGATCCATCTCGATTCGTATTCGTCTATTGTGTAAGCGACAAAGAAAAACAGACACAATTTATTATGGAAAGTAGAATAAACAAAGAGAAAACAAATGAACAAACAAACAAAAAAACAGAAATTGAAAATACCGTTGCTTTTCCATAGGGAACCAATTGAAAATCGATAAGTGACGGAGCTTTGTCGTACGATGGCAGTAATTGCTTGAGAATAAAATGTTTTGAATCTGGACAGAGTGCTTCATAAAATACCATCACCACTACTGGCGAGCCGATTGCACGCTCTAAATTCTGTAAATGATTAAATTAAATGTCATTAGCGAACATAATATGACATTTACATGCAACTGTACTTACCGCATAATCGTCTGAACCGGGCCAATGTCGGAATATTTGCCAAAATATAAATAGTATCAAGATGACTGTGATCATCCGGATACGAAATGCATTTAGAAAATGCATCCTAATTTAATAAGCCACGTACTCACAATTTAATCAGAATTAAATGAGTGCCTTTTGACGATTGATTATCTTTCTTTTCTTCTCTACAGCGACACGCACTCTCTCACTTTCTTCATTCACTCGCAAACTGAGCCGCTCCACTTAAATTACATTCATTTGTTCGGCTCGTATATTTCACACGGTATGTCTTATTACAATCATTCAGGTGCTATTTATCTCTTTAATCACCACACAACTACAAGTGTTCTACGAAGAATAATCAGAACATACATGCACGGCAATTGCTTTGTTTAGATTATTTTCACTGACAGTTACCCCGTTGAGAGAAGTGTCTGTCATTTGTCAAATCAAAAACCTTACAACAGTTTCGAAGAATTGAACAATTATAACAAATGAACACTTTGAACACAGAAACAGAAATATCATATAAGCACATTTCATTCCGCCAAATAAAGACGCCATTCACTGGAATTTCATGAAAGCATCTTTCATCTTTGCAAATTTAAGAAATTAATCGTTGAAGCGATTAAATGTAAGTAAATCAAGGTAAAAAATAGTATTAAGTTGACTCTTTTTACATGAATTTCAATAAAAATTAAGTAAAATTCATTTCACAATCAAAGATTCTAACAATAAGAGCATTCGAACAACATTTCTACAACAATTTGATCAACATTTCTGATACATCATTGTTGAATGCACATTTTCCAGTCAAATTAAAGGTATTTTGCTATTGCTGATGCTTTTATTCGCTTTTATTAATGCAAAAAAAAAACGAATAATTGTAACTAATAAAAAAAATTGCTTCAATATTTTCAGATAAAATTCATAACCACAATGTCACATCCAAATGAACCGATTGCAAAACGGTTGCGTACAAGAAATAAAATCACTGAGCAAGCCACAAAGAAGCCTCAGGAGCTAGCTGATCCATTTTTAAAACTAAACGAAGATTGTTTAAATGCTGTTTTTGAATATTTGGATGTTGAAAGCTTGTGTCGAACTGCGGATGTTTGCAATCGCTCCAGATTAATCAGCGAGCAGGTGTTCAAGCGTTATTATAGAAATGTTTGGCGCAACTATTATGGAAAACAATCCGAACTACGGCGTGTTCTTTGCAAATTCGGTCATTTAATCACAACTTCTAAGGCTTTTTCTATTGTTTATGCTGATAATGTGTATCTTACTTTTGATGATTATGTAAAATACAGCACGAATTTGGAAAGCCTCACTTTATCAAAGCAGCGTATTACGTGTAAAGGTCTTGCCACTTTAATTCCGCGCCTAAAATATTTGGAATTAGATAATTGTACGATCGATTATGAGGATTGGGAGACAGTGTTTAAAGAATGTACAAAACTTGAGGTTTTGATTTTCAAAATGAACACGAGCGGCGAATTTTTGGTGCAAACATTTCCAAAATTGATCAAACTCGAAATTGAATGTGTACGCGTAAGCCCTGCTACACTTGCCAGTATATTACGATTAAATCCACAGATCAAGCAACTATGTACCCTGGCAATATGCCATGATGCTATTATTGATGCGATAGTGGAGAATGCACTAGATTTAGAAGAATTGAAAATTTATTATCCATATGGACCGAAGGAATCTCGAATCCGATTAATATGGAGTTTGAGAAAAGGAAGTATCGAAGGTTTACTAAAATTAACCCGGCTCAAGAAGTTGACGTTACTTCATCTCGATATTATGTATGTAGAGTATACGGATTTGAAACCAATACCGAAGCTTATGGAAGCACTATCAAACGAAAATATTCCGCTCGAAAAATTAGAATTACAAGAATTTTCAATCGATTCAGACGACATTGTTAGTTTGACGAGTCTAAAGACATTACGATATATCAAGTTGGCCAAAGTTGTGCGTATGACAGATGCTGACTTGATTGCGTTAACAGCAGAACTACCATTACTATCTAGCTTGCACTTTAATTTTCCATTCGAAAATGCAGCAAGTATTACTGGCAATGGACTGTTTCGAATGGTGCAGTTGGGAAATCAGTTGGAACATGTGAGTTTGGATGGAAACTGTAAGATTGAAGTGACCACAAAAAGCTACCAAGCATTGTTGAAAGCTGGTCAAAGTGCCGACAGACAAAAAAAAATCGCAATTAATATAGAAAACAACCATAAAATCTTTGTCATGGCGTCCGAAAGTAGTTTTGCAAAGGAAAAAACCACTTCCTTTCGATTAATGTAACTTGAAGCTGAGTTCAAGCGATAGCGATTATGATTTAGACGATTGGTACTACTAATTCCGATACCTAGAGAGTCTCTAGTAGAGACTATGTCCAATGAAATACGTTTCCAACATTTAAGCCGATCAAAAGTAATTTGAAATATTTTTTTCTGTTCATATGTCATTTATTAGTTCATACTAGTTTTAACGCTATAAAATTTTACTAAAAAAGTCTAATCGCAGCATATTCATCAAATATTTGCATATTCGGAACCATTGACATTTTTAAGATTGTACATAATAATATTCGGAATGTAATTTTTATCAATTTTTCTGTGTGTGTTCGCAAAATATTCGCATATTAACAATTTATTCGGAAACTATTTGTGAATATTTACATATTAGGGACATATTCGTATCAGACGCTGTAAAATACAAATACTGTATAAATAGATATACACAAAAACTCAACAAATATTGTCTTTTATTGTCTTTTAATCAACTTATTATTTTAGATTATTCCAGTTTCTTGTCGCAATATCACAATTTGACGATTTTACTTGATTTTTTTAATAAGTAAACAAGTAGAAGCAACCAGAAGTACACAATATACAATATGTAATTTCTTCTTTAGTTTGGAATTCGCTTCATCAACTGATGCAACTTTCGTGGATAAATTCGTAAATTCGCAGCTATTCGATAAAATTTTCTCATCCAACTCAGCAATTTGTTTCATTAGAACTTTGTCACTTGAATCGGTTTTTTCGTTGAGTATACTCATGGTTTGTATGTTTTCTTCAATTTTTGACCGCATACATTCATTGACTTCGAATAATTTCTCTGTTTGTTTCACCTTCAAAACATTTTCTTTGCTGAGTTCACTGATTAACCCTTCCGACCGTTGAACCCGTACCTCCAAGCACGTCATTTTTTCAGATAAATCTTTCAATTTATGATTTATCATTGACATTTTCACATCAAGCTGAATAACTTTCACTTTGATTTGCTTAATATTTGAGGTGATTTCATTGCTGGACTGAGTGATTAATTTTAAATACCCTTCAATGCGTGATTGTGATGATTCATTAGATTTCAATTGACTCTCCATTGACGAAAATTTCTCGCTTAGCTCGATTATTTTCTTCTTTAAATGTTTATCGTTTGAAGCGGTTTTTTCAGTGAGCTCTTTGATTGTTTCTTGATATCCCTCAAAGCGTAGTTGTAAATAGTCATTGGATTCAAGTAGTTTTTTTATCTGTCGATCCTTTGAAATGATGTCATTTTTTGAGTTTTCAACGCTTTCAATCGATTTTTTTAGAAGGATATGTGACGAAGTTGATCTTTCAACCAATACCTTTCGTTCGTACTTGGAACATAGAAATTGTTCATATAAGTTGTTTGACATTCTTTGGAAATAATTTTTTCTTACCTTCTTGTCGATTAAGCAATTGCTTGCTGATTGAACTGCAAAAGTATCACCCTTTGAGAGTGGGAGAGGGAAGACATCTCCTTTTCGGGGTGAGAAACTTGGCGATGAAACTTTCTGTTCACCATACTCTTTCAAAGCCGCCATTGTCATGCCTGTCCATAATGAATTTTGGCCGCAAATTTTGTTCAAAAAAAATTCAAACTCACTACTTCCTTTACGTTGATAAAGTAATACCAACTGATTTACTGTTGTGATCCCAGCATTGTTTAAACGACCACCTCTAACTGCACCAATACCCGGCAAATCTGTTACTGGCTGACTACCTCCCATTGGATCGGATATAAACTTTTCATGCTTTTGTGTTCTGTACAATATTTTTAAGACAATTTTTTCTATGGAAATACGATTTTCGATCTTTTTTATTTTCGATTTTTTTTCTCGATCAAAACTACACAAAAATACAATAACAACAATGATTTATTTTTTAGTCGCAGACGAAAATATCATTGATGTGGATTCTATGACGCACCGCGATTAGACTATGAACATAAATATATTTGTGCATATTTACCATCAAATAGAAATATGCTATATTCACAATATATCTCGCCGCTTGTGTCTTACGTAAGATGCTTCTCCTTCATTTACTCTCTCTGTATATGTTGAGTCGAAGCCTTTGGGTATGCTCATATAGCTCAGTAAACGAAGGAGAAGCGTCTTGCGAACGACACAAATGGCGAGATATATTTCGAATATCACATATTTCTACATATTTCTATTTGATGGCAAATATGCACAAATATATTTATATTCATAGTCTAATCGCTGGACGTGCACAATTAAAAGTATTCTTACAATGCTTATATTCAAATTTTACCCAGATGTGCGGCCGATAAAATGAAAACAATACAAAAACAAAAACCAACTAACACCATTACAAATCAATTAGATAAGCATATGTATGATCATGCAATAGAAGAAAAATTGTCGGAAAAACCAACAATGAAACGATATAAAACGTGATCTCATTCAATGTTTTTGGTTGGTTTTTTATAAAAACGTATGAATGACCGTATTATCAACCAAAACATTTCCGAAAGTACAGTTTATCATCATTTCAAGTGACCAAGAAGAAATATTGTATTGAAGTCAACAGACTTGAATAACGAGAGACGACCTTTAGTTTTAATTTGTTGAACTTGAAAACACCGTTGACTTACTCTAACTGTCCAATCAGCTCTTGCGCAACACCTTAACTAATGATTAGTTACTAATAATTTATTTTTAAGTGTGTGTTTTTGCGTTGTAATGTGCATAAAACTAAGGAGATGTTTAAGTGGCATGTATTATATATCTCAATACAAATATCGATAAATATTGAAGTATTTGTTATATAAATTTGCAATCAACACTGCAAATCAGTGAATAGATTGTGGCTACAGATATAGCAGTGCTATTTGTGAAAAACGCATACGGACAGCGACTTTATAATACTATTCCGAACAAAATGTTCACAATGTAAATAGAACAATAGACTTTTTGATTTTTGTATTTTGTTTGCATAAACAAATCAATATAAGTCTATTATCTGGAATTGTATCATAAAATCGCTGTCGGTATGCGTTGTTTACAAATAGCCCCCACGAATAGGAGCTGCAAAAATAGCTCCATTATAATCTATTATATTTATCAGTGACCGGTTCGCGCATATTTCTATGCCTGATAGTTATGCTAAGCATAGCGGAGACGCAAGCCGCAACGCACCCGTCGCCATTCGATTCGAGCTATATTGTATGCGCACGGTCGTCTGCATAAACGAACATGTGCATTGTTCATATAGAGTGAACGGCGATGCGTCGGTTGCGTTTGCGGCTATGCTTGGCATATCTATGCTACCTAGCGTATTTAGGCAAGCATAGAAATATGCGCGAACCGGTCACTGATATTTATCTATTATATACTAGCCATAATCTATTCGCTGCTGAAAAAACAAATATGTTATTTAAGATAGCTCCCATTTCCATTGTTTGTACAACTGATTTACCTATAACTATTTTGATTTTTTGAATTTTTTGAATGCATTCACTTTGATAATGACAAACTACATTTACGCTCATCAAATGATAAAGCTGAAAAGTTGATCGATCTGTACTATCGTTATCAACAATTTGATTCGAAATCAATATAGATATACAAAATGTATGTGGTTGCGTTGCGTTGTGTTTTGTACTTTATTGTTGTAAAATAACCATAAAATCAAGGGAAGATCTCAGTCAACACTGATAATCAAGAAATAAGATCCCTTACATCTTAGCCATCATATTTTCAAAAAATGGACCCGAAAAAATACTGGTAAACAAATTGGTCGAAAATTTCCGTTAAAAATGAAGTGTTTTCAAACATTTTAACGGCAGTGCAATGTATACGGCAATCGCTCTGTCTAAACTATTTTGTTATTGACATGTCAATATTTTTTGTATAGACAGTTCTCTCTGTCATGTGTCAAAGTGAAAACATTACAACGGCTCTAGACATATAAAAGATTTTGGTGATCACCAATAAGAAAATAAGTGAAAGCACTCAATAATTATTATATTAAAAAGTGTGATACTTCAAAGTTCACCACTTCCGATAGTAAAGAAAATTTGATTAATCAAACATTCAATTCATCCTAAATAACGTTTTCTTTCATTTCAAACGAAATTTGTCTTTGTTTTGCGTAGAGTTTGAAGATACATTTTGAACCACGTAATCTTTTTCAAATTGTGAAATTGGAGAACATTCTCTAAAACAATTCAAAATGTTGAATTTCATCATCGAAACGTTTAAACAAAGGGTCTTACTTCCTTTCCTCGCATGGTTATGGCATTTTGCAGAATCACTCGATCCCATTGAAAACCATCAGCCAATTGAAAATCATCAATCAAATCAATGGCAAAATACCAATAATGACTCATCGAGACAGTACCCAGAACAGTACAATCCAGATCCGTTTGAATCAAGTTATAGCAATGACCGGTATACATCAAGACAGTTCGGTACAAATTCGTTTGGATCAAGTTATAACAAGAGGTATACATTTTCTAATAGCAAAAATTTGTTGTATTTTTTATAGTAATTATATTGATTCTTTCAAGCCAAATCCCGGATAACTCTACTTCACAACCCACAAGAAAACCAAAAGAGCAATCTTGGTGGGAAAAATTAATGTAATTTCTGAAATATTTATCTTAAAACTTTATTTGTAATTGTGATTTTATAGATAATTGTGTATTATTTCCCGAATAGTGCGTTTGCTGGAGGAATGATCCCATCTGTAGTTGATATAATAAAAAAAGGTGCATTGTTCATAGTTAGATATTGTGGAAAAGATGTTTTGTACGCCAACGCGTCGAATCCAGTCGTGCAATATTATTTGCTAAAATTGCAAAGATCTTCGGAGCATGAATACATAAGTGCTCTTCAAAAAATGCTTCAATTCGAAATGGAGGAGGAAGAAAATGAGCTTAAAAAGTATCAGCGAAACAATGTGAAACTTGAATACCATAAAGATCGCATATTTCATTTTCCAATAACTGTAAGCAAATACAAAATTGTATAATTTGAACATGAAATACTTCTGAAAATTCACTTCTCGCAGGATGACATGACGGAAATGTGCAATGCCATTGATGAAAATCAATTGAATCACTTTATTTTGGTGCCAAATAATCAAGATATATTCCAACGAGAAATCATGGGAAGGATAATGCAACACAAAGACGGAAAAGTTTATATTGAAATAAGAAATGCAGAAGCATTTAAATTAGTTGATACGAAGCAAAAATATACAATGGATTTTCAAGTCATTCGCAAAAATCACGATCTTCAAATGACCGCGTTGCAATATGTCGGGGAACACAATTTGTTTAAATGTTTAATAAAAAATCCCGCATATCATAGAATTGGTGAAATAGTATCTAGATCGCAGGTTAATTATAAGTTATCGCCCGATAATGAAAAAAGTGTCAACATTATTTACTACAAACCATTGGCCCGAGATGAATACAATGAAAATCTATATTCCAACCAACGATATTTTCAATCCAAAGTCTTCATGGGTCTGAATGCTGAACAAAAATCAGCCGTCGTAAATATTGTTAGTGGCAAAAATTTTCCACTGCCTTATTTATTGTATGGTCCGCCTGGTAAATATGAACAAAAATCGTTTTTATAAAACTGATTTCACATATTTTTCTGGTGTTGTTAGGAACTGGCAAAACGATGACACTGGTCGCAGCCATTGAGCAAATTGTACGATTGACGAACAAAAAAATATTAGTTTGTGCAATGTCAAATGCTGCGTGCGATGAAATCACAGAGCGTCTACTGACGGTTTTAAATAAATATGAAATTTATCGATTGTATGCATTTTCATATAATTTGGACAACATAAGCTCATCCATAAAAAAAGTTTGCAATATAGCCGAAGACAAATTGTATAGCCCGCCATTATCAACTTTATACCAGTTTCGCGTCTTAATTTGTACACTTTCCACTGCCGGTTGTTTGGCCGTGAATCGTGCTAATGACTCATTGTTCAACGTACGTCAATTTCAGTATGTCTTTATTGATGAATGCGCCAGTTCGTCCGAAACTATGACATTAATTCCCATATCTGGTAAGATTTTTGTTCTGTTTTATAATTTACATACATGTCATTCACCTCTTTCATTCAGGTTTATGCTCGTCGCCGAAAAAGATTCATGCGAATATTATATTGTCTGGGGATCCAAAGCAACTCCCTGCCGTCATTAAATCAAAGAAAGCCGAGGAATTGGGTTTTAAGATTTCATTGATGGAACATTTGTTGGAAAAGGGCATTTATAAACGTGACAGAAAATCTGACAAATTTGATGAAACATATATTACGCAATTAGTTCAAAACTATCGATCCCACAAAGCAATTCTACAAATTCCCAACAAACTTTTTTACGATGATCAATTGAAAGCAATGGCATCAGAAGGTATACTTTTATCTCAGTTTATATCACAACACAAAACTCATAATTTTTTTTAAATCTAAAAACAGAAATAACACAACGGTTTCTTCATGCACAAATTTTACCATCGAAGAATTTTCCCATCATTTTTAAATCAGTGCAAGGATTTTATGAAAGAGAAGAAAAAGATAAAAGGTTTATTTCATTATCTATTCTCTGATTGATGAATTTCAATAATAATTTAAATTAATTTTAAATTTTACTACTTTCGAAATAGTTTATTCAATAAAAAGGAGATCGATACGGTCATTTCTTACGTGAATAAACTGTTACAGAATAAAAATCCTCCTGTCGATCAATCGGATATTGGCATTGTGACTCCGTACAAAGCACAGTGTAAAAGAATCACCCAAATTTGTCGCAAAAACAACTGGAATATCACCGTTGGTACATCCGAAGTTTTCCAAGGTAAAGAGAAAGCAGTGATGATTGTGTCTACCGTACGAGCTGGCGGAAAGTATTTGGGATTCGTGAATGATCCAAGAGTAAGCATTTTGGTCTTGTTAGTTTTGGCATTTGTTTAAAATTTTACGTTTAATTCCATCATTTCAGCGAATGAATGTGGTTCTTACTCGGGCTAAGAGTCTTTTGATCATTGTGGGCGATCCGCATACGCTTGCGCTAGATGAAAATTGGGCCGCTTTAATCAAATTTTGTTTGGATAATAAGTGCTTGATACAAAGTTCCAAAAAGATTAAAATGTGATGTTACATATAAAGATTGATATACTTTGTCATTTTCATCCTATTTTCTGGTTCGAATTGAGTTTTTTTTTAATGTAATTACTGTTTTGGAATGTTTTGTAAAGCTTGTCACAAAAAGTTAAAACAAATGTTTTCCTATTTTTTGCAAAACGCAACAGCGAATTTCTGAAAAATATTTCATGTCGAGACTTTCAATCATTAAGTATATTAAGTCTAAAAGGTCTACAATTTCAAAATAAAATACACTATTGTGTTGAAACAAAACTTTTTTGCGCTGAAAATGTTTAAAAATGTACACGTGGAATATTAAAAGTTTTTGAGAAAAATAAATTGTTTTGAGATATTGAACAAGTTACAACTGTTGTAGACTGAATGGTGTTTGTGCCATGAATGTGTAAACCCGGATTCAACAAGTCGAATTAGACCAACCCCCCCTGATGTCAAACAATGAAAAAAGATTCATAACATACAACACCATCTCTTGGTATGCCACATATCTGTTTTTTTCTCCACAATGTGGAGAAAGTGTTTACGTATACGTATACGTTGACATTAATAATCTGTCAAAACCGTAAACACATTATTTTCATAACACAATTTTGCGAGAGTTCCTATTAGTTGAAAAAAATTAAATTTTTGTGTGCAAACTGTAAGTTATTTTGTGATTTTATTGTGTTTAGATTGAATACGATTTCATAAATTGTTGAAAAGTGATTTTACAGTAACAAGAAATGTAAAGCAGAGAGAAAAAAACCAATAAATGAGTTTAGAACGTTTAGAATCATATGCACATTTTCGTGATATTCTAACCTCAATCGCTCTTCACTCTCAGTTTAACATTTTTTATATCAACAATTATTTTATAATTTAAACAGGAAACGCAAAATGGTTTGGTGCGATATATGCCAGCAGAATATTTCGGGAAACATTTACAAGCACAAAAGAGTTGAGCTTAGTTGGGATCGAGGTGGTATTAAATTGATTAAACAGGAAGATAAAACTCTGATCGAAGCTATACAAAACGAAAAAACATTCGTTGGACCTTCGCTGTTATATTTGAAACGTCTCGCAAATTATGCGGTAACACAAAATTTTCAAGCCACATTTTTTGGAGTCGACTCCAAGCAATGCCAAGCAATCCCAATTTGAAGATAATTCTAATGTCAGCAACGCTAAACAGCGAAAAATTCAGTAGATATTTCAATGGTTGTCCGATTATCGATGTGCCTGGACGTACTTTTGATGTTCAAACTATGCATCTCGAAGAAGTATTAATCAAAACAGAATACAAAACGAGCAAAATGGCCACATATTTGGAAGAGAATCAAGTATCGCAAATTCGGCGTATAAAAGATGGTAACTATTAAATGACATACTAGATATTACATATCGGTTGCCTTATAAAGCACAAAGATTAAATCGTTGCTTAGAAAAACGCATCTTTACGTAACATATTAATTTATTGTTTATTATTTCATTCTATAGAAGACATGCCGCGATCATATCGCTTAATGTGCGACAGTCGCCTGGATTCTTATATTTTGCGAAAAGATTGTGAATCATTTGAAAACGTTTTTTCTCTCATTGAAGGCGACTACATGCCGGCCAATTATGTTCATCGTACAAAGCAACGCACCGTGTTGGGAATTGCTGCGGAAAATGGTTCACTGAATATGATGTTAAAGCTTTTGGCTTTTGATGAAAGTGCGACCTTTAAAGATCCATTTGGTAAAAGCGCAATTGATTATGCGAAAGAAAATAAACAAGAGGAATGTTGTGAGGGTTGTGAGCTCTTAATGTGTTATGAACGTGTGACATCCACCACAACATGGAAAAATTACGTGGAAATTGGAAGAGCGTATCGATCAACACAAGGCACACAAAATATTATTGATCACAACTTACTTTTTCATGTCATTGATCATATCCATGAAAATACGTCAAAAAATGGCGCTATTCTTGTATTTTTGCCCAGCTACGACGATATATGCGAACAACATGAAAAGTTAGTAAGCGTACATGGATTACAGGATTGGGGTTATAAGATTTTTGCGCTGCATAGCGAACTAAATGATGAAAACAATGAGGGTCATGCTCATGTCTTTGATCGCATGGAAAATGGCGTTCGAAAAATAATATTATCTACAAATATTGCAGAAACAGCACTTACAATAGATGATGTCGTCTACGTTGCAAGCGAAAATATTACAAATTTGGGTAAACACGGTAAACATTTGGTAAACATGCCAATCGATTGTCAATTGAGTAAGACACTCTTCTACGCAATTATTTTGCGATGTTTGGATCCCATTGTTATGATTTCCAGTGCACTGTCGGTGAAAGATTTATTCGTACTTTCATTTGAAAATACACAGGAAGTGACTGAAAAAATCAATGAAACAAAAAATCGATTCGCAGAAAATAAATATAGCGACCATCAACTGTATTTCAATATAATTCAAAATTGGTCGAAACAATTACGGGAACATCAACGAAAATTTTGTGTCGAGAATTACATTTCACAAGGTAACATGTTAAAAGCCGAAGGCATTCGACGTTTAATCTTCGACTACATATGCAAATCTGGTATGATTTCGCAATCAATGCGTGAATTGAACGAAAATTCCAGCAATTGGAATGTGGTGAACGCATGCATCATGGCTGGGTTTTATCCTAACCATATTGTGAATAATGGGAACAGCATTGGAAATACCCATCCACATCCGTCATCTGTTGTGTCACAAGCTAGCCTAAATCAACCTGGACTTGTGGTATTTGAACAAAAACAAAAACGAAAGAACGGCAACTTTGTTCTGAAAAATATTTCAGTTTTACCATCGGAAGCTGAAAGTTTGTTACCAAAATTGGAAGAACTTTTATGCCAATTTGTTCGTTATTGATACAAAAAAAATTCATATTATCGTTCCAACTTATTTTTTATATTTACCATAATTTTAATACCGATCATTCATTTATTATTAGTCAATAGTAATAGTTTCGTTTCATTTTCTGCGCAATGAATGCGATATAATAAGAAAATTACACAAATTGCCTTAGTTATAATGTACACAAAAAAAAAATTATTTCAAAGTGAATTCAATTGAATACATTGAATACAAAATAATTTATACGTTTATACCTTTGCCGAAAATAAAAGCCATTTTTCATCTTTCTAAATAAATTGGACTGAAATTACATTTATTTGATTAATATGTTTTTTTAAAATAAAATTTGAAAAATAGTTTTCGCTATAGGCACTCGTACAATTTCTGCTGGCTTATATTTGTGCATCATTTTGTATTGTTCCAATGAATACAAACGATAACAGAAGCCGTTTTGAACGCGACCAGCTCTGCCACTGCGCTGTTTTGCACATGCCTGTGAAATAGACTTTAATTCGAGAATGGTCGATTTGGTTTCCGCGTCATAAAACAGCGATTTTGCTTTTCCGGCATCAATAACGTAGACGACATCATCTATTGTAAGTGCTGTTTCTGCAATATTTGTAGATAATATTATTTTTCGAACGCCATTTTCCATGCGATCAAAGACATGAGCATGACCCTCATTGTTTTCATCATTTAGTTCGCTATGCAGCGCAAAAATCTTATAACCCCAATCCTGTAATCCATGTACGCTTACTAACTTTTCATGTTGTTCGCATATATCGTCGTAGCTGGGCAAAAATACAAGAATAGCGCCATTTTTTGACGTATTTTCATGGATATGATCAATGACATGAAAAAGTAAGTTGTGATCAATAATATTTTGTGTGCCTTGTGTTGATCGATACGCTCTTCCAATTTCCACGTAATTTTTCCATGTTGTGGTGGATGTCACACGTTCATAACACATTAAGAGCTCACAACCCTCACAACATTCCTCTTGTTTATTTTCTTTCGCATAATCAATTGCGCTTTTACCAAATGGATCTTTAAAGGTCGCACTTTCATCAAAAGCCAAAAGCTTTAACATCATATTCAGTGAACCATTTTCCGCAGCAATTCCCAACACGGTGCGTTGCTTTGTACGATGAACATAATTGGCCGGCATGTAGTCGCCTTCAATGAGAGAAAAAACGTTTTCAAATGATTCACAATCTTTTCGCAAAATATAAGAATCCAGGCGACTGTCGCACATTAAGCGATATGATCGCGGCATGTCTTCTATAGAATGAAATAATAAACAATAAATTAATATGTTACGTAAAGATGCGTTTTTCTAAGCAACGATTTAATCTTTGTGCTTTATAAGGCAACCGATATGTAATATCTAGTATGTCATTTAATAGTTACCATCTTTTATACGCCGAATTTGCGATACTTGATTCTCTTCCAAATATGTGGCCATTTTGCTCGTTTTGTATTCTGTTTTGATTAATACTTCTTCGAGATGCATAGTTTGAACATCAAAAGTACGTCCAGGCACATCGATAATCGGACAACCATTGAAATATCTACTGAATTTTTCGCTGTTTAGCGTTGCTGACATTAGAATTATCTTCAAATTGGGATTGCTTGGCATTGCTTGGAGTCGACTCCAAAAAATGTGGCTTGAAAATTTTGTGTTACCGCATAATTTGCGAGACGTTTCAAATATAACAGCGAAGGTCCAACGAATGTTTTTTCGTTTTGTATAGCTTCGATCAGAGTTTTATCTTCCTGTTTAATCAATTTAATACCACCTCGATCCCAACTGTGCTCAACTCTTTTGTGCTTGTAAATGTTTCCCGAAATATTCTGCTGGCATATATCGCACCAAACCATTTTGCGTTTCCTGTTTAAATTATAAAATAATTGTTGATATAAAAAATGTTAAACTGAGAGTGAAGAGCGATTGAGGTTAGAATATCACGAAAATGTGCATATGATTCTAAACGTTCTAAACTCATTTATTGGTTTTTTTCTCTCTGCTTTACATTTCTTGTTACTGTAAAATCACTTTTCAACAATTTATGAAATCGTATTCAATCTAAACACAATAAAATCACAAAATAGCTTACAGTTTGCACACAAAAACTATCGCAAAATTGCGTTATGAAAATAATGTGTTTACGGTTTTGACAGATTATTAATGTCGACGTATACGTAACCACAGCTGTCATAATATATACGTAACTTCGTATTTTCACATTGTGGAGAATTTTTTCTGTTTCATTAATAATGAATCATTATTTTCTGTAATAAATAGAAATTTATTTATTTATAATTCTAATAGAATGAATTTGAAAAAATAAATAGAATCATTTATATGAAATAAAAATAATTCTAATTTGAAATAATACGATTTTGTTAGGTTCCCATAGAATGGTGTGAGTATTTATAATTTAGTTGTATTATTTTATATGCTTTATGTGTGTGTACAATGATTTTTAATTGATTTAATTTCAATTCGATTTACTTGAATGATTTTTAATACAATTTTTGTGTTGAAACTATAACATTCAAATACATTCCAAATTATTGAAATAAATTTGATTTTTGCATCTAATTCACACTAAAATCAGATGGCGCTCATTAGCGAGGTTCGCAAAAAAAAGTCTCCAATCTCATATACGTCAACCCCCCTTGAATTAGACAAACTATTATTTTTCGTGTTTTATCTACCGATTGGTAGAAATGGTACTTGTTTTAGTACTTTTATTAAGCATATACAATTTTATTTTATTATATAATTTCAATTATTGGAATGTTTATTTTCCTCCTTTCTTTTGTTTTTTAGCATCCTTTTTCGCTTTCTTTTCTTGTCTCTTTTTGTCGTTCTTTCCGCTCTTTTGGCCTGGTTTAAGGGCCTTATCCTTCTTAGCTTTCTTAGCTTTTGGGGCTGCGCCATCTTGTTGTGGTACATCTGCTGCAGCGTCTCCAGCTCTGAATTTAAAATAATACATATTTGAACATTTGACATGAAGTGAATCATATTATGAAGGGACCACAACTGTGAGTGTCTCAATTTTAAAATTCAAATGAAATGAAATACTAACTCTGGCATCAATTCATCACCAACTTTTGCTTCAGCTGGGGAGTCTACAGGTCCATCATCAACTGGTAAATCGTCACTGACTGGTGCAGATGCTGCTGCTGATGCTGCTACTGCTCCTTTCTTTGCCTTTTTCTTACCCCTGTAGTATAAAATTGACCATTTAAAATTGCATGAAAATTGTAATTAATTAAACTAAAATCTTACGCATCGGCTGGCAGTGTTACGGCTACCAAGACGATGAGAGCGAAGATAAAAAGATTGCGGAAAAATATCATATTGGTTTAGTTGATATTTCTTGAGATGATATCTCTGAATGAACTGAATTAACCTCTGCTACTCTACCCCATTTATACACAATTTTCGGAAAAATATTTGAAAGAAATTTTATATCGTATTGTATAATAACAAAAAAAAAATCTAAGAACCTATCATTTGAAAGTCTATGAGTCAAATTATACCGTCCTGTTTCTTATTGATGAATAATAATACATTCCATCATGATGATAATATTATAAGTTTAAGGTATTTAACTCAATTCTGGAACACATTTTATGGATAGACATTTCTGTTATAAAACGCGCTGATGCAAATTGCGACGAATTTAATAAGAAAATTGTTGAGAAATGAGAGAAAACGAGTCTAAAATGTTCAAAAATGAAAATAAAATGTTTTGATGTGAGATGAACAAGTTATAGCTGTTGTAGACTGAATGGTGCTTGTGCCATGAAAGTGTAAAACCTGGATTCTACTAATCGAATTAGACAATTATTTTATGGATTTATCTACTCATTTGTAGAAATGGTGCTTTTTTAAAACTTTTATTGAGAATATAACATTTTAAATAATTTCAATTATTGGAATGTTTATTTTCCTCCTTTCTTTTGTTTTTTAGCGTCTTTTTTGGCTGCCTTTTGTGCTTGCTTTTCTGATTTCGACACTCTTGGTTTAGGGCCCTTTTCCTTCTTAGCCTGTTTCTTACTAAGTTTCTTATCTTTTGGGGCTGCGCCATCTTGTTGTGGTACATCTGCTGAAGCGTCTCCACCTCTGCATTTAAAATAATACATATTTCAACATTTGAAATGAATTTGAATTATTTTACTGTTCACTATCAATTCTTTGAAATGTGAAAAAAATAAGTAAACAGTTTCATTTACATATTTAATATATTTGATGAGCCAACTTTGAGTGTCTCAATATTAAAAACCAAATGAAATGAAATACTAACTCTGTCATCAATTCATCACCAACTTTCGCTTCAGCTGGGGAGTCTACAGGTCCATCATCAGCTAGTGAATCGTCACTGACTGGTGCAGATTCTGCTGCTGATGCTGCTACTGCTTCTTTCTTTGCCTTTTTCTTACCCCTGTAGTATAAAATTGATCATTTAAAATTGCATGAAAATTGTAATTAATTAAACTAAAATCTTACGCATCGGCTGGCAGTGTTACGGCTACCAAGACGATGAGAGCGAAGATAAAAAGATTGCGGAAAAATAGCATATTGGTTTAGTCAGGTTTAGTTGATATTTCTTGAGATGATATCTCTGAATGAACTGAATTAACCTCTACTGCTCTACCCCATTTATACACATTTTTCGGAAAAAATATTTGAAAGGAATTTTATATCGTACAATAGCAAAAAAGAATTCTAAGAAACTATCATTTGAAAGTCTATGAGTCAAATTATACCGGCCTGTTTCTTCTCGATAAATAATAATAAATTCCATCATGATGATAATATTATAAGTTTAAGTCAACTCTGGAACACATTTGCTAGATAGACATTTCTGTTATAACACACGCTGATGTAAATTGCGACGAATTTAATGATAACAATTTTGAGAAATGAGAGAAAACAAGTTCAAATAAAATTGTATAAATGATGAAAATTCATTAATGTTATATTAATTTCTTGGAAAGACAATTGTTCATCTATTGATTATAAACAATTTTTTATGGTGCCATTCGATTTGTGCCGATTTTCTTAAAACTGGTCAAGTTTCACTGCTTTCTATTCTTATGCTTGCTTACTGAAAACACTAAAAATTGCTTTGGAAACATCAACTTTTTCAGTTTTACGACGAATCTTTGTAGTTTTATAAATTTTGGCTTTAATTTTGACTACTTTCAGGCTTTTTGTAAAACTGGTCGGATCTTAATCATCGAAACGGTTTGTCCATAAATTTACATATGGAAATATCTTTTTGTTCATTTAAAGAATTTGAACAATGATGCACTTCCGTAGTCTATTTTGTTTTATCGGCATATTTGATTATTTTTCATGATTAAAATATTAAATCATTCTCTGTACAAAACTTTTGACAAAGGTATCACGGACTATGAATAGAATTATAGAAGCACACATGGGACATGTAATCGATGTCATTGTTGTTGAAATATTAGGAAAAAAGTACTATATATTGTTTCGATAAATAATGGTAATATAATGCACTCATACAATTCAAATATAACATTATTCATTTGGATAGTGCGCATCAAATCTGTTTGTCAACGGATGATATTTTCTTAACTACATCAATTTTATAAAATTAGCTCAGGAGGCCAAAAGAACAACGGTCTTTGACACTTTATAACATTATTTACATAAAGCGGAAATTTGGAAAATAAATCTGAATTTATTTTGATTCACTCAAGTCTTCGTCGCGCATACATTGTATTGTCTCTTATTCGTCTCTTATTCGACAATAAAAAAAGGATAGCAGGGCATAAAATGAGAAACATTGCTGCAGAAGAAATTGAAGAGTAAAAAAAGTTCAGTCAAATAAACTAAAAAAGCTTCCGGCATTCAACATTTGTTTTTCTTTATTCAACGAAATAAAAAATTCTTCTCCAATTTCGAACATACATCATCATCTATGGCTAAGTGACTCAACTGGTCTTGTTCGTTTGAATTTGTTTGTCGAATTTTTACAGTCATTACTAATGATCCCTTATTTCACAATTTAAGTCAATACTTACCTCATGCTCTGGTGGAAGGTTGTTTACTTCCTTTGACTAAAATGAAATTATCAATAAAAACTGCTTGAAACTGTTGGTGAATCATTGGACATGATGAATGATCTTGGCTAAGTAATAAAAGTCAATGGCGAATAAAAATTAATTGTCTTAATATACTATATGTATTTGAATGCATAATATCAGACATTCTGTCTCAGAATAATTCATTTTGGTTTTATTTAAGGACCGAGTCTTGTTAACGATGATGCATTGCTGATGAAATTAAAAATATGAAACTAAACAAACAAAATCAAAAATCTTATTTATTCCCCGAGAATTGAATAATTTTGTAGAATGAATTCAAATAATTGTTGTGACTTTTTTGCACGCCTTTTATTACTCCTAGCTAATCTCAGGTCTATCTCCGAAGTTTGGACTTCAAACTAACCAAGTAAAAATTGTTGACGCAAACTCATCCAAGATGTATACATACTATATGTTCACGCTCAAAACTGTTATATTTTTTGAGCATGCTATTGATATTGTAAAATGGACATACATTTTTTGTTGATTGAAACAAAAGTTTTTCAAGTATGAAAGGCGAACAAGATCAAGATTTTATGTTGGAATTGAAAAAAAAGGAAATTTACTTTTGCATCACTTATTTCAGTCAATGAACCACCGATATGGGTCATGTTGTCATGTGAGTCACGAGGAAAAGACATTGAAATAGTGACTCATATCATACAAAATGCTGTAAATTGAGAGAAACGAGGAAACAGCATTGTATTCATATAACTGAATTTTTTAGCAATTGTGGAGTATTGGAAATGATTTTTGTGTTGTGTATGAAATGGATAGACAGAGACCACTTAAATGATTTGGTGTCTGTATACAGCATATATGCTACATAACGCACAAAGAGACATCAAAATAAGTGTATAAGGACATGGAGTGAATATCGTGATGATATAGAACAGCGAGGGGACAATACCACATATGGGGAAACACTTTGATAAGAATGGATTTCAAAAAGCAAACACAAAGAATTATTGTTCAATGATGTCTATAGCAAACTGTTTTATTTATACTTGCACAAAAATTTATTGAAATAATTCAATAGAAAAAGTAAATTTACATCTTCATTCAGTTTTTATTTTCGGAAATGTTTGAAACAAATTCAGTTGTCTTATTTTTGACATTTTCGTAAAGTTCACCCGTTTTTTCCCCCAACTTCTTTGCATTTGTGGTAAATGTATCGGCCAATTTCTGAAAAATCCAATAGAAAAGGAAAAACGTAATGATATTGGAAGAAAAAGTCGAGAAACGTTTCAACATACGGCTGCATTCTCTTTAGTTACTGTTTTATCCCAATATTCTGATACATCTTTTTGGAATTGACCGATATTAGATTTCCATGAATTTAATATACTTTGAGTTGTGGTTTCGCTTTCACTTCCACGGGATATACGAGCTGCGAAAGAAAGCTGAAATGAGAAATGAATAAAAGTTAATTCGCAATTATTTGCATACATAGGTCGTTTAAACCAAAGCCTAATCCAAAAGTGCAATGCACGTGAAAACATTGCAGCCAAATTTGTTACATACTTTTCAGCCTATCACTTTATTGATGTCTTATATCTGTGCGTAGTTGGGAAAGTATGCGGCACTAAATTTAAGTGAGTCGATCTCTATCTTTTTGTATTTGTTTGACTCATCAAAATTGTTGAATTTTTCTACGAAACCATTTTTCCAGTAAAACCATTTTCCAGTTTAAAGTCGAAATATAGCCAGATAACCTCTGATAATGGATTCTTTTACATGATAGAACATGAAACAGTCTTGACATTTAAGAAAATATTTCGAACAGAGCAAGTAAAAGAATCCATTCATTCACGTGATAAAATATACAATTTTCGGAGATAAGAAAGTTCAAGCAACCGAACAGCAGCAATATTAAAATGATTACATGAAAGAAGTAATGTAAAAAATTGAATCGCACATGTTTTACGTTCAGCATTGAGTTTGACAAAGAGCACATTTTTGACATCAAAAAAGAAATATATATTTTTTTCCATTCATCAATTCACTTTGGACAATGTCCAATGTCCATACAACAAAAAGTGCTTATCGCAATGACTAATAATGAATGAATTCGTCAACAATAGATTCATTGATTCGAAATAAAAGGGAATTTATTTAATTTTATTCTGTTAATTTGCAAATGTCCACAACATAAAGCACTTTTTGAGCGTTAAACCGTGACGGTCTCAACAAAAAGTTCAAGTGCCCTTGAACGTAAATGAGGAAACGAAGGAAGCAAAAAAAAAAAAAAAATTAACAGAACACACGTCGCTCAATTTGATATGGGTTTTGAATACTATATTTCTGTTTTCACGTCATTTGTGTTTGGCACTCTAAGATTTTGCAAGTAATTCGAAAAGCATAATCGAAATAAATATTTTGGCAAATATGACTTACAATTGAAATGACAAACACAGAAATGTTGTATAATTTTAAAACAAATATATATTAAACAATGATTGGGAATTCAATTCACACATTCAATTCTCCGCATATATCGAAAATATTCAAGCACTTCTCTGTTATTGATATGCCCTTTGAACAGGGTGGAGTCAAAGTTTAAATTTCAATCATTTGATTGAATTGGCATTCGGAATTTATTCATTTCGCGTGATATTAAAAGAGAGAGATTCCAAAAACCTTCCAGAAACTGACTCATTTCAATAAATTCGTAGATGTTATTTTGTCTTTTCTATAATTTTCCTTTTACAACATCAACAATTCTGAACCATTGTTAAATGAAGTTCTTGTTGAAACCAGTGAAATTGAATACAAAAAAAAAATTGTTTTTAAAAACTCACTTGAGCAATGCAGAAGACGGCCAAAAAAATCAATGCCAATTTTGCCATTTTAATTATATTTTAATGACTATTCGAGTATAAACAAATTTGAAATGCACGTAAATAGTTTAAAGTAGCTTCAAGTTCACTCTCCAACGTTCGGCAATCAACTGAATTCTACGCGCCTTACCCACATGGTTATAAAGCCAACGCTTCGATGATATTTTGTGAACTTTGGTGCGATGAAATACATTGTTTGGCCCACCCTAGTGCAATTGATCTTACGTACATATATTTTGCTGCGGTCTAGACTACTTTTTGGCGTTTTATGTGATTTGATTTTGAATCGATTCATTTGTATGGAAAATTGTCGAAACGAATGGTTGGACGTTTTAAATACTATCAGCCGGCAAAAACTGTGATAGATTTCATACAATAAAATGTCCAGTTTTTAACGCCATTCATCAATCAAGTCTAAGTATAAAGGAAAGACGATCTGAAAAATGAATAAATAAAAAACTTCATTTTTCTCAAGTTGATAGAATAATTTGTACGTGTATTTTTGCTCTGTTCCGTCCACATCATTTCTATTCCCTTGGATTTCTTATTCATTCAATTTACATACAACAATGGAATTGTCATTTAAGTATCTAGATTATCATCTAATTATTTGTCTGCGGGTCGATTCAACGTGCCATTCCATCATTTATAATCTCTCTTTTCCATATTATGGGATTGACTTTTATACGAAAATTTCATAAATCTTCTCTACATTTCTTTTTGTATGTACAAAGGATGTGGCTAAATTAAAATCTAAAAGGTATCATCAATAAATTATGAATCCGTTTTGAATATATATACGGTCGGACTCGCTACAAATACAACTTCTCTGCATGACGGGCATTAGATATCATAAATACTATTTTTAATTTCTTTTTTTTTAACAATTTATATTATTTTTAAATTATATTAATTTGTGAGGTTTTAATCCTCAAAAATTCACTTATCATTTTTCTAAATAGAAAAAAGGGAGAAGAATTAAGTACAGTTCGAAATAAATATAACAATTGACTATATTTCCTCGTTCATTCGCGCATTGAGTGGATACCGCGTGGAGGCTTTTTTGGCACCAATTATATAAACAATTTCTTACGATTTCATCGTAAATTAGCGTAATTCTAACAGGTTAGCTTGCGTCATCGTCCCTTTTTCCAGCACAACAAATTTCATTGTATCAATGAGGCGCGTAGCTCAAAAGCGGTGCTTATCTTTGGGTTCATTTTTTCTGAGGTTCATTTCTTTGTAGCAGTAGGATAAAAAGGGTTTCTTTTTTTATGCGAAATTATGATTTTTAAGTTTGGGGTGCTAGAAGAGCGTCGGTTTCGCGTGATTCTTTTTCGGGAGTATGAAATTGAATTGATTGATTTTCGGGAATAAAAGAAACGGCTGGCGTAGAGGCACGCTGATCATTTAATGACGTAGGCCCATTCGAGGTGTGTTCCTGTTTTCAAATTAAAAATTCCATTATTTTTCAGAGAAAATTTAGCAAATCAATAAGTATTTACCACATTGATCGCGGTTGGAGACGCTGATTTACTGGCACGAGGACTTAATGCATTCAAATTGGTTGTATGAGCGCTCACACTGCGATCGTCTTCGTCGAGTGAATGCAGGAGCTTAAAAATCAAAATCAATGTTGATGATAAAAAGTGGCTAATTAAAAATTAAAATTGATTACCTTTTCAACTTCATAATCGATTGGTTCATTCGAATCGCCTCCATATCTTTTCGATTTTTCCATAAGCGTAGCACGTTTAGCAGCCAAATAAAGTGTACGTTTGATGGCTATGTAAATTACATCAGAAATGGCCTTGACTGAGTAGTCAGGCACGAACGTTTGATTCATAACGGCATCCAAATTAAGTGACTGCAAAGATCCTTGTTGTGGCGATTCAGCTGAATAAACAAATTGAATAAATAAGATGATAAACTTCGGAAGAAAGATCGCATACTTACCAACGCCAACACTTTGTACTAAAGCTTGTGTCCCAAAGTATGTGAATGGGCCACATTCAAATAGCAAATGTTCCTGTCCAACAGTCACTTCAACTCTTCCCTCCAAAATCAAAACAAAATAATCGGCCGGTTTTCCCTGTTCATAAATCAACAGCGACAGATTATCCTTTTCCTTTGCCTTAATTTTAATATGATGAATAACATCTTGGGTCAATATACGACGTAAAATTGTCTCTGACACACAATCATTTTTAAAGGCATCAACAGCTAAAGCATAATGAATGATTTCAAATTAATACCGTGCCATTCTGCACATCATTTTATTTAATAGACTCACTTGTGCTGAGATATTGAAAGGTGGCTAGTGTTAGTTGCGGTGATATGTGAATGCGTTGTACGTCACGACGTTCGGCGGCAAACATTGTGAAGTCATGTTTTCGGCTCATAACTTTGCGTTTCTTTTTATTTCGATTATCCGTATAAACATCCGTTTCATCGACAATTTCGGCTTGAATCATCTCTTCGATAACATCTTCGAGTGTCACCAAACCTATCTGTAAACATACAATTTTTACAATAGACGATAAGTCTTTTTTTGAAAAAAAAAAAAAAAAAAAAAAAGAAAAGAAGAATATACCGTTTCATAGTAAGGGTCACCGTCGCCTTCGTTATTGACACGCTGCACAAATGCCATGTGCCCTTGTTGGCCGGCCTTGAATTGCTTGAATATCACATCTAACGTTACATCTTCAAACACATAAAAACATGGATTCTGATAGAATTCGCACAGCGTTCGCAATGGGGTATTGTCATCCGGATCGATTAGTGCCAAATCTTTAATAAACAATAACTTTTGTACATTGTGCCGTAAGCCTTCGTAAACGGGAATTCGTGAGAATCCTGATTTCATGATTTCGGTGACTGTATCAAAATCAAGAATAGCATCAATTGACAGCATGAACGCATCCTCTAAGTGTGTCATCACCTCAAAAACAGTTTTTCTTCGCATTTCTAAAGCACCCGATATAATGTTGACCTCATCTTTGTCAAGGTCGTTCACATCTTTTGTAACCTGTCGAATATTTTAAATTTGGTAACAACATTTTTCTTCGATTGCAGAGAAATACAGATTTTATTTTATCAACAAAAAATATATATACAGATTTTTGGTACGGATCCGTAGACATTTATAAAAAGCAATGAACGATGTTGGTTTTATTTATTGCCAATATTTATTTTTGTCTGTTCGTTTTCTGGTAATGATTATTTTCTTCAAAACAGCTAGATTGATTGGTATCATTATCAGAACGTGAGCACTTTCATCATAACGAATATGATGACGTTGCGACAGCATTGAAAAAAAAAAAGCAAATAAATGTGCGTTGTTTAGGATAAAATTTCGCACATTTGCCCGAATCTTATCCATATCAATCAAACAGACGACTATTTGAACGAACAAAGTCTAAAACATTTTTTATGAAAAATGTTTGTTTTTTCGGAAAAGAATTTCTTTACGAAAAATTCATAATTTCTGATCTGAAAATTCGGCGCTTTGGCAAAAGAACCTTCGACATGAAATATGAGCAACGCATTGGCAATATATATATATATATATATATCGATTGAATGGCTGTCGACATCAAAAAGCGTGAAGAAAAGGCGTTTATCGATCAAACGAAGCTTTTGAAAATGATTGCCATAAATCTGATGTCACTAGTTTTACTGAAGAACCATAAAAATTGAATATATTTGAGTGATTCGTGATTTTCTTTCTATAATTTGAATAGAAACTCAATGTGAATTTTTATTGCGATGAATTCACATATAAAGCCATTGAATATTGCGTGTTTTGATTCTTAATAGAATTTTCATATTTTCCGTGCATATTCAACACATGATTATGGCCAAACAACCAAATCCAAAAATGTTCCCAAACAACCACTTTATTTATAGGTCAAACCACTTACACCCTACTTCCCGCAGTTGTAAATACTAACATAATTATGGCTTGAAACGTTCATTTTGAAACGAACCAAAAGTATTGTATGTTTGTAGAGGGAGGAGGAGGCGAACTTTCTTTTTTCATTTACTTACTCGAACCAATTCCTTGAGACGATCTCTATTGTACACATTGCCAATCTCTTCGCCCAATATGACATCCAATAATTTCGATACTGGGTAAGCCAACGGAGATGTTAAAACCATAAATATTTTGGTAATAACTATTGATTTTGCACCAACCGCCAAACCGTGGCGCGAACAAATTGCCTGTAAATAAATATCATGAGAATTTTTGTTTTTCGAGTGTACTTCGTGGCTAGTTAAATAATGGTGATTGCTTACAGCAGAATGTGTAATAAATGTTCAATTTTCCTTACCTGTGGTGTTATTTCGCCAAAAACAACAATCAACAGTGTTGAACATAACACAGCTACAGGTCCCGATGTTAAACCATCAAGCAATATAGTGAATATATTATTCACAAAAACATTTCCCAATAAAATACTGCAGAGCAAAAAATTGCCATGGTCACGGACAGGCTGAATTTTAGCTGCATATTTTCGCTCTTTTGCATTGCCCGTGTTTCGTAGAATCTGAACAGGACACAAACATAAAAATAAAACATTAAGAGAAGATTTACCAAAATATGATGCTTTTTCAGGAGAAATTCTAGTATTATCACGTTCATACCTTTAATTCCGTTCGGTCTAGCGACATTAAACCCAAATTCAGTCCAGAAAATAGAGCCGAAAAGCATAAACAACAGACTATTATAATGATTGCCAACCATGTGGGTAAAATCAATTCAGTCGCACGCATCGATAGCCAAGCCTCAGTACCTTGATGTATAAACGGTTGAGCTCGATCGATTTTCTGATTTCAAATAATAAAAATATCAATAAATAATTTTTACTGTGCCTGATGAATGTGGGGGAAAATGAATGTTCAGGTGAAAAAATGACCATTGAAAATTCATACCGCAACACGAGTCGCCTTACATTTATACTTTATGTTATTTGATATTATTTGGATTATGTTCTATCTTTTTATGATTATTCTAATTTCATCTAAAAAAATATACAAACCTTTTCTTCTATCGAATCTTCGGCATTTTTTACACAAAAATAATAAGGTGTTGGTTCGGCGCTCGGCACAATAATATCAACAATAGCTGTATATTCCAGCAATCCTTCGCTAGACACTTTGAACTGTCCCGATGCAGGTAATAAACAAGCACCATTACGGTCATTAATTTGTCTAGTAAATGTGACGACAGTGTGGTCGGTGAAGCCACAACCAAATAATCGTAGTCGTGCATTTGTGTGTGTAATAAGTTCCGGAATATTTTCGTCATCGTATTCAATTGTTTTGTCTGTCGATTCTATGCGCATTCCATCGATTCGTATTTCACCTAAACGGCATTTATTGTCACTGCGTACGGTCGTTGGAAAAACTTGTTGATTACGACGATCCCGACTAAATCTATCCACACTCAATAAACTGTAATCGGAAACAAACAAAAATAAAAACAATTTAATTAACAACATGGACGATAAATTTTACAAGCCATTATTTGAGTATATCTAGACAATTTATCCATTATTTTAATCACGTTTAGATTAATCTTATGAATATTTTTTATCATTCGATAAATCTTACTTTTCGTCGCACGCATGGGTTTATATGGAATTTACACTTTTAAATTACACTTATATGGTTATAATATCGGTTGAATCCATTTGATGAGTGTGAGAATGTGCCAATTGTTTTTCAGAAGTTTTGTGCGAAGCAGCCATATTTCTTCCGATTGACGGGGCCGACAAACAAAACGTGCTCAATATGAAATTGCAAGCTTATGGAATTTCACATGTTAACATGCATTATACACGCGAATCACTCGAGTCTTGTATGAATACATTATATAATAGTGGGAACTATAATGGTCGAACTTTGCGATAAACTATGAGAATTCGAGCTTATGCGTGTTTTTTGAGGAAAAATTGCACAGACCATTACCCAATAATTAATGCAGTTATTTGGAATAACTAATAAAAAGCCACTGACCACACAATATCAATTATAATAATTATAATTAGCATGGTTTCAATTTACATTGATCGATATTTAGCAAACGTAAACATTTCACAGACCAAACAAAAGCTGAATAAACATTCTACGAAAATATTTTCTGTAAATACTATTCAGAAGCGAAATGCTTGTAGAAATGCATCTATTTTCGTCTTATCTGTAGTATATATAGGTCTTCTTATTCACTCGTGACTTCGCTATTATAATTGATGCACGTGACATTGGCTCAAGGTTTGATAACTTGGTTTATCACTTCCTTAATATTTACCATTTTTAGTTTGTTCAACCCGAAAAAAGTTTTCTGAAATTCCGAAAAAACATTCTTCAAAGTTTTTCACGTGATTCTAAATCTTACATCGGTGTAATGCAGTAAACAAATAATGCAAACGAACATTATAGAAGCTTTCATTGCCATTTCGTCGTAAATATATGCAAAATTCTTTATTGAATTGATTTAAAGCGTTCAAAGCTGGCAGACAATGTTTCGGCCAAGAACCATGTCTACAACCGACAACTATGAATGTAAACAACACTGATGCCAACGGTTCGTAATCAAACTTTGGAAATAATGTAATTATGAATCGAGATGCACGTGATTTTGAGAGCTTCGTGCATTCGGTTCGTCTAAAACATTCGGTTCAACGAACCAATCGTAATCAATTTCACTTTGGAAGTATTCTGGTGCAAATGTTCACTGCAACGTAAATGTAATTAACGCAATTAACATGTGAATGATGAAGCAAAATGTCTCCTGTTACCTACACATTCATGTTAAAGTTCTTCGGTTTTTATTAATGAAAATGCCATAATTATGATTATACAACACACGCAATGAGCTCATTTAAATTACTATTACGACCGTCACTCACCAATAAACTAGAAGAATTAATCTATTTGCATGGATACGTTTTTAGTGCGGAAATGTGTGTGTGTGTGTGTGTGTGTGTGTGTGTGTGTGTGTTGATAAACACAACGAAAAACTTACATATAGAACAGCTGATTGAGGGGTTATGTGCTTAATTTATAGCACGAAATCTGTTTATATATTAAATAATGGACTGCCAAATGAACTGTTTAAAATGCGGATTGACAGAATTTCAAACGAAGGAATTTTAATTGTTAGGATTTTCTTTTTTGCACGTGTATGCCGCGCTATGATTGATGGATTTGGATTAAAGTTTCCTTGTAAAAAGCTTTCAATTCCGATAACTATTCGTGTTCTCAGAACGGATTTCCTCTCAAACACGGTTTAAGTGTATACGATTTCATTGCGAAAAAAATGCATTAGCAAAATTAGAAACGGCATTATATAAGCGAATTGCAAACAATACTCATGTTCGTCCATTATTATCATGATTCAATTATTGAAATGGATTTTCAGTTTCCAGCGAAAAAAAAATTCAAAGAGCAATTAGCATTATTTTCTCATGTGTAGGTCAAATTTGTCGGATTTCAAGGAATACCTTTGTTTTTAGATTTCTTTTTTTATCTTCGAAATTGAATACATGGAGGTGGTCAAGCTGTCGTTGGCGCATCCCCAACATTTAATTGTGTGGGATTTCTTATTTGCGACCATTTTTCAAGGAATTCAAACTCCATAACTCTTTGACAAACAAAATTTCTTTGTTTTAAAATTTGATTCATTTCAAACTAGATTCTCGACTTTTGATTTGCACAAATTATTATTTATACATTAATTTTGTAAAGTAAATACACAGCTTGCACTTAGACATCATTAAAACGAATCTGTTATTTGGGAAAATGAATTTGGGCATTAGAGCTTATATAAATCGAGACTTGTGTAGGTGGAATTGAGAAAGTCATTTTTTTTGTGTGACGCAAAATATAAGGATTCTATTACGTTGTGAACGACAAAGTGTTCAAAACAAACTCCTCGTCAGAAATTGCGTTTTTTAAATGTTCTTTCTATGTTCCTTTCGTTAAATTTCTTCTCAAACTTCTAGAAGTGCCTGTCTAGTGGGTAGCAAATGTTCAACTCATCAATTTAAATCGAAAGCGGATACAGAAGTCGATCAATTTTTGTTTTAAAAAATGATAAACTACAATGTCTATCAATGTCTATTGCAAATTCGCTAGTTATTTTACCGCATCGAACATAGGTGGAAGGTTCACTTGTCTATCACATTGCTGTCATACCTACGTGATAATATTTAATTTCACAGGTAACGGAAAAAAAATCGATGTACCGAGGGAACGAAGTCTATTTGTTATTTGCCAATATCAAGTTACAGTTTGACAAGCATTAGACTGACAGACTGAAGTTAGGTTTTTATCGACAAAAATAAAATCCAAGTTGATTAGTTAATTATAGTGAAATCAGAATCGATTAAAATGGATCACATCGGTGTCATATGTGCCATTGCGTAATGTTTACACCGAACATTGTACATGACCTGTAATTAGACGAAAGTCAATGGCATACGAAGCTCAAATGACATTTATTTTTAATTAAATATATTTATGGTTTATCACGGTGCTGTATGTGTTGTGCTACGCTTGCATTTTATTTTGGAATAATTTTAAACGAATGCAAAATGTTTACAATGAAAGCGTTAAAATTACGATGCAAATGTAATGCAATTAAAAAAAAAATGTCAGCGACAAGCTTTCGCATTCATCATTCTCATTTCATTTTTCAAAATGCTGGTAATTTGTCAAAATCGTTGTACGCTTGAATAGTTTTACAATGTGTTGAAAGGCAACAAAATCAAGTAAGATAGATGAGAAGGAAATACGATATATTTAAGACGATTAGTTCATTTGTTCCACGTAATCCATTCGTTGATGTTAAACAATGAAAGTGACACTCAACCATGAGTCATTTTGAGAATTCTCGTAGTGTTATTGATTCAGCGGAGCTTCAAGAAGAAAGGTAAGTTGAAAAGTGATTTTATTTTATGTTTCAACCGTCAAGTCCGTGTAAGAAATCCAATTAAAACACGCACTAAAACTGTCCATTCCTTTCAGTCGAATTCATCGTTTTTATTCAATTGGCACACAACCCACATATACAGTCGATTCAATCAGTTAATGTACATTGTAGATCTTCGTTTACAAGGCCGAATGAAGTTATGCATTTTTCACTCATTGCAGTGAAAGAAGAAAAAAACGCTTTATCTATGTTCGTCATTTCAATTCTATTTCATTTTCAATTCAACCAAAACAACAATAACAAAAAAATGAGTAAAATTTATTGAAATTAATACGAAGCGTGTTCTAAATACAAATTTTTAAAATGATTTGGTTGTATTCCTGTACAATGTGAATCAAATTTAAACCGGACTGAATGTATTTTGTTCTTCTTCTTGCATTTATCAAATCACGAACAAAAAGAAACACACACACAGCTGACAGAAAGACCGACAGAATGAATTCAATAAACAAAACAACCATAGATGTACTTGTACACACATTGGTTGCTAAACGAATTTTCAAGCAAAAACCAGCTATTATGTCATTAAATACATGAAACGAAATTGTGAGGATGAAAATAGTGTAGTGTTTTGGTTTAGTGTTTTGGTTTAATAGTGTAGTGTTTTTTAGTGATTTTGATTCACAATAGAAAAGAAAATGATGGTTTGTCGCGTATTTGAATATTTCGTAACCAAATTGAATACGGTCCTATTCAGTGTGGCGAGTACAAAAGATCAATCCCTGTCCCCATGCACATTGTTTAGATCATATTTTTATTGGCCAAATACTGTGTCTCATTCTCACGGACCAACAACAACAACGGCAGCAGCAGCAGCAGCAGCAGCAACGGCAAAACAGCATATTTTTATATTCGTGCTTCATTCGCCTCTATTTCTTTGTTATTGTTGTCGCTACTCTTCTTTAATCGAATAAAATGTCTGCAGTGCACGCATTATTACTGAAATTATCTTTTTTTTATTATTCACAAACAAATTTTGTGTACCAAATAAATAATAGCACAAAATATGCGCCAAACAAATTTTATTTCGGCAAAATGACGGATGAAGAAACCAACTTGTTTACACAAATACAATGATTTTTTTTTCTCGTCGAGCTGGTTGAATCCCTTAGTAGAATGGTATATTGCACAAGAGTTCTGTTTGTAACCTTCCACGTTGAAATATCGTTTGTTCTCATTTTTTTTTTCATTCAATTGTACGAAGTGAATGACTATCGATAAAACAAAAATGAAACTAAAACAAAACTGACTCGCTTCTAAGTGTTTTTGTCTCTAAGATATACCGCTTTATCGTTGAATGACGAAATAGATAAATCGAATACAAATGATTTGTGGTGTCAATTAAGTGAAATGTGTGCAGGTAGTCGTCGTTTGAATGAGAAAAACTGAATGTAAAAACGTATGAACGTAAACGAATTGGTTGACAGAACGCCCACGTTTTGACACATCGTGTTTAACGTACAACCGAATGAACACAAGCAAAGCACCTATAATCATGCGGTGTGCTTAGGTTTTATTGCATTTATATAATGGTTATAATAGAAAATTACACGTTTTTATTGACCGGCAACTGGCATTTTTGTACACAGTCTAGTTTAAACTGGTTTCTGGCAGAGCAACATGGCTCATTAACGTAATCGCATCTTTTGGATTTGATTGAATTTTGTACAAAAACAAATATTTGCCTATTTTTTCTGTGTTTTTGGTAATTTATAAAAAATCATTGGCAAATCGGATGCCTGTGAAAAAAATTGTCTTTAAATAATTTCATCGCTCAGGAACAAGAAAAAAGCGTTGTAACTTACTTTGGAAATTTCGATTGGTCTCCCATGTGTTGATAGAGATGATCATATTTGGTTTTGATGCAAAGATAGGCCGCTGACTGTTGTTTAAAATTGAAATTATCGATTGAAACGATTAAATCGGTCGTGCGATTAATGCTATTTTTCGAAGGTGCGTCGTTTATAATTTGCAAATCTGTTTCGTTGCCCATGCAATTGGTGGCAGAGAGCGTTGCTTTGATTCGAACACCATCTTCAATATCATCGCTGGATAGACCAGATAACTTTAGCAATGGTATTGTCTTATTTCGAATCATACGAAGCGGAAGTAAATGGACGCTAAAATCTTTAAACCATGACTCCTCTACATCATCAAGATTAATATGTCCGGCATTTGATTGTATTAGAAAAAATACCAGAATGGTTAATGTCACCCATGAATTTTTCGTTATACGTTTAGTCCGACTTTCTATGGTGACATTTTCAGAATCACTTAATTCCATATTCACTTCAATGTTGCTGATTTTTTTTTGTACAGTCACACAAGACACAAGTGTGACACAACACTATCAAATAAAAATGTTTTGGTAATAACTGTTTTCACTTTGAACACTAGTCAAATCTCTATGAGCCCGCGATCAAATGGTTTCCAAACAGTTTTTTAGCGGCAAAATCATATCTTTTTCACTTTTAATCAACATATTTAGTATGAGCTGTATCTTCCGAAAAAAAGTACTAGAAAAATTCACATTTTGTACAAAAATATGTAAAAAAAACAATTATTGCATTCTCACACTCAACGGATTAAAATGAAACTTGGCCTATTTTTATTCCTCTCAGAGTCCAATTTTCACGTGATTTTTATTTAACATTTCAAAATTGAATGAAACATCTAGGCTCGACGAAAACTCGCGAAATAATAATGCATTACCGATTCATTTTTGGATTCACACTTAACTGCGTGAAAAAAAATCGTCGCATCCGAATTTATTTTCATATTATCTCGGCCTTGGTTATTACAACGATAATAATTTGCAACTTTTAATATAACTATTATTATTTTCCACTGATGAAAATAAACATTGAGCCGATCACTTGAGTTTTATATGGGCCTCGTTACGCAAATAATGGTGTTAGATGCGCTCAGTTCGGAATGAGCAAATTTTCTATTTTTAATAATTTCCGTCGAAAACCACGTCAACGTGCCGATACATTATTGCTTGAGAAATTGTATTACAACGCTTAAAGCCTGGTATTCCCAATTTCTAAATAAAAACTTGCATCAAACTCACAAACGCACCAGAGACTGCGACAACAAATAATTCGTAAATGCTTCGCACACAACTTGTTCCCCTCTCCTAATGCGAATTCGTAAAAAAAATTCTACTGATAAAATGCTCTATTCACAACGATAATTTCGACATTTGTGTTATATATAACGCAAGCAACGAGCATTGTTGAATGACTGGCACGACTGGTAGTCCACTTGCATATTCGAAGCGTGAGTGTTTTAATTGATGACTTTTTTTCACATTCTTTCTCCCTTTCTTTCGCTCTTGCTGCAATGTCTGTGTTATCAATGACCATTAACGGCCATGTGAAAAACGTTCAAAATAGATGATATAAGCTGGTTTTTATGTATTATTCGGTTTGCATTCTATATAGTCGCAAACTTAATTTACCGAATTGTGAAACGTGATTCAAGTTTTTAATTCAGAAAATGTTATGTTATAAAACAATGTTGTTGTTTATGATATTCTTGTTTGCATAATAATATTAAATCACAAACGTAAGGCAATGTGTCATGAATTGCATTAGGAATGTAGAAGAAGAAGAAAGCAAACAAAAAAGCAAACAAACTTGAAAATAGAATCAAAATATGAAAGAGCATAAAAGGGGAGAAGATTTGCATTTCTGGTACCGTCGTTGATTTGCTTAAAATACTTTAGTACAGTTTCACTGCGATTGTCCTGTTTAAATTTATTGCATGCAATGCACATCAATTCATATTTTTTTATGCACTTAAATTGCTATAAACAGGTTAATAGTGTATACGAAGAATATTATGGCAAACAAGATTCTATGGGTATTCTAAACTGAATATGCACGGCAATGAATAGTAAATGGTAAACGGGGAGAGAAAAATAAAACAGTAGCAACAACAAGCCAGTCGAAGTTGAAAAAAAAACAACTGTATGAGAAGAAACACAAGAGATTGAATTCACTCTCGTTTTCGCTGAACAAATATGATGCGCGATTTGTTATGCGTATTTCACTATAAAGCCTCTGCAGTTTCTCCAGAACTAGATCTGTGCGAGATTGACGATGTATTTTTATGCCTATAATTTACAACAACGTCAACTAATTATCTTTTTATTCTGAAGCAAATGAGCACAGTCATCAGCACACACGGTAAATTGGACATTTGGAAATAATTGAAATTTGGCATTAAAAAAAATAGACCAACTATCATTCCAATGAATGCCATACGAACGAAATGTAACTAGCAAAATAAATAACACTGGACTGCAGCAAAATTTCGAAAATCAATAAACACCAGCACGGAAATTAAGACAAATACTCAACCAAAAACAAATATATTTATTATACACTATTAAGCGCTTTTTTCTCGGCCAAAAGATCCAAGCGACATTTAAAACACTACACACAATTTTTTGAATAAATATCGGATGGTAAAACGGTAGAAAACAAAATCCATTCACGACAAAAACATCGACGAAACAGACTGTGAGCAAAACGATGGTTGTAGCGAACCGTTTGATAACAATTACACTGAATAAGTGACACACGGAGAAAATTCACATTTCCCTTTCGGTTCGATTTTTCGACACAACATGGGACAGTAGCGTTTATGTGTATGTATATGTAAACTGGTGAAAAGTATCCGTTGTGTCAGCGTATGCGTGAATGTGAGCCACTATAAATATAAAGAAAGTAATTGGTTTGGGGTTCACAACATTTCCCAACGACACTCTCTGTGTTTCACATACAACAATATGAGAGCGCGCCTAAATGTGAATGACAAGGGATAGGAAGAAAAAAAAAAACATAGCACAAAACACGCACAATCTCATTCGTCTACTCTCTGCCGTAAAAATACCGATAAATGAAAATACATGGATATCACGCCATTCGTTACTAGGTACATGGTACACACACTGTGTGTGATATGCTCTGGTTGTTTACCAAATATTTGGATAATTCTCTCCTCGTTCGCTTCAAAGCTGCTGGTGTGCTTTACACGAGATGTGCGGTAAAAGTTTGCGCACAACAACCGCAACGTGCGCTTACTCATACACACACACACACACACACACACACACACACACATACACATAAAAGCGAAATGTCATATGTCGCATTGGGATCAAAACAATAATATTTCACATATGAGGTGGTGATGGCGAGATATTGCCCGATGTTAAACTGCATGAATATTTCGTGGTGAGCGCCCAAGAACGCGGCTGTCAATCGAAATTTATTGAGGTTAGACCGAATTGTTTGACAGAAATACGTTTATCCAAACAAACTCCGAAATCATTTGTGATTTTGCGATTTGTTGATTTTGTTTTTGTTTTAACATTTGAATATAAAGTTTGGTTATTTTGTGTTTTTCGTTGAAAAAACAGAATGTCGGACGACGAGGAATTGATTTATAAAAAACCACAAAAAACAATCCATTATGGTACGCTTGATAATAGTGAGTGGCTGAAACAGCAAACGCTCGAAGAAATCCAATCGGACGAAGATGACTATGAACCGGACAGTAAGAAACCAACCACTGCAGCCACCAGCATTGCACCACCGTCCAATTCCGGTGGCAATATTAACATCTCCAATGAGTACTTTGATTTGGAAAATGAAATGTATGTCGCTCTTACTCATTTTTTTTTTCTTGTCGATAAAACTAGACGCTTGAATGGGTTGTATGTCTTTCAATTTCGAATAATTTCAGGGCAAAGGATAAAACGGCATTGCTCGAAGAGTTCGAGCGGAGGCGAAAGGCACGTCTTATCAATGTCAGTACGGATGATGTTGAAGTCAAGAAAAACTTGCGTCAATTAAACGAACCAATCTGTCTGTTTGGAGAAGGACCAGCTGAACGTCGAAGACGATTAAAAGAGCTGCTGGCTAGGTAAATTTATATTAAAACAGAGAAAAAAACATCGTATATAAAATCTCCATTCTCGATCTAATCTAATCGTTATTTTTGTTTTAGTCTGGGCGAAAATGCCATCACTCAAAAAATGGCCGAAGAAGAAGAACGGAAGCAATTGCAACGTGAACAAGAAACAACCTGGTACCATGAAGGACCGGACGCTTTACGTACATCTCGAATTTGGTTAGCTCATTATTCGCTTCCGCGTGCCAGAGAACGATTGGAGCAAGCTAGAGTAGCGCGTGATGTATCGAGTGCAACAAAAGCTGGCCGAATGGTAAGGCTTGACTTTTTCGTTCGATTAATATTTTTTTTTAATACCAATGCGCTCATCCATTTCAGGTTGAATTGCAGAAAAAATTGCAATCGTTAAGTTTAGAGTGCAGTCAGGTGGGTGATACACGACCAATAAGTCAATGTCGATTCAATGATGATTCTACGTTGCTAATGACATCTAGTTGGTCTGGTCTGTGTAAATTATGGAGTGTACCTGATTGCAAGCAATTGTTAACGCTTCGAAGTGATTGCTGGTACACATGCGGCATTGCATTTCGTCCGGGCGTGCATAAAGATGACGATAATATTGTGTCAATGGCATCGAGTTCTTACGACGGTGTCGTTAAATTGTGGTCATTTGGTAGTGAAGAATCGATTGCTGATATTTCTGGCCATGTACCACATCGCGTGGCTCGTGTAGCTTTCCATCCGTCGGGAAGATTTTTAGGCACAACTTGTTATGATCATTCGTGGCGACTGTGGGATTTAGAGCAAAAACAAGAGGTATTACATCAAGAGGGTCACTCAAGAGGTGTTCATAGCATTGCATTCCAAAATGATGGTAGTGTTTGTGTAACCGGCGGTCTTGATTCATTTGGCCGTGTATGGGACCTACGTACTGGTCGCTGCATTATGTTCTTGGAAGGACATTTAGGTGCCATTTATGGAGTTGATTTTTCACCAAACGGTTTTCACATTGCTACCGCCAGCGGAGATAATTCATGCAAGGTAATTTTCAACAATCAATAATAATGGGAAAAATCATGAAATTAAAAAAAAAATCGTTCGTTTAATAGATATGGGATTTGAGACGTCGTCAACCAGTATACACAATCCCAGCACATACGAATTTGATCTCAGATGTGAAATATCAAAAGGACGGTGGCAACTTTTTGGTTACGTCCAGCTATGATTGTTCGGTTAAGGTAAGAAAAACATCATCCATTTTCATTTATATTCTATAAAAAAATATTTATTAACAAAAATTCCTTGAGTCGGACCTAAAGTATAAATGCATAAATTGTCTCAAAAGTCAATTCACTTAAGGAAACTATCAAATAGGTCTTTTTCTATTGATTTAAATGATTTGCTATCGTTTTTTGAGGTCTTCCTTCTCTTTTTTCGCTTCTCTGATTCGTCTTCGCTTTGTGGCTCTCGTTTTATTTGAGATGTTGATGGTAATGGCATTGTTATGTTTAGTCCCACCTTATTTTTTGGACGTTTTAGTTTTGACTTTACTTCAGTGTCTGAATCGGAACTAGTGCTGCTGTCATTACTACTTTCGCTTTCGCTGCTGCTGCTGCTGCTGCTGCTGCTGCTGCTGCTACTGCTGTCTGACGAATTTTTCTCTCTTTTAATCTTTGAAACTGAAACTGGCAAACGAGAATCTTCTTCATCTTCAGAACTTGAATCCGATTCAGATACTTTTTCGGTTTTTATTTTTACCTAATGAAAAAGAAAAACGATTTGGCTTAGTATATTGTTTAAAAGAATGAATACGTTCGTAAAAAAACTTACGTTCGGAAATAAACCAGCAATTAATCCATCATTGGCATTGGCTTCTGATTCAGAATCGCTGCTACTGTCACTGCTTTCTTCGCTGCTGCTCTCTTTTTTCTTATTCATATTTTTCGGTTTCCGCTTATCGTTTTCCTCAGTGCTAATTCCACTATCGCCCCCATTGGCTGTATTTTCGTCATCATCGTCGAATTTCAAGTGTTTTTTCACAGTATCAAGCGTCAGTTTGGCCGTCTCAATAAATTCACCTTCAATGTATGGCATCGCACCACTCAAATCAAACTTTTTAATTCGAAATGAGATTTGTTGATTTATTTCCAATGAATCCCGTACAGCGACCCGATTGAAACGAATCGAAACATTGAACACTCTATAAATAATGACCGCAACATGACCGTGTGAGATGTGTTTCACCGTGCCTTTAATAACAGCCCCAATTCGTGGTTGGAATACATAAAAATTCGCCTTAATATTGATATGATTGATGGGATCATCATCGTATACTGGATACACGCTGCCAAATACTTTGATATTTCGCACTTCCAGCACAATTCCATCCAATTTCATGTCGAATTTTCCGATTTTATCGCGTGATATGATGTTTGTGAGTGTCTCTTGGAAATTGGCAAAACCCCATGGCGGAAAACCGACATGCATGTCACTATTCGTTAGTGTAATGCATGAATTCTTATCACGAACATATCGATCGAGCTCTTGTTTCGTATATTTTACGTATTTCAATTTGGTTTTATTCATTTTGCACTTTTACACGCAAATTTTGACCAACAAAATCACAAATAAATGCCAACTACTTGCAAACATGTGCACCTTTTTCTCATGAACGTTGTCGTTTGACAGTTGTCGTGTTTGATTATTCGGAATTAGTTTGAGGTTAGGTTCGATTTTCTCGCAGTTTGACATTCACATTTACATAACGTATTTTATCCATGAAAATTAAAAATAATACATTTTTTCTTTCGTTTTCTTTCTAGATTTGGTCAAATAAGACATGGCAACCGCTTAAAACACTTCAAGGGCACGATGGCAAAATTATGAGCGTCGATATATCACCCAACTCACAATATATTGTCAGTTCATCATTTGATCGTACATTCAAACTGTGGACACCAGAAAACTAACACTCCAAGTTACATTTCGTTTCTCCTTTATTTTTGAAATACTGTTTTCAAGCATTTTATTTAAGTTTTTCATTTTGAAATAAATTAAAACCTTCAAAAAGTTTATAGAAAATCATGTTTTATTTCTATATTGACACGGATTGGTGTGAAATTTCAAAAAAGCGCTCATTCAATACGTCATTTGCTTGAATGTCATTGAAACTTCAAATGTCAATTGTGTGTTTAGTCAACGTAGACAACAACAAAAGATAAATGTACTGATTTTGATTTTGTTCTTTGGATTTTCTTTGAAAACAAATTTTCAAGATGGTAAGGCATCAACGTATTTTCTCTTTCCATAACGTGTAATTGAGATTGATTGATTCTTAGGATATCGGTGCGTTGTCCGAAGAAAATTTCGACGCTGTCGATTGGATAAACAAAACTCTTAAGAAAACAGATGATCAACAAAACAAAGAGGTACATTCGAAATTGCACTCTAATATTGGATTGATTTTAATCGATGCACATCGTTTTTAGGCTGTTGTATCATCGTTGGTCTCAAAGTTACAGCTTTATGTTCAGCAAGTGAATTCCGCTTTGGAAGAGACCAGTCAACAAGTATTGGCTTCGATGCCACGTATTATGACCGATGCGCAGGTGAGTCGTAGACAAATGTTTGTTTTTCATTAAATTCATGAAATTCGCATGATTATTGCAGAATTTACAAGCGGAAGCATGCCAGTTGAAGGCCAAAATGTCGGAAATTCAAAAGGATATTTTTCAAGTTCACCAAGAAACAAGCGCATCCATGGCAAATCTGGAACGATTGGATTCGATGAAGACCAAGTTACAGGTTAACACTTCATTTTAATCGAAATGTTGAAAGACGTTTGTGTAAGACACTATTTCTAATTTATAGATTGCAAAAGAAGGTCTCCAAGAATCGGATGGATGGGGAAAATTGGTCACTGAGCTTGAGGATCTGTTTGAACAGAACGATGTGAAGAAATCGTGTGAAAAGTTAAAAGCCTTACAAAAGTCATTAATCGCCCAAGCAAATTTACCGGGCCAAGCCGAACGAGAGTCACAGCTGGAAGGCTTTAAAAATCGTATTGAAGCGCTTGCAAGCACTGCAGTCGTTCAATGTTTCACCAGTGGTGATATCGAACAGTCCAAATACTATGTTGAAATTTTCACAAATATGGATCGTTTACCGCAGTTGATACAGTATTATCTCACCGTTCAGAAGCGAATTTTACAACAACAATGGTCAGAAACAGTGGAATTGAGTCAAAATTCCAGTTCAACGTCATTCTTGCGAGAATTTTACGATAATCTATTTCAATATTATCAAAAACAACAAAAATGGTGTATCGCCGTATTTGGATCGACGCAATCATTCACACCGATTTTGGTGATTGTTGAATTGTTTACAAACCTGCAGCCTTCACGTGAGAATACTGTCATCAGTTGCTTGAAGAGAAACGACGATAAATTGACCACACTGCAGGACATTTCCACAGCAAACATTCATTTTGGACGATTGTTTATTGACGCTTTTGGGAGCAGTGCTATTGATATGGAGATCGTTAAAAAAATTTCGGCAGCAATTTTCGATTATTTTAACACATTCATTGGTCAAACTGCAAGCTTTGAGCAGCAATGGCTTGCATCACATCTATCTGAACTGATTCTTATTCATTCCACTGCAACGGAAAGTGTACGCGCCATTGGCAATGCAACGAACAAAATATTTGGCTGGATGGATGATACATTAAAACGTTGCCAAATTATTACACAAAATTGTGGACTGCCATCCATTGTCATTGTGCTGAATGTAAGTCACTTACTGAATTTTCATTGAACATTTTATGTTTTACTCAAATAATCTTCTTTTGTAGGACTTTTTGAAAATCGTTCTGGATAAGTTCAAGAAGGCACAACAACAATTGCATGCTTCGCAGTGTACCGAACATGATTGGAATTTGATTGGAACGTGTGTGTCCCTATTGGAGCATATCGGAGATTTTCGTATGAAACTCGGTGAATGTGAGCAGCGAATCGTTCAAAGTGTTCAAGAGAAGAAGATTGAAATCGAAAACGGGGGCCAAAGCATCGCTTACATGTGTACCAATTACAAAATATCTGGCAAACGTGAATTGAATGAGTTTAAAAAATTGATTGAAACGTCACAAGTTCTATCATCGTTCCATCGAAGTGGCGGCATCTTTTCGGAAATATTCGATTTAATTAAACCAATTTGTGAATACATTCACGATACAAGCTTTGCGGTCATATTTACTCCCATCGAAAATCAACTGAAAGCCGTTAATTTGGAGAACGATGAAAATATGGATTTGAACGGTAGCGAATTACCGGATTATAGCTTTGCACCGCAAGAATTTATCACCGTCATCGGCCAAGTGAGTAAAATTTACTTACCACAAACAAAAATAAAGAGTGTGCTAATTTGATTCTCTTTTCTCATTGTTTTCTTAGTACTTGCTAACATTGCCGCAACATTTGGAACCGTTATTGTTGACACCAAGCAAACAATTGAAATTAGCGCTTGAACTTTGTGATGAACGTTATGCTCGTGTCGAAACCACAAATGAGGCAAGCGCTGACATTTTACTCTCTCTGTTAACCGACGAATGTTGTGCACTCTATACGGAGCGAATTAAAAGAATCGGTGAACTAACGGCTTTTGGTTCGAAACAATTAGCCTGTGATATTGAGTATTTGGGCAGTGTTTTAGAGGAACTTGGACATTCGTTAAGCACTAATTTGCAACAAACAATTACCTTATTACGTGCTCCAGCTGACAATTATCTTGCCGTGAGTGCCGGTTGTGAGCCTCGATTGGTCACTGCCATTCGCCAAATGCGGAAGATTATTTCAAAAGATTGAAATTAAAATGGAAAAGAAAACAATACGATTTTTTTTACTGTGTCGTCAATAACATTGTTCATATAGTTTATTGAACTGTGCATATAGCTATTTTGTAGTCTAATTATTAACGATTTTGCTTTAATAAATAGAGAACATATTCGATTTAAATCTGTGTTTATTGTTAATTTGATCTGAATATATACAACAAATTTAGCTATGCATTTGCTGATGTCCTGGAGAGATTTGCAGCCATCGCAAAGTGTCATAAGTTCCATTTTTTAGTTTTATTTCGAACATTGGATGCAATCATGATTATTTCGATTTCATGCAAGTTTTCTAAAGAAACAATTACAGACGTATTTTATATTATATAGTCTTTCTCTTTCGTTTGCGTTCAAGTATTTTGCTGTCTAGTTCTTGGTTAATTTTCCTTTTTTGTAAATCTGAATCTCTAAGTTTCTCTTTTTTTTCTGAAATGAGTTTCTTTTCTTTTAAAATTAGTCTATTTTTTGCTTCGTCTATTTCCTGAAGTTCAATATTCTTTGTTTTCAAATAATTAATATATTCTTCATCTATAGCTATTTTTGTTTTTTCGGCTTCGCTACGTAAGCTCTGTTCTTCAATGCTTTCTGTCGAAACTTTATCTGGTGAATTTCTTATGCTTCCTTGTGGAATATTTTCTGGTGTTGTCGAGGTTATAGAATAATCACTCACGTCAGATTCATCTTTATTTTTATTCGTGGTTTGATGAGAAGTTGATGGTTCGGTTTTGTTTAGAGCGTATTGGTGTTCTTGGTGTTCTACGTTTTCTTCGCACTGAAAGCTCATTATTATCTGGAATTACATAAAAAATGTCTTCTTCTTCTTCTGCGTAATTTTTTGGTGCCCTTTTGCGGAAGTTATATGTTGTCTCTTTTGGTTGATTATTTTTATTGTTGTCTTCTATAATGATTTTTTCGAATGTGATAATTTAAAGTAATATTATTGATTATGTGTTTCAATGTAGTCAGTGGCGCTTCGATAGTTTAATAGCTGATCACGTAACTTCATCAATTCATCGATGAATTGGCGATGTTTGGCTGCTCGTTTGGCCGTATAATTTACACCACCGATCAATTTATCAACCATGTAATGCAGCCACAATACGTTTGTGTATGGATCGAAAATTTCCCAATAGTTTTGTATTCGGGTGCGCATCAAACGGTAAATATCAAATTGGTAGTCACCAGTGGTGTCAAATAGTTCCGGATCAGCGGCAAGATCTTGATAAAGGCAACACGTTTTGTACACAAGACGTGACAATGTATAATCGATGATTGTGGCCTTTATACCATGCGTACGGACTTCAATCGATCTACCATTCAAATGAAATGTCAACGATTTTTCGGCTGTTGGTTGAACCAACACATTTCCCCAATGCAAATCACGGTGTTCGAATTCAAATTGCGATTCGGCTACGGCCAATGAAAGTGCCACCTGTTTAAATAGAGTAAAAGAAAGCGGAAAACATTGATTATCATCACATAAAAAATGCAATTTCAACTATAAAATGTTAATCATTTCAAAGAAAATTAGACACAATCAAAATGACCAAGTCTTACTGCTCCGCAAGTAATGAAACAATTATAAATAAAATGTTAAAACAAATAAAAATCTTATCAACATATGAGATGAACATCCATGTTTTTAGCAAGCAGCAGGTAAATAATAATTTTTTCAGTAGATGAGTGAAAATCTAGTCATGATATCGATCAAAAGGAACATGCACTAGAATTGCACACATCGACCGTTAAAATCATAAAAAAGGAATAAAAACTTACAACTGAAATTAAAACATGTATTAAAAAAGGAGAAAATAATACAAAATATAATTAATGGGCTTCGCCCAACACAACCATACAATGTAATAATATATGACACAACGAAAGAAAAAAAAACCAACGAATAAACGGTTAGCGTAATGGATGAGTGTAAATCTAGTCATAAATTAAATTGAATATGCACCAAACTGACACTCATCCATAGCAAAAACCAAAACTTAAAAAATAATTGCCAAAACAAAGCCAGCAACTGATGACACAAAATCAACGAACAAAAAAGAACACATCAAGCAAAAAAAAGTGGTAATTTTTTCAAAGGCGCAATAAAGTACTGCGGTTAAATTGAAATTGCGGTGATTTGTGCTTACCTGTTTGAAAGCAGAAAATGATTGTTCCGAATTTTTGAATATATGCGCCTCAAGATCGCTGCCACAGTTGGCTAGCTCGAATACCACGTACAATTGATCGTCGCCAAAAACATCCGGACAATCGTTTTCCGAAACTCTGAGTGTATCGAAATCGTTCCACAAATCGATCAAATGGGCTGGATAACGGCCTTCGATTAAGCGCACATTCAACACTTCAACAAAACCAGATGAACGATTCAAGTTTCCGTTACGTAATGCGCTCAACTCCTGTGAAATGATCACCTCCTGCAAAATCTCATCAAAACGCTTCTGTTGTGCACCATTTATCTCTTCGTTTCCTTCAATCGGTATGATTTTCAACACATAAGATGATCGGGACGATGTTTCATTTAGAAACACTTCACCGAATACTCCTTCGCCAATCTTACGGCACTCTTTCAAAACGCTAAATGTCATGCACGAATATCGAAAATAGAATGGGAATAGAGAGATGGAGGGAAATACACAAACAAAAAAAAAATTAGATATTGAAATTGATTAGAAAAGGTTAAACTTTCTAAAGGTTGTTTTGATTTGTTGCGATTAATTTTGCACGTATGCATTCAAAATGAGAAAACAAATATGATTCTTACCTCGCTGAATAAATCTCATCAAATGGCAAGACGTCGATTTGATTGCATCGATTCAGTAGTTGATGCTTGAGTTCGTCGCTGTTGAAGCCGAGATGAAGGCTGGCCGTTGATTTCTCGAGTTCATTAAGAACCGATTCAATTGACGATGAATCGCATATGCTTAGTTGGCTACCGGTGTTGAACGCTGATTGTTGATAGTGTTTGAGATCAACGCTATCGGCAATTGGTTGCAAACGGCTACTTCGAAGTTTCGATAGTACATTGATTGGAGTCGATTTTGGTGAAAAGTCAGCTGAATAAATCGATTCGACATCGGATTCATCCAATACAGTAACTGCTGAAAGCAAATAACAAAAACACACAAAAAAATAAGACAATTTATACCAGGAAAAAAATTCATCAAAAGCACAATGAACAATTTGAACAATTGAATGTATGTACAACAAGACATCGAGAACTTCAAATTAAACACGTACTGTAATAATAAAAAGTTGTTGTCGATTTTTTTCGATCATTTTTTTTTTTGTTTCTCTCTTTCTTTTTTCTCTCGTTTGTCTGTTTCTTTTTCAAAACAATCTTTTTTTTTTGTATTATTCTTTTTAGCTCGGCACGCTGTTGTATTGTTTGATTAAATTGAAATTGAATCGTGATCGAATTACATTTGATCGATAAAAAAAAGAGTTTGGCTGGCGTGTAGCTCATATATTTCTTCTATGTTTCTTTCTTCAAATCTCGCTCGCCATGTATATTTTTCGGCTGTTTTTTTTCTTACTAAAACAAAAAATATTGCTCAGCGAAGCGTTCTATTGAATATGCTAGCACACATTAAATGGATTTATTTCCCAACGATGAATCGAACAAAGACAACGCCATCAGAAAATGTTGCAAAGTCATTCAGAGTTTGGCTCACGATGATTCACCTACAACACTCATACACACAACGAAAAAGATCAACGAGCAATAGAGGTAAGCAGTATGTACACAGCACGCCAATGGATCCCAATCAAACACAGAAAAAAAACAAAGAAAATTTTTCACTATGTGATCTCATCCTCAACAGCTAAAAAAAAACCAAAGCAAGCCTCAAATCTATTTCCATCGCGTCAATCCATCGCGAACTGGTAGTAGAATAGTGTTTGTTGGTTGGTCGCTTGGCTTTGGTTGGCTTGGCGTGGTTTGGAGTTGCTACGTAAATGTAATTCTGCTAAGTTGTAAGCTGTTGCTTTTTTTTCGTTCGTCTTTTCATTTTGTTCCATCATAGCGTTTAACATTTACGCTGCGATCTTTTGCACAGATGTGCTTCAACAGTGCCAACTGAATACAGAATGATAATTCGTTCGACGTAAAACAACAAGAAATTCGTATGAATATTTCAAACAATATGTTTTTTCTTAGTTTTTTTTTTTTGGTTTAATATCGAGATTTTGATCAAAAGCAGTAGCGCTCCGCGTACAAAGAAAATGAGTGACCGCGAAGCGTCTCAATTGAATTGGTAATGGTTTGCATCTTGAAGGAAATATACTCGTGGCCTGAGAAGGGAATTGAATTTAAATGATCTAAAATGCGACAGAAACAGTACAGAAATGAAAACGGCATTCATTGCAATTGTAAAAGTGCGCACACCACAGCAAAAGAGAGAATCGCGCGCTCACAGCAAGAAACGAAACGAAACGAAAAAAAAAAGATTTATAAAATAATACAGATCGTTTGCAACGGATCGAAACACGGAAATAAGCAAGAAAAAACAGTACAAAATACACATTTGAATTATGTACATGGGAAGAAATAAAACATTCCGTTAACCTGTTGAATTGTAAACTCTTTCGCGCGCTCTTGCAATGATTGTTTTCTGTGTTTGTGTTTTTTTATATATATATTTTATTTTCCCCTTTTCGCCTGTCACACACTGCCGTGTGTTCTGTTTTTTCTCTTTTCTTTTACTCAATGGTATAGCTGCTTTTTTTCCCTTTCTTCATTAGTTTCTTCTTTCATTTTTGTTTCCACATCTTATTGGAATTGTTGTTGTACTTTCGGATATAAACACGTTTCAAAAGTGAAGAGAGTTCAGCGCAAAATCTTTTGTGCACGCCATCGAAAAATTTGCGCTGGCTAGCACTGACTGACTGGCTAACTGGCTGTGGATATGTTTGTGTGGGTTTTAAGAAGTAGTTTTGTATTTGTTTGCTCTTTGTCTATCTATTTGCTTGACTTTTGTCGATTGACTATTTCATGACTTAACATACGCATTACTTGCTTTGGTTGCGGTTGTCGATTTCATGACGAAAATAATTTTTTTTTGCCTGAAATTTTTTTTTTTTCGATTCTCTTCGTTTCTTTTGTCCGTTTCAATTCACGAATTTACTTGGCACAGCCGAAAAAAAAAGCGAACGTAATTATAGGTAAAGCAATTTTGGAATTGAACCGAGAAATAAAACTACAATGAGACGGTAGAAAAGAAAAGAAACGACAATTTCATAGTGTTGCAGGCTATAACCGATTCGATTACTGTATTTTCAACAACTCGAATTTTCTAAATATGTATCCTTTTTCGATGCCATGACAAATAAACCGCAACTTGAATTTATTAAATTCACATTCTGTGATGAAACAGACGAAAAAAAAATATTTCTGCATCGAAATTATCTTGAGCAATTTATTTAGAGTGATTCGTTTCGTAAGCTTCGTAGTTTTATACATATTTTTTTTTTCTGTTGTTCGCTGTTATTGTCAGCTTGGCGATGTCGTGACAGAAGATCAAATTGGATTTGTTTATTTGGTTTTTGCTCGAAATAGCCACTTCATGTGCTTCGTTACATTTCTTTATCTGCATTTTGTGTGTATATTTGATTTCCGTTCCCATTACAAATGACGATGCGAATGGCGTTCGACGAACTGAATATAATTCAGAGCATCTTTTTTTTAATCTTTCTCGTTCATACTTCCCCCAGCGCAAGACAGAAATGTGCGCTGTGCGCGCAACTTAAATTGAATTCCGATTAAATGAAACTAGAACTCGAATATTCAATTCCAAACTTGATCTCTTTACTCGAGCATTTTCCGAACAAATAAATACACTGTCTCGCGCACACAGACACTGAAACAACAATTAGAATTATTTTGATTGGCTCGATTCAAACGAAGGCTGAGTGCCACATTACGAAATACGCTGTCGTTGTTTAAATTATCAGTAAAAAATTATTATTTGAAAAGTAGTTGTGAACAAAAAACTTGTAGTGTCAATTAAAAAAAAAGAAACAGACACACACAGAAGGAATTATTAAACGAGATGACACAACTAAATTCGAAATCAACGGATATGTGAAGGAAAAAAAATGAAGTGAAACAAAACACGACGTGTGTAATGTAATACATGAAATGAAAATTTGCAATGGAAAAAAAGAGGCAAAAAAATATGTTATAAATCATAACTGCATTTCTTTTCGTTCTGTTCAACACACGTTAAGACAAATCACCGTACAAACCACAAACTTGTCTGAACTTGACGTACACAACAAAAATTGTGTAATAAATTCGTAGAAAATATGTTAAATGCTAATTTGTCCTGTACAAAATTTATTACTTTTTCTTCTCTTCGCTTTTTGCGAAAAATTAAAACAAAAAAAAAAAAACAACGAAAAAAAAACAAATTGGTAAAGAGAGTGCGCACAATTTTCTCACCTTTCTGTAAATAGTTTCGAAATTCTATTCGAAGAATTGAAACTTGAATATTTTGTTGAAATGCACATGATTCACAACGGACACAAAACTTTTGACGAGTGAAGATCAGAAGCGATCTATAGTACACGACCGAAAAACACCAACTGAACGGCCGTAATCACATTTGGTTAACATTTCGGGGCGTTCGTGTACTGACTGATTTCTTTTTTTTCGGTCGTGTTTCTATACTTTAAGCCCATAGAACCTCTGCCATCAAAATGTAATTCAAACGACGAATTACATACTGGCATCGTAGGAAAAAAATTTAACCAAATCATTATAACAACAATACACAAAAAAAAGTATTTAAATAATTTTTGGATTGAGCGTCTCGCTCTTTTCTTCTCTCGCCGTTGCTCAGTCTCGCAATGGATATTTCATGTGTGAGTTTGTGTGCGTATGTTTCTGCTTTTCGTGTGTTTTTTTCCTGTTGTTTGATTCGTCTATTACTTCGTGTAATTTTTTTTCTGCTCTGCCGCGTGTATGCCGTTGTTATTGTTGAAGGCCTCCATTGAATGTAATTATGCGTGCTGTGGTCACACACTCAAAAAAATACTCGCACTCTCGTCATACACACATGCACGGTCGCTCTCTCTCTCTCGCTTAATTTAACGCTTGGCATTTTTTTTCATCTCTGATCGTTTGTTGTTGCTGTTACTTGTTTGGTCGGTCGGTCGTTCTGTTTTCAAAGTCAATTTTTGTGCGTACGTAATGCTTCTTGATTCATTTGAATTACGGCCAAATATGAGTTACACTGAAAGCTATCAATCCACTGATTTTTGTGCGTTAATATATGTGATCACAAGGGAGCCTCTCGCTGTTTCGACCGAAGGAACCAACAAACACGCAGAGAGAGAGACAAAAAAAAATCATACCATCCCATCACAAAGCAATCCACACCGTGTATTATTTTACCAGTGAGTGCTTATTCTCATTTTTTGTTCCTCTCATTTAACAATATTACACACGCTTTTCGTGCGTACAGAAAAAGCCATGACCGAAATAAAATACGATTCAACCGAAAATAATGAACTCTATAAAACGCATACAAGAAATGGAAGAATTAGCCAAGCACGTAGCAAATGAAAAAAGAACAAGAAAGAAACAAGGTCTGAAGAAAGAGAAAATGCCGAAACGAAATCACCTGAGGAAAAATCATTCTAATTTTCACACACATCGCAGGCATTAGAATTTCATTTGATGATGATCTTCGTTACATTTGGTTGCTTCGCGGCTCGAAAATGAATCGAATTCGTTTATGAATGCATCGCAGTGATCCGTAGAAGGAAATGGAAAAAAAGAATTTTGTAAACGTGTCGGAGGGAACAGCGCATAATAATAAAAAAAAATATTTAAGAAGAGCATTTTTTTGGTTTTTTGATTGCCAACACGGATTTGAAAGAATAATAGAACTGTAGATAAGTGATGGCAAGAGAATGATGATGATGAGGATGATTTTTTTCTCTATCTCTTTCTTGTTCTTCTTCTTTTTCATCATCCAAGATTGATGAACCAATGAACAATGACTTTACAAAAAAAAGCTGAATACCTTTAAAGCGTTTCGTTGTGTACAAATACGCGTAGACATACGAAAAATTTGACCGGCATAGGAACAAGACG